CACAACCAACAGAGAAATTACAACAGGGCCCAAAATCATCTACCTGGAAGTTGTACAAGGGCATCACAATTTCTCTCAGAAGAAACAGGATATACACAAGTCTGAAGAACCTTCGAAAGAGTAGTGGTGACATCCCCTAAAAATGTCCACATTGGTTCAGGGATATTGAGGAGTGAGTTTAGTTTTACACCACTTTTAGCAATGTTCCAGCAATATCACACCGAGGGACACCTAAGGGGCTACACACATTGTACCCATGCAGGAATCGAACCCAAGTCTTCAGTGTGATGAGCAAACGCCCGCACAGGAATAAACTCATCTTGTAGAACTTTATCTTCAGTGTTTCAACATTAGGACCATTTCTTCAGAATCGCCCAGTGGAAATCTGAAAACACACCAACATTTAATCACAATCATTCTATTTCAAACAGTCTTAAGCAAATATCAAACAAGCTGTTGTTGTTGTTTTTAAATATATATTTACAGTTGCTCAAAATGTTATGTATTTTAACATATTGCAAATATTTTTCACCAGACTCTAATTATATTGTTCAAAATAATTTCTTTACACTGATGGCAGATGACTTTAAAATATTTTTGTAATATGAAGAGTCTATGCCAAGTAACACAACATGTATTAGAAATTAAAACACCAAATTGGCTTCTAAATCACTAGTCTACATTCATGACCAAATATAATATTCTGAAATGTTTACATTCCCATTATTTATAATAATCAACATATCATAACATAGAAAACGATCTTACTGTAAGTGAATCTATTTCCACGCTAATGAATAGCTAAACGCTTTGGCACAGTCATTTTTGGTTTACAGTCAGTAGTTATTCCAAAACTGAATACAAATACGATAGAAAAGAAAATGAAATATCCATAAACATGCCTGTAGCAATTATCTCCCTTTTTATGACCCTTTGAATTTATTTTGCTGTCTGTGTAATCTAAGCAAACAAACTGAATCTTTCAGGCTGACCTCTACAAGCCCCGTGAACTTTGACACCATTCGATCACTGATAACTTAACTAAAAAAGTCATAACGGTTTTGTTTTTTAAAAGTACCGTTAGATATTGGTCGTAGTGTTAACATAGATATGTAGAACATATTGCACAAAACCCAAATTAACACTGACTTTCCGCTTTGAGGGAAGTACATTGTTTATAAAATGAACACTGCTATATCTTATATCGCTCTTCCGCCATTCTCCTCAAAACTGTTGTTTACCACGCCACATACGCTCAGATAAAAGCGTATTCCCTAACATCAAAACAATTTCAATATATCTGCACTCAAAATAATTTCAATATTGCTGTTATTTACTTACCGCCATGCTTATGTCCACTGAATTCAACTTGAGATGTATCCATCGGCACTAAATCTAGTCTATTCCTTTATCATGAGTTCTTGACATATCCATCGCTGGATTATCCTCAAACTGGCCATTGCTAATATATTAGGGATATTCTTCGCTTGATCGTTGTAGTCTATTGCCAGTGTTGATTAAAGTTGTGTTTCAAGGCCTATCACTGGTTTTGCGCTACCACAAATGTCACGCGACAAGTAGCAGCTATGGCATCGGGTCAAGCGCTGAAACGGTCGTCGGTCTCCTCAGATCGTGACTATCTCCATTCGGGCTTGTCCCGAATGGTGCGAAGTTGAAGTTGAAACATATTTTTAGAAAAGAAAATTAATTAGTACCACCAGGGATGTATCGTGAACTATGTATGTAAAAGGCTGTATGATTAGTGCTATCCGCTCTTGAAGTCGCAATAAGATTACGTAAGCACGGCGGGCGTGGGCCGTGGTTTGCAATCACGCCGATCGAGGTACTTCATAACAACACTACGAGTCAACAGTGGATAATTTCTCATCTTATTAACAAATAAAGGCAAGAATTACAATATCAAGGCATCAACATCAAAATTAGAATTCATAAACAATAATATTGTCAACGGCGGAATCGCGAAAAAGATATTCAGTGCACACGCTCCTTCACGGTCATAACGCGGAAGAATAGTTTTGCACATATCCCCGCAATAATTTAAATTTCATTAATCTACTTTGATGTAATCTCTTCCGGTCATATTGCACGGCTGAACAGGAAGTGACAGTGAAATGTGTTCTAAAATCGAGCTTCACCATTAACATTGGCGTAAAGACGCACTTATAACAAGTTTTAGGCACGCTTGTCGCATCGTGATCACTCACGGAGAAATTCAATGAAATGAGACGATTTTGACATTGTACTTTCAAATTTTATTTTATGGAGTAAATATGAAAAAGAAAGAGAATTAAAAATCTTCCAGCACTAATTGGTTACGCTTGTTATTGACAGAAGGTAAGTTTTACGCAGAACTGTCTATGTTTCTAAAACGGATCGTGTTAGGCACAGAATATTGTTTCGCTTCTGTCGTGCATTGTTTATGTTGTTGCTGTATTTTTGAAAAATCAAAACTAAACGCGAAACCAGGCACAAAACTAGTAAGACCACGAGACGGGTTTACAGTTTAATGGACAACTTTAGCAAAGGGCGGGCAAAATTATTTTATTTTCAAATGCACGGAGGGTTAATTTTGTTTTGATTTTCAAGTGTATAAGACGCCCTTTGTTCCTTATTTGTGTGTGTGTTTCTGTAGCAACAATGAGAAAGTTAAATTACGTGAACTGTTCCCGCTGATAATTGTTTTTATGACATTGTGTTCTTGTATTTTCATTAAAACACACTTCATTTTTACTTGTCTCTCACCGAAAGTGAAGTGTTCAATTTTAGTTGTTTAATGCACACAGACGTAAAAACATCTGAGATGTTTTACACACGTCCTTTGTAATGCTATTAGTATAATGCCTGTGTAACACTTCATTGAATGCTCCCGCTATTTTGTTATTCATAAATGAAACACAATGTCATGAAACAGTCAGGATTTCAATTTTAATTTTTTTATTTATCACAGTTTGAAATGTAAAATTGGTCTGTCATGACAATGGTCTACCATAGATTTGTATGTGATGACCATGGTCAACCATTACTTTGTATGAGAACAACACCATGGTCTACCATAGTTTTGTTTAAGATGACCATGGTCTACCCTGGTTTCTGGTGACCATGGTCTAGAATGACCATGGTCTGCTGTGGTATACCATGGTATACCATGGGAGAATGTTGGTGACCATGGTCTACCATGGTTTCTGGTGACCATGGTCTATAATGACCATGGTCTGCTGTGGTATACCATGGTGACCATGGTCTACCATGGTCTACCATGGGGAGAAATGTTAGTGACCACGGTTTAGCATGGTAAACCATGGTAATACCATGGTTTACCGTGGTAAGCCATGGTTGACCATGGTCAACCATGGTGCCTTTTCAGCTGGGGTGTGTGTTTGTGTTGTAGCTATGAAGCATGGCAGGTGCCCCATATCTCTATGGTGATATTTGTGTTGTAGCTATGAAACATGGCAGGTGCCACATATCTATATGTGTGTGTTTGTGTTGTAGCTATGAAGCATGACATGTGTCCCATATCTCTATGGTGATACTTGTGTTGTTGCTATGAAACATGACATGTGTCCCATATCTCTATGGTGATATTGTGTTGTAGCTTTGAAACATGGCACATGCCCCATATCTCTATGGTGATATTGTTGTGTAGCTATGAAACAAGGCATGTGCCCCATATCTCTATGGTGATATTTGTGTTGTAGCTATGAAACATGGCACATGCCCCATATCTCTATGGTGATATTTGTGTTGTTGCTATGAAACATGATATGTGTCCCCGTATCTCTATGGTGATATTTGTGTTGTTGCTATGAAACATGGCAGGTGCCACATATCTATATGTGTGTGTTTGTGTTGTAGCTATGAAGCATGGCAGGTGCCACATATCTATATGTGTGTGTTTGTGTTGTAGCTATGAAGCATGGCAGGTGCCCCATATCTCTATGGTGATATTTGTGTTGTAGCTATGAAACATGGCAGGTGCCACATATCTATATGTGTGTTTGTGTTGTAGCTATGAAGCATGGCATGATGTGTGTATTTGTAGTTGTAGCATGGCAGGTGCCCCATATCTCTATGGTGATATTTGTGTTGTAGCTATGAAACATGGCAGGTGCCCCATATCTATATGTGTGTGTTTGTGTTGTAGCTATGAAGCATGACATGTGTCCCATATCTCTATGGTGATACTTGTGTTGTAGCTATGAAACATGGCATGTGCCCCATATCTCTATGGTGATATTTGTGTTGTAGCTATGAAGCATGGCACATGCCTCATATCTCTATGGTGATATTTGTGTTGTTGCTATGAAACATGACATGTGTCCCATATCTCTATGGTGATATTTGTGTTGTTGCTATGAAACATGGCAGGTGCCCCATATCTCTATGGTGATATTTGTGTTGTAGCTATGAAGCATGGCACATGTCTCATATCTCTATGGTGATATTTGTGTTGTTGCTATGAAACATGGCAGGTGCCACATATCTATATGTGTGTGTTTGTGTTGTAGCTATGAAGCATGGCAGGTGCCACATATCTATATGTGTGTGTTTGTGTTGTAGCTATGAAGCATGGCAGGTGCCCCATATCTATATGTGTGTGTTTGTGTTGTAACTATGAAACATGGCTCATGCCCCATATCTCTATGGTGATATTTGTGTTGTAGCTCCCATGAAGCATGGCAGGTGCCACATATCTATATGTGTGTGTTTGTGTTGTAGCTAGGAAGCATGGCAGGTGCCCCATATCTCTATGGTGATATTTGTGTTGTAGCTATGAAGCATGGCAGGTGCCCCATATCTCTATGGTGATATTTGTGTTGTAGCTATGAAGCATGGCAGGTGCCCCATATCTCTATGGTGATATTTGTGTTGTAGCTATGAAGCATGGCAGGTGCCACATATCTATATGTGTGTGTTTGTGTTGTAGCTATGAAGCATGGCTCATGCCCCATATCTCTATGGTGATATTTGTGTTGTAGCTATGAAGCATGGCTCATGCCCGATGGATACTATTCCCACGTTGGAGTCTCTGCAACAGATGTTCAGCGACAACATGCAGAGCTGTGACGCTACATGCCATGACGATGCTGACTGTGAAGACAACAAGAAATGTTGTGGTGGTTGTGGCAATAAGTGTGTCACACCCTACAGTGAGTATCATCTTTCATATCTATACTGATGTACAAAAGAAAGTACACACCTGGTGTTTTTGAGACTATTTAAAACACGTAAATATTCTGCTAGCAATGTTCCAATTGGGCACAATATCTATGGTGTTATTGCAACACGTACACAATGGTTGTGACTTGTGAGTGGCAATCAAAACACTTTTCTAAATATTACGCTATTTTTATAAAAACATTTGACCAAAGCATCAGGTGTGTACTTTCTTTTGTACGTCAGTTTATATTTTGTGGAAAACACACCAGAAGAATCTAGTGACTTAGACCTAGTTGGATCAGTGCAGAACATTTGCATTACAGAAGTATTTTCCATGTTTTGTTATATACTAAATATGAAGCATGGTTCCAAGCTGCTAGTGAATTGGTCGAGTGAAATTTGAGAACTACAACAAGATAATATGAAACACTTAGCCTTTGGCGAGTGAGGTAAAAATTAAATTAAAGTGGTCATTCCAGTTTTCATCATGAATAAATGCGACTTTGATTTATTTGAGAATTTATTGATAATGATTGCTAGGTTTAGCGACAAGTGACTTACCGATCGGCTGGAGTCTAAGAGACTATTTACAGAATGTTTATAAATAGTGATTTTTAATAGTGGAACTTAGTAAATTTGACAATGTGTACAGTAACTGAAAATCTATATGGCAACTAACATTAAATATTGTCTAGTAAATTTCATTTTTAACTTTGTTGATAACAATAAGCCAAAATATGAACTTGGAGCCCTGTCTTCCAGGTAGTTGTGTCATCTTCACATGTGTGGTGCAACCAACTCAGTCTCTCATGGTTGTTTTCCTGCAGTTACCTGGTGTAAAAGTATTATTCAGTCTGTGAATCAGCTTTGGCGTTTCAAGATGATGAAACAATTGGTATAGTCATAGAACTAATGAATATTGTCCATCAGTAACCCATGCTTGTTGTCAGATGCAACTAACGGGATTGGGTGGTCAGGCCCGCTGACTTGGTTGACACGTCATCGGTTCCCAATTGCACAGATTGATGCTCATGCTGTTGATCACAGGATTGTCTGGTCCAGACTCAATTATTTACAGACCACCACCATATAGCTGGAATATTGCTGAGTGTGGTGTAAAACTCCACTCACTCACTCACTCACTCGTAAACTCAAGGATGGAAGTTGCAATCACCTTATCGCTATGATAGAGTTATGCAAACCAGGCCCAGATCCCAGCATGAGTAGAGAAATAATGGCTTCCTGTGTTTCAGTGCCCGAGAATTGCCAGAAGAAGAAGGAAGTGCTGATGGCTCACTGGAACCTGTACCAGAACTTGTCCAACTTCCTCCAGGACGGGAACATGACCAGTATGGCCAACCAGTCGTACCCAGCAATGATGCACAGCGCCATGACGTGGGTCAGGAACACAACACACATGTGGAGGCCTTCATGCAATGCCAGTGGTGACTACGAGCGTGTGCAGTGCGAGTATAATCTGAGGACTGGGCAGAAGGATCACTGTTTCTGTTCTAACAGAGAAGGTCAACGCATCAACGGCACCGACACCAGACCGCCGTCAATGCCAATGTGCACGAGTGAGAAATTTCACCATTTCTTATTACGACAATTAGAAAATTGAAAATCAAAATTTTGTTTTGTGGAAATGCCTCAAAATATAATGTTTTAAATGAAATGTCTACTTGTGTTAGAATGTTCATCAACATCTACAATAACTAGGGGTTATATGAATGCCACCGATATGCTTTGTTGCACATTCATTCCCAAGTTGAGCTTAGGGGCCATTCTTGATTTAAGGGGGCTGGGGGTTAATGTTGATTTAGTGTGTGTGTGTTCGTTGTTATTTTGTGTTGTTGTTGTTATACTAGGGGGTCGGACATGACATTGGTTGTGACACCAACCAACAACAAAGCAGTGTGACATAACTAACAACTGCATTCTTAAATTGAGTAAGGTTTCAAATTATTACCAGGGAGACTCTATAAGGGGGAGTGGTCACTCTTCGGAAAGCTCCTAAGCTATGCCTCGGCTCGTCACGTGACCAGTGCAGCCAATATGGCGGCAGCGTAGTTTTTAAGATTGAGCCCGGTTTATTTTCAACAGCTGATTACATACGCTGAGTGTTGTGACAACTGAAAGCCTACACGTAGAAGATAAGTTACCTATTCTGTCACTTCATTTTAAGTCAAATACTTGTTATTAGTGTCAGTATAAGTACAGTAGCTTTGTAGTAAAGTTTCAAGTGGGCATGTTGTAGCTCACTGGCTTCAATTCTCAGTACACAGCGAAGAAAGACTAAATTATATCGCTAAAAACTTCTTTCACATATTCGTTTAATTTTTAGAAGGGAAATATACCTTTAGTTGAAAGGTGTTTGCAAGTAATAGTGATATTTTTATAATTTAAATTTTTTTGTTAGGGTGTATTTGAGGTGTGTGAAAAATATGACATATCGCCGATCTGCCATTGAAATACTACAGGGCGTTGTTTGAGTGTTTCTAGTTAGTGTTCAAAAACATCTTTCACATACACCTTCAATTTTTATGAGGGGAATATACCATCAGGTGAAAGGTGTTTGCAAGTAACAGTGATAGTTTTATAATTTTTTAAAAATTGTTAGTGTGTATTTGAGGTGTGTGAAAAATATGACATATCGCCGATCTGCCATTGAAATACTACAGGGCGTTGTTTGAGTGTTTCTAGTTAGTGTTCAAAAACATCTTTCACATACACCTTCAATTTTTATGAGGGGAATATACCATCAGGTGAAAGGTGTTTGCAAGTAATAGTAATAGTTTTATAATTTTTTAAAAATTGTTAGTGTGTATTTGAGGTGTGTGAAAAATATGACATATCGCCGATCTGCCATTGAAATACTACAGGGCGTTGTTTGAGTGTTTCTAGTTATTGTTCTAAAACATCTTTCACATACACCTTTAATTTTTATGAGGGGAATATACCATCAGGTGAAAGTTTTTTGCAAGTAATAGTGATAGTTTTATTTATTTATTTTTTGTTAATGTGTATTTGAGGTGTGTGAAAAATATGACATATCGCCGATCTGTTCTGATACGCCATTGGTGCTTGTGATGCTTGAGTGTTATAGTTCTAAAACTTCTTTCTTTCTTGTTGATCTTAGTACATGTATTTGACAAAACTGGAAAGGTGTTTGCAAGGCTTTGTGATAGTTCTAAACTTTCTGTTCTTGAGGGGTCTGTAACAGTGTCAGTTAACATTCTGTCAATGCCCATGTCATTCCACACATGCAATAAGATATCTGAATTAGTTACTAATGTAAAAAAATGTCTCAAAGTAGATTTTTTTATAAAAAGGACAGCTGATGTTAACATGTGTTCTACCGATAGTTTTGCGTTCTTTAACATGTTTGGGGAGGGATGGCCGTGGTGTATCATTTATTCTTTCATTCATTCATATATGTTCTTTATCTTTTGTTCTTTTTCTTAATTTCTTTCATTCATTCACATAAAATTCTTGCTCTTAATTCATTCATTCATTCATTGTAAAATTCCGACCTATACAATACACTGGCTGAAGTACTGTTAAACGCAGCCGAAGTTGCGCTGGGACCGAACCAAGTCACTGTGTGCGTTGGAGCATGATGAGGCACACGTTAATTAGTACAAATGGTAAAGAAAGCAAGCGAGTGACCTATCCCTGTTGTAGAGTATCCCTGTTATTACCAATCACTACAAGGTATTACAGTGGCAGTACAAGATCAGAGGCAATATAATCAAAACATATTGATTGTAGCAACAACACACAGAGGTAGTAATATCCACAATGGTCAAGTTTCAAAAATAGTATCCAAGGCCAGAATGATCACCACACAATTGATGGTTTTCTTTTACATTGACATGTAATGTGAAATGAGTAAGCTTCCCTTTTACTTTTTATACCTAAAAATTAAACTCAAAGAGAAACTCTCTTGCTCAGAATAACATGCAAAGTCCCACACGGTTGTAGTACCGTGTAGTACTTTCCAGAATTCTGTCTAAATATAGCACAATCCTAAATATAGAGCACGCCACTTCCCCCTACTAAAAGTGAACAGGTATAATGTATTACACATGGCACATTGTTACACTATGAATAACACTGTCACCGATTATTAATGTTCACAATTCTGACAGATTCCTTGTCTCTGTATGGATGAAACTTTGCCAGTAGGACATTATAAGAGTGCTCTCTCTTTGTAATAGTAAGATATCCTATTGTGAGGTAGTATAATGCATGCTGCCTACTACTTTACAGCTAAGCCTGGATACTGCCCTACCGGAGTCCCTATGACAACTGAGTGTGGAGTGAAGTGCACTGGAGACTACGACTGTGACGGCCATGACAAGTGTTGTGTTTCTGGCTGTAGTGCCCGCTGCCTCAGGCCCGTCAACGACACAACATCGCCACACCAGGGTGAGGACACATGTTCTACTTCGCTTGAGTAACTTAGTAATAATTTCCTACAACTTATTTCTCTCTGGACCTGGTTGTGCAGCTCTGGGGTGCACTTTGGTTGTGACCAACGAGCATCATATTATTTATGGAGCTCTATGACAGTATATGGTCTAAAAAAAATCAAATATTTAATTACGTTTTTCTTTTCCAATTTCTAATAAAAAGAGACACTGAATTGAGCGAATGTTCCAATAAACAGCAAATCCATAGTGTGTAGTTCAAACCATGACATTTACCATCTTCTGTCTATTGTGAATTTACTTGTTTGCCTCTTTATTAGAAACACTAGTTGTATCACAACTGTTTTTGAGTATACAACTGCTATTGCATATTGCCTAGAAATATCAACCTTGAGAAATGTAAATTTCTTTTCCCCACAGTTGCCAATGTGTCTGCCCTGCTCAGAAGTGTCTGTGTCAGGTTCATGGACCTCAATTTCTGCCAGAGTGGCAGCCAGTGTGTGGGCAACTGGGAACAGGGAGATCTCTGTGCCTGCCCAGAAGGATACAAAGGTCCTTTCTGTGATAGGATGATACCCACAGGAGGTGAGAGTCCATTTTAGTTGTGCCTTGTCTACATCCCTTGTGTTCCCACCAAATCAGTTTTACATTCTGTGTCTTCATTTCCAAGTCTTGTCTACATCCCTTGTCTTCCCTCAACAGAGCCCAGAGATATGCTTCTTCTCACATATTCTGTTGTCAGATGTATTCTCTGGCACTTGGTTCAAACCGCCATGGAAGGACTTCCCTTAACTGGGAAAGTGATGGCATTCATACATCATTGCATTATTTACAAACCACATCAACAGGCCTAATGCCAACTTTAGTTCCCTCTACACCTACACACCTGCACACCTGCACACCTGCACACCTACACACCTACACACCTCTGATAATGCAAATGCTGTTTTTTGACCCCTGAAATGCTGCTTTTTGACCCCTGAAATGCTGATTTTTGTCCTTGAATCTGCCACCCATAAACCTAAGGTGGAACAATTTGTAATTGTACATAAGGTTTGGTATTGATGTCTTGTTGAGTGATGTTCCTTATGTGGCTGAAATGTTTACATTTTAAACTTGTGTGTCTGTTGAATGTCTTCTTTCTTCCCCTAACAGAGTCTGCACCAAGTGTTTGTCAGAAGAGACACAGTCTGTTCGGCATGATCATGGACCCAGAGTATGCTCACCTCAAGAGGATGTTTATGACATATGCCAACATGTCCTCTCTTGCCATCATGAAGGCTAACTGTTCCGGCAAGGAATTTAGCCCTGTCCAGTGTGATCACGACATTTCTAATGGCAGCCGGAAGTGGTGCTACTGCGTGAACCAATCAGGTCGCCCAATTCCTGGTTCTGGAGTCCCCAGTCCTCGTTGGCCACGTTGCGGAGGTAATTTAGATAACTATAGATTCGCATAAAACAAAACAATTTCAGGAAATTTATGCTTCTACCAGAGCTGCTTTGTCTAGTGAGAGTAGGATAGTTTGGAAGATAACATGTTCCCTTGTATTTGTGGTTACTTGTTTATGTGGTTGTAGTTATAGCATGTCCACTCGGACATTCCCAGTCTTGTGATAAGCATTAGTGCTGTAACGATGCATCAAACTATTGATGGGCTGCATTTGTCAAGTCTCCCATAGCAATTAATCAATGGTAGAGCATCCGCCCGGAGAGCGGAAGGTCACGGGTTCGATCCCCGACCGTGTCATACCAAAGACGTTAAAATATGGTACTTGTTGGTCCCTGCCTGGCGTTCGGCATTAATGGATACAACAAGGACTGTTTGGCTCGGAGTCAGTATAATGTGTCTGAGTGGGGTATTCATGCTTCACTGCCGCGTGGTATCTCAGTGGGCTAGCACTATAAAACCAGCCTAAGTCTGCGCTTAGTACAAGCAGCCGCTCATACACATACACACATATGCACTTCGCCATATATGCACGTCGAAATATTCTCAAGCACGACGTTAACCCAATTTCACCTCATCTCACCTCCAGTCACATACACAAACCTCTGTTGCAGACATGCACTGTGATGCCGGCCACCGACTGTATAACTCTACCAGCCCCGGACATGCCAGGAAGTGCGACCCCCGGTCAAAGCCATGCCCACCTGGGTATGGGTGTAAACAGGTTGCCTATGGCCAGCATGTGTGCTGCATTGACCAGTATGGTATGTAATTGTTAACTTTCCATACTTTATTGTTTAAAGGTCTACTGACCAATTAGATTAGTGTCCATGTGTGGTATTATGGTATATATACACAGGAAGGTGTCTCAACACTTCGTTTGATTCTCCATCACTGGGGGCTGTGGGGTAGTCTAGTGGTTAAAGTGTTTGCTCGCTACACTGAAGACCCGGGTTCGATTCCCCATGTGGGCACAATGTGTCAAGCCCATTTCTAGTGTCCCCCGCCATGATATTGCTGGAATATTGCTAAAAGCGGCGTGAAACCAAACTCACCCGCTCACTCTCTGTGACTGAGTGAATGAGTATAGTTTTAAATGCTTCTTTTAGCAATATTCCAGCAATATCATGGTGAAGACACCAGAAAAGTGCACTTATAATGCAAAGGATCTTCCACCAGATGTCTTGAGCTTAATGTTGGGGACCTTAAGTAGCATTAGATTTCTGGAACAGAGAGTTCTTGTAGGGACCTAGCCTTCGACTGGTCGCACAGATAACCTGGAGCTGTATCATTGATAGTAATTTGTAACTACATCCCTTGATGTTTCTTCATTTGTCACCATCACACCAATGTCTGAGGACTGCATTAGCTTTCCCACACATGACATGCTGTGATATACTGGAAACTTGAATATTGTGTTGAGCCCCTCTCACTCACTCACTCATATGATATAAAAGCAGCATTACCAATAACTCTCACTCAATGAGTTAAAAGATCCCTAACACCCAACCTATAACTCACTCCTAAATGGGTTAAAATTTGCCTTACACACATTAGTGTCTTATCATGTGTTGGTCTCCTACAGGTCACGGTGACCTGCAAGTTGAACAACACTTCAAGGTTGGACACAACCTGTATTAGTCTCTTATCATATGTTGGTCTCCTACAGGTCACGGTGACCTGCAAGTTGAACAACACTTCAAGGTTGGACACAACCTGTATTAGTGTCTTATCATATGTTGGTCTCCTACAGGTCACGGTGACCTGCAAGTTGAACAACACTTCAAGGTTGGACACAACCTGTATTAGTGTCTTATCATATGTTGGTCTCCTACAGGTCACGGTGACCTGCAAGTTGAACAACACTTCAAGGTTGGACACAACCTGTATTAGTGTCTTATCATATGTTGGTCTCCTACAGGTCACGGTGACCTGCAAGTTGAACAACACTTCAAGGTTGGACACAACCTGTATTAGTGTCTTATCATATGTTGGTCTCCTACAGGTTACGGTGACCTGCAAGTTGAACAACACTTCAAGGTTGGACACAACCTGTATTAGTGTCTTATGTGTTGGTCTTGTTTGCTGCAGGTCACAGTGACATCTGCCGGCTGACCCCCAACCCTGGACAGTGGTGTGACAACAAGGAAAATAGATGGTCCAATTATTACTACTTCAACTCCACGCTGAGGAAGTGCATACTATTCCTGTACAGAGGTTGTCATGGAAACCAGAACATGTTCGAGACAGAAGCTGCATGCAACCAGAGATGTGCTAGGAAAGGTTGGTCCAATATTGCCTATATTCAATAGTAACTTTGCAAATGTATAGAGATTTTCATATTTATTATCTAACTTGCAGAATTTATTGTTTAGCAGTAAGAGTTTGCTATATTGGAATCAATAAGACATACCTCCCATAGGCAGATCCAGATGGGGGTTGCAGAGGCGTGCACCCCTTCGTTTGTCCTGAAAGTTTATTAAATGGCCATTGAAACTCACGTTAAAAGGGTGAAAATAAACTGTGCACCCCCCTATCTCTAAAAGCTATATCCGCCCCTGCCTCCTATGATTTATTTTGAAAAGAAATTACAAGTTCTTAAACCTTCTGGTTCAAATGCTTCTCCTAAGGACAGAAATTACTATTTGCATTAGTAAACATGATCAAGTGCTTACATTTGAGACATAGCATGTATGAGTGTTATGTTGTTTTCAGAGAAGCCAGGCATGTGTCCCAGGATGATGGAAGTGAATGTGAACCAGCGTTACTGTAAGGACTACTGCATGGACGATAGAAACTGTACCGAGGACAGGAAGTGCTGTCAGACTCACTGTGGACGAAGATGCTCAGTGCCTATAGGTAAAATAAAGTTCAGATGCTCCACTCTGCCTGTAGGTAACACATAGTTCAGTTGGTCCACTCTACCTACACGCAAGACATAGCTTAGTTGGTCCACTCTGCCTACAGGTAACACATATTTCAGTTGGTCCACTCTGCCTACAGGTAACACATAGCTCAGTTGGTCCACTCTGCCTACAAGTAGCACATAGTTCAGTTGGTCCACTCTTCCTACAGGTAACACATAGTTCAGTTGGTCCACTCTGCCTACAGGTAACACATAGTTCAGTTGGTCAACTCTGCCTACAGGTAACACATAGTCCAGTTGGTCCACTCTGCCTACACATAACACATAGTACAGTTGGTCCACTCTGCCTACAGGTAACACATAGTCCAGTTGGTCCACTCTGCCTACAGGTAACACATAGTTCAGTTGGTCCACTCTGCCTACAAGTAGCACATAGTTCAGTTGGTCCACTCTGCCTACACGTAACACATAGTCCAGTTGGTCTACTCTGCCTACAGGTAACACATAGTCCAGTTGGTCCACTCTGCCTACATGTAACACATAGTTCAGTTGGTCCACTCTGCCTACAGGTAACACATAGTTCAGTTGGTCCACTCTGCCTACAAGTAGCACATAGTTCAGTTGGTCCACTCTGCCTACACGTAACACATAGTTCAGTTGGTCCACTCTGCCTACAGGTAACACATAGCTCAGTTGGTCCACTCTGCCTACACGTAACACATAGTTCAGTTGGTCCACTCTGCCTACAGGTAACACATAGTCCAGTTGGTCCACTCTGCCTACACATAACACATAGTTCAGTTGGTGCACTCTGCCTGTAGGTAACACATAGCTCAAATGGTCCACTCTGCCTACAGGTAACACATAGCTCAGTTGGTCCACTCTGCCTGTAGGTAACACATAGCTCAGTTAGTCCACTCTGCCTGTAGGTAACACATAGTTCAGTTGGTCCACTCTGCCTACAGGTAGCACATAGCTCAGTTGGTCCACTCTGCCTACAGGTAACACATAGTTCAGTTGGTCCACCCTCGCTGTTGGTAACACATAGTTCAGTTGGTCCACTCTCACTGTAGGTAACACATAGCTCAGTTGGTCCAGTCTGCCTGTAGGTAACACATAGTTCAGTTGGTCCACTCTGCCTACAGGTAACACATAGCTCAGTTGGTCCACTCTGCCTACAGGTAACACATAGCAACACATTCAGTTGGTCCACTCTGCCTACGTAACACATAGCTCAGTTGGTCCACTCTGCCTACACGTAACACATAGTTCAGTTGGTCCACTCTGCCTACAGGTAACACATAGCTCAGTTGGTCCACTCTGCCTACCAGTAACACATAGTTCAGTTGGTCCACTCTGCCTACAGGTAACACATAGCTCAGTTGGTCCGCTCTGCCTACACGTAACACATAGTTCAGTTGGTCCACTCTGCCTACCAGTAACACATAGTTCAGTTGGTAACACATAGTTCAGTTGGTCCGCTCTGCCTACCACTCTGCCTACATGCCTACAGGTAACACATAGCTCAGTTGGTCCACTCTGCCTGCAGTTGCTCCTCTCTGCCTACAAGTAATATATAGTTGAGTTGGTCAACTCTGCGTACAGGTAACAGATAGTTCAGCTGCTCCACTCTGTCTACAAATAAGATATAGCTCAGCTGGTCCACAATCTCTACACGTAACACATAGCTAATTATGAAAAATATTTCTGTTTCTCAAGAAGTTGTAATATTTCTTCATGTCTTTTTGTAGTTGATGACAACAAGAAGAAATGCAGAGTGGGAGTGGAGTACCATCAACCCAATGGCACCGTGGTGTACTGTGGACGAGGACAGCCACGCTGCCCGGATGGTTATGAGTGTAATGTGGATCCTTTGGACGGACCATCATTCTGCTGTCCCAAAGAGAGTAAGTCCTGCCCTAGAGAGGCTAAGTAATACCTGAGAGAGGCTACATAATGCCCTAGAGAGGTTAATTCCAGACCCATAGAGGCTAAGTAATACCCGAGAGAAGCTTATAACATGCCCTAGAGAGGCTAAGTCCTGCCTCAGAGAGGCTAAGTAATGCCCTAGAGAGGCTAAGTAATGACCCAGGGAGGCTAAGTCCTGCCCCAGAGAGGCTAAGTAATGACTCACAGAGGCAAAGTAATGCCTAGAGAGGCTAAGTAATGACCCAGAGAGGCTGTCCCACCCTAGAGATTTTACGTCCTGCCCCGGAGAGGCTAAACAATGCCTTTAAGAGGTTATGTTCTGCCTCATAGAGGCTTATTCCTGCCCCAGAGTGTTTAGCCCCTACCCTTGAGAGGCTGAGTCTTGCCCAAGAGAAAGTTATATGTGAATAAGTGTCGAAATAAGAAGAGTGAGTTTCTCAAGTAAGTCATTGAAGGGAGGGACTTCAAGGTGTATTCAAACATTTCCAGTAAGAGGCATCGGTTGTGCTTTGGACACTACGATGTTCTAGGTGTTCTCAGTTGTTTCCAGATGTCCCACGGAAGTGACATGTCGTGGGTATTTCATGCCGTGAGAAACATGCACAATGATGTCTTCATATCTCAAAACACCAGGGCCTAGATTTTCGAAGCTCTCTTAGCGCTAAGATAGTCATAAGTTAATGTTAATGTATGGTACTTATAACTCTTAGCGCTAAGAGAGCTTCGAAAATCTAGGCCCAGGGTCTCTTTTCACAAAGCACTAATGTGATCGTAGGTCACAAAGGTAACCTTAGTACAATGTTAAAGAATGGGAGTTAAGGTTAACCTTAGTAAAGGTTGCTTCATAAAAGGACCCCCTGAGCTTCATCTTGTGACAACATGGATTTGCTTCTCCTGTGATTGACTCAATGAATGGTCCCGCCAAACCATGTCGTAACAAGTATGTCGTAAAATTCAAGGTGCTTACCATTATCTACAAGTGCCTGAAGACCAACACTGCTCCATCTTACTTGTCATCTCTTCTAAACAACCATAGACCAACAAGAACTCTTAGATCACAAGATAAAGATCTGCTTATCACCAGACCATTCAGGACCAAATACGGGGACCGCTGCTTTGAATGTGCAGCTCCCATGCTATGGAACAACCTCCCTATGTCGCTAAAATCCGCCCCAAGTCTACCAACTTTTCGAAAACATTTAAAGACATATCTATTTGAAATGAAATAGACTGATCTGCACAAGCGCCTGTGAGCAGCCTAGCTGGAACTCGGCGCTATAGAAGTAGATTATTATTATTATTATTAAGTCATTTGTAAGGAGGATAACATGAGTGTGCAAGGAACCAAGAAGTGTGCCTTGTGTTTCAGCTGAGCCCCTCAATATCTGCCATGAACCGAAAGAAAAAGGCCCTTGTGAAGCCTACATGCCCAGATACTTCTTCAACAGGACATCAGAGCAGTGTGAACGATTCATATATGGTGGCTGCAGAGGCAACAACAACAACTTCAACAGCCTTCAGGAATGCTGCAGTCAGTGTGGGGCTAACACATGTAAGAAGGTCTACTGTCAGTCACAGATACACCTTATGTTGAACAGATAGACCCAGTGTTTCCAATACTTTAATTTGCCATTTGACTATCAGGACCTGCTGCTGCCTGCAGGCTTTAAAATCTACATGCCCTGAATGAAATCTGCAGGCCCATACACTGACACTGATGATGTCATTACATACACTGATAATGTCACATAAACTGATGATGTCACAGACACTAATGATGTCACAGATGCTAATGATGACCTCACATACACTGATGATGTCACAGACACTGATGATGTCACAGACACTAATGATGACCTCACATACACTGATGATGTCACATATAATGGCACAAACACAAAAGTAACACAAACAGCTCATGTTTTTCATGTTATGTGTATGTAAATGTATCTTTTCTCAATTATCATTGAAAGCGGTGGCCTACATAACATTTGCATATTTCTGATTTAACTGTTTATATAATATTTATTATGTATGAATGTATATTATGACTCTCAGCTATCTTGATGATCTGTACTGAAAATAGGTGACATTTCTTCAATATTTGCCCTTTTCATCAGCATTCAGCAATCAGTCAGTTTATGACCTTGACTGTTTCAGCCCGCTGTAAACAGGGCAAGTGCCCTAAGCCTCAGGTCAACTACTTTGCCCCATGCCAGGATGAGTGCAGCTCTGATGCTGAATGTATGGGCAACACTCTCTGCTGCTCCAATGGCTGTGGCCGTGCCTGTCTTGTTCCGGAAAGTGAGTTGTCCCTGTGTTAGTCATGTACAGACAGTAGGTTGTCCCTGTGTTAGTCATGTACAGACAGTAGGTTGTCCCTGTGTTAGTCATGTACAGACAGTAGGTTGTCCCTGTGTTAGTCATGTACAGACAGTAGGTTGTCCCTGTGTTAGTCATGTCCAGACAGTGAGTTGTCTATATGTTAGTCATGTCCAGACAGTGGGTTGTCCCTATGTTAGTCATGTCCATACAGTGGGTTGTCTATATGTTAGTCATGTACAGACAGTGGGTTGTCTATATGTTAGTCATGTACAGACAGTGGGTTGTCTATATGTTAGTCATGTACAGACAGTGGGTTGTCTATATGTTAGTCATGTCCATACAGTGGGTTGTCTATATGTTAGTCATGTCCATACAGTGGGTTGTCTATATGTTAGTCATGTCCATACAGTGGGTTGTCTATATGTTAGTCATGTCCATACAGTGAGTTGTCTATATGTTAGTCATGTCCATACAGTGAGTGGTCCCTATGTTAGTCATGTCCAGACAGTGAGTTGTCCCTATGTTAGTCATGTCCAGACAGTGGGTTGTCCCTATGTTAGTCATGTCCATACAGTGGGTTGTCCCTATGTTAGTCATGTCCAGACAGTGGGTTGTCCCTATGTTAGTCATGTCCATACAGTAGGTTGTCCCTATGTTAGTCATGTCCAGACAGTGAGTTGTCCCAATGTTAGTCATGTCCAGACAGTGGGTTGTCTCAATGTTAGTCATGTCCATACAGTGAGTTGTCCCTATGTTAGTCATGTCCATACAGTGAGTTGTCCCTATGTTAGTCATGTCCAGACAGTGGGTTGTCCCTATGTTAGTCATGTCCAGACAGTGGGTTGTCCCAATGTTAGTCATGTTCAGTCAGTGGGTTGTCCCAATGTTAGTCATGTTCAGTCAGTGGGTTGTCTATATGTTAGTCATGTCCAGACAGTGGGGTGTCTATATGTTAGTCATGTTCAGTCAGTGGGTTGTCCCAATGTTAGTCATGTCCATACAGTGAGTTGTCCCTATGTTAGTCATGTCCAGACAGTGGGTTGTCCCAATGTTAGTCATGTTCAGTCAGTGGGTTGTCCCAATGTTAGTCATGTTCAGTCAGTGGGTTGTCTCAATGTTAGTCATGTCCATACAGTGAGTTGTCCCTATGTTAGTCATGTCCATACAGTGAGTTGTCCCAATGTTAGTCATGTCCATACAGTGGGTTGTCCCTATGTTAGTCATGTCCAGACAGTGGGTTGTCCCTATGTTAGTCATGTCCATACAGTGGGTTGTCCCTATGTTAGTCATGTCCAGACAGTGAGTTGTCCCTATGTTAGTCATGTCCAGACAGTGGGTTGTCTCAATGTTAGTCATGTCCATACAGTGAGTTGTCCCTATGTTAGTCATGTCCATACAGTGAGTTGTCCCTATGTTAGTCATGTCCAGACAGTGGGTTGTCCCTATGTTAGTCATGTCCAGACAGTGGGTTGTCCCAATGTTAGTCATGTTCAGTCAGTGGGTTGTCCCAATGTTAGTCATGTCCATACAGTGAGTTGTCCCTATGTTAGTCATGTCCATACAGTGAGTTGTCCCTATGTTAGTCATGTCCAGACAGTGGGTTGTCCCTATGTTAGTCATGTCCAGACAGTGAGTTGTCCCTATGTTAGTCATGTCCATACAGTGAGTTGTCCCTATGTTAGTCATGTCCAGACAGTGGGTTGTCCCTATGTTAGTCATGTCCAGACAGTGGGTTGTCCCTATGTTAGTCATGTCCAGACAGTGGGTTGTCTATATGTTAGTCATGTCCAGACAGTGAGTTGTCTATATGTTAGTCATGTCCATACAGTGGGTTGTCCCTATGTTAGTCATGTCCATACAGTGGGTTGTCTATATGTTAGTCATGTACAGACAGTGGGTTGTCTATATGTTAGTCATGTACAGACAGTGGGTTGTCTATATGTTAGTCATGTACAGACAGTGGGTTGTCTATATGTTAGTCATGTCCATACAGTGGGTTGTCTATATGTTAGTCATGTCCATACAGTGGGTTGTCTATATGTTAGTCATGTCCATACAGTGGGTTGTCAATATGTTAGTCATGTCCATACAGTGAGTTGTCTATATGTTAGTCATGTCCATACAGTGAGTGGTCCCTATGTTAGTCATGTCCAGACAGTGAGTTGTCCCTATGTTAGTCATGTCCAGACAGTGGGGTGTCTATATGTTAGTTATGTTCAGTCAGTGGGTTGTCCCAATGTTAGTCATGTCCATACAGTGAGTTGTTCCTATGTTAGTCATGTCCAGACAGTGGGTTGTCCCTATGTTAGTCATGTCCAGACAGTGGGTTGTCCCTATGTTAGTCATGTCCAGACAGTGGGTTGTCCCTATGTTAGTCATGTCCATACAGTAGGTTGTCCCTATGTTAGTCATGTCCAGACAGTGGGTTGTCTATATGTTAGTCATGTCCATACAGTAGGTTGTCCCTATGTTAGTCATGTCCAGACAGTGAGTTGTCCCTATGTTAGTCATGTCCAGACAGTGGGTTGTCTCAATGTTAGTCATGTCCATACAGTGAGTTGTCCCTATGTTAGTCATGTCCATACAGTGAGTTGTCCCTATGTTAGTCATGTCCAGACAGTGGGTTGTCCCTATGTTAGTCATGTCCAGACAGTGGGTTGTCCCAATGTTAGTCATGTTCAGTCAGTGGGTTGTCCCAATGTTAGTCATGTCCATACAGTGAGTTGTCCCTATGTTAGTCATGTCCATACAGTGAGTTGTCCCTATGTTAGTCATGTCCAGACAGTGGGTTGTCCCTATGTTAGTCATGTCCAGACAGTGGGTTGTCCCTATGTTAGTCATGTCCAGACAGTGGGTTGTCCCAATGTTAGTCATGTTCAGTCAGTGGGTTGTCTATATGTTAGTCATGTCCAGACAGTGGGGTGTCTATATGTTAGTCATGCCCTTTGTTTTTTCAGTGAATCAAACATGCCACACGAAGATGTCAGAGGCTTACATGAAACTAAAGGCTCACAAGGGAGCCTGCCCGATGATCTCCATCCCCAGGTAATTATGACTGACCCATGATCTCCACCCCCAGGTGCATAATACTGCCCCATGATCTCCACCCCCAGGTGCATAATACTGCCCCATGATCTCCATTCCCAGGTGCATAATACTGTCCCATGATCCCCATCCCCAGGTAAATATGACTGTCCCATGATCCCCATCCCCAGGTAAATATGACTGCCCCATGATCCCCATTCCCAGTTAAATATGACTGCCCCATGATCCCCATCCCCAGGTAAATATGACTGCCCCATGATCCCAATCCCCAGGTAAATATGACTGCCCCATAATCCCCATCCCCAGGTAAATATGACTGCCCCATGATCCCCATCCCCAGGTAAATATGACTGCCCCATAATCCCCATCCCCAGGTAAATATGACTGCCCCATGATCCCCATCCCCAGGTAAATATGACTGCCCTATGATCCCCATCCCCAGGTAAATATGACTGCCCCATGATCCCCATAACCAGGTAAATATGACTGCCCCATGATCTCCATGCCCAGGTAAATATGACTGTCCCATAATCTCCACCCCAGGTACATGATACTGCTCCATGATCTTTATCTCCAGGTAAATATGACTGCCCCATGATCTCCATCCCCATGTAGATATGACTGCCCAATGATCTCCATAATACTGCCATGATCTCCATCCCCAGAACCATGTTCTGCTAGCATACTGTGCCCTTCAAGTAAACCTTGTTCTGTTAGCATATCTTCCCCTTCAGGTAAACCTTGTTCTGTTTGCATATCTTCCCCTTCAGGTAAACCTTGTTCTGTTTGCATATCTTCCCCTTCAGGTAAACCTTGTTCTGTTAGCATATCATCCCCCTTCAGGTAAACCTTGTTCTGTTAGCATATCTTCCCCTTCAGGTAAACCTTGTTCTGTTAGCATATCATCCCCTTCAGGTAAACCTTGTTCTGTTAGCATATCATCCCCTTCAGGTAAACCTTGTTCTGTTAGCATATCTTCCCCTTCAGGTAAACCTTGTTCTGTAAACATATCTTCCCCTTCAGGTAAACCTTGTTCTGTTTGCATATCTTCCCCTTCAGGTAAACCTTGTTCTGTTAGCATATCTTCCCCTTCAGGTAAACCTTGTTCTGTTAGCATATCCTCCCCTTGAGGTAAACCTTGTTCTGTTAGCATATCTTCCCCCTTCAGGTAAACCTTGTTCTGTTAGCATATCTCCCCTTCAGGTAAACCTTGTTCTGTTAGCATATCTCCCCTTCAGGTAAACCTTGTTCTGTTTGCATATCTTCCCCTTCAGGTAAACCTTGTTCTGTTAGCATATCATCCCCCTTCAGGTAAACCTTGTTCTGTTAGCATATCTCCCTTTCAGGTAAACCTTGTTCTGTTAGCATACCATGCCCTTCATGTAAACCATGTTCTGTTAGATTATCTCCCCTTCAGGTAAACCATGTTCTGTTAGATTATCTCCCCTTCAGGTAAACCTTGTTCTGTTAGCATACCATGCCCTTGAGGTAAACCTTGTTCTGATAGCATTCCATGCCCTTCAGGTAAACCTTGTTCTGTTAGCGTATCTTCACCTTAGGGGTAAACCTTGTTCTGTTAGCATATCTCCCCTTCAGGTAAACCTTGTTCTGTTAGCATATCTTCCCCTTCAGGTAAACCTTGTTCTGTTAGCATATCTTCCCCTTCAGGTAAACCTTGTTCTGTAAGCATATCTCCCTTTCAGGTAAACCTTGTTCTGTTAACATATCTTCCCCTTCAGTTAAACCTTGTTCTGTTTGCATATCTTCCCCTTCAGGTAAACCTTGTTCTGTTAGCATATCTCCCTTTCAGGTAAACCTTGTTCTGTTTGCATATCTTCCCCTTCAGGTAAACCATGTTCTGTTAGATTATCTCCCCTTCAGGTAAACCTTGTTCTGTTAGCATACCATGCCCTTGAGGTAAACCTTGTTCTGATAGCATTCCATGCCCTTCAGGTAAACCTTGTTCTGTTAGCATATCTTCCCCTTCAGGTAAACCTTGTTCTGTGAGCATATCATCCCCCTTCAGGTAAACCTTGTTCTGTTAGCATATCTTCCCCTTAGGGGTAAACCTTGTTCTGTTAGCATATCTCCCTTTCAGGTAAACCTTGTTCTGTTAACATATCTTCCCCTTCAGTTAAACCTTGTTCTGTTTGCATATCTTCCCCTTCATGTAAACCTTGTTCTGTTAGCATATCTTCCCCTTCAGGTAAACCTTGTTCTGTTAGCATATCTTCCCCTTCAGGTAAACCTTGTTCTGTTAGCATATCTTCCCCTTCAGGTAAACCTTGTTCTGTTAGCATATCATGCCCTTCAGGTAAACCTTGTTCTGTTAGCATATCTCCCCTTCAGGTAAACCTTGTTCTGTTAGCATACCTTCCCCTTCAGGTAAACCTTGTTCTGTTAGATTATCTTCCCCTTCAGGTAAACCTTGTTCTGTTAGCATACCATGCCCTTGAGGTAAACCTTGTTCTGTTAGCATATCTCCCCTTCAGGTAAACCTTGTTCTGTTAGCATATCTTCCCCTTCAGGTAAACCTTGTTCTGTTAGCATATCTTCCCCTTCAGGTAAACCTTGTTCTGTTAGCATATCATCCCCCTTCAGGTAAACCTTGTTCTGTTAGCATATCTTCCCCTTCAGGTAAACCTTGTTCTGTTAGCATATCTCCCTTTCAGGTAAACCTTGTTCTGTTAGCATACCATGCCCTTCATGTAAACCATGTTCTGTTAGATTATCTCCCCTTCAGGTAAACCTTGTTCTGTTAGCATACCATGCCCTTGAGGTAAATCTTGTTCTGATAGCATTCCATGCCCTTCAGGTAAACCTTGTTCTGTTAGCATACCATGCCCTTCAGGTAAACCTTGTTCTGTAAGCATACCGTGCCCTTCAGGTAAACCTTGTTCTGTTAGCATACCATGCCCTTCAGGTAAACCTTGTTCTGTTAGCATACCATGCCCTTCAGGTAAACCTTGTTCTGTTAGCATATCTTCCCCTTAGGGGTAAACCTTGTTCTGTTAGCATATCTCCCCTTCAGGTAAACCTTGTTCTGCTAGCATATCTCCCTTTCAGGTAAACCTTGTTCTGTTAGCATACCATGCCCTTCATGTAAACCATGTTCTGTTAGCATATCTCCCCTTCAGGTAAACCTTGTTCTGTTAGCATACCATGCCCTTGAGGTAAACCTTGTTCTGATAGCATTGCATGCCCTTCAGGTAAACCTTGTTCTGTTAGCATACCATGCCCTTCAGGTAAACCTTGTTCTGTTAGCATACCATGCCCTTCAGGTAAACCTTGTTCTGTTAGCATACCATGCCCTTCAGGTAAACCTTGTTCTGTTAGCATACCATGCCCTTCAGGTAAACCTTGTTCTGTTAGAATACCATGCCCTTCAGGTAAACCTTGTTCTGCTAGCATACTGTGCCCTTCATGTAAACCATGTTCTGTTAGCATATCTCCCTTTCAGGTAAACCTTGTTCTGATAGCATTCCGTGCCCTTCAGGTAAACCTTGTTCTGTTAGCATATCTCCCCTTCAGGTAAACCTTGTTCTGATAGCATTCCGTGCCCTTCAGGTAAACCTTGTTCTATTAGCATACCGTGCCCTTTAGGTAAACCTTGTTCTGTTAGCATACCGTGCCCTTCAGGTAAACCTTGTTCTGTTAGCATATCCCCCTTTCATTTAGACTATGTTCTAACCCCCCTGTCTCGCCATCAGGTAAATGCAGCACACTCTACCCAGTTTGTTTGTCCGTGGGTCTTAAACTTGTCACAGTAATACATTCATCAGTTGTTTTTTGCAGATGTAGCATTGATGGCACATGGAGACCCCAACAGTGTCTGGATAGCTATGGAGTCTGTTGGTGTGTGGACCCTCGTGGCCACAAAATACCTGGCACATTCGTCAGGGGATATGCCAACTGTACTTCCAGTAAGTCATCACTGAAATACTGTAAATCACAAATTTTTTGTGATCATGATATTTTTGCGAAAATTGCGAATGACTTGACTTTGCAAAAATATCATGACACAATTTGCTGGTCAAAGGCAGTAAACAATGAACAAATATGATGTGTCTCATTATCTCTTTATTATTCACCAGTTCACAAAATCAACAACAGATCTAGACAATACATCCATTAAGCAATGACAACAACTCGGGGGGAGACTAATTTGTAGCATTACCAGTACTCACATGTCACATGTCAAACAAGGGATACTCGAACAAAAGTTACTCAGTCAGTACATCTGATAGCCCGGACAGGCGCCAACCACGCAACACAATTCTTTGTCTTTAGAGACCGTTTGATAGGCCGACACCATCCAACGGGTGTGGATAGGTTTCATCACACTTATCCAGAGATCAACAGCTTCGATGATGTCATTGTCTTTCAAGTTCACCAACACTTCTCAGCATACCAGTAACTAAACAGATCTTTCATCACAGTTCTAAGTTTTGTCTGCCTATGCAGCGTGTATTGTTTTTTAGGAAAACATCACTGATTCCTACACACGGAAGTACTCTGAGCTCAGTTCATGATTAGCAGCAACCTTTTAATGTGTGATTAGATTTGCTTTAGGTAGAACTTTCAGTTGCAATTTATTTTGAGAATTAGGCAAGTCGCAAAAATATCATGACACAAGAACGTCTGTTGGTCGCCACTTGCAAAAGTATCGTGACGCAAAAAATTCATGATTTACAGTAGTCATTGCTTTTCTTGTGTAAAACTTGATAAAAACTACAGCTTTGTTCACTAGGTTTGGAGATAATGCTTCCATTGTATTTCCAGTGGGAAGACAGAATATCTCACAGCCGAATACCTCACAGCCGAATATCTCACGTCCGGAAGGGGAAATGGATCTTCCAGCAAGTATGTATCACTGTTTACATGTCTTTAATTTGATTTGGTAATCTGCTGATCTGAATCATTGTACCAGAATACCATGGTATCTCCTCTGAATCATTGTATCAGAATATGTTGGTATCTCCTCTGAATCATTGTACCAGAATATCTTGGTATCTTCTCTGAATCATTGTAACAGAATACCATGGTATCTCCTCTGAATCATTGTACCAGAATATGTTGGTATCTCCTCTGAATCATTGTACCAGAATACCATGGTATCTTCTCTGAATCATTGTACCACAATATCTTGGTGTCTCCTCTGAATCATTGTACCAGAATACTAGGGCTGGGACGGGTAGAAAAAAATTGGAATCGAGTACCCGCATGTGCTTACCCGAATCGGAATCGAGTACCCGGAAATGTAAGGAATACAGCGCTTCTGTCAACTGTCTGAATATTCAATCACGAGTTGACAGAGATAATTATAGAAATTTGAAAGGATGGCAATAAGACATTAAAACAGATCTTAGGCTATTTAATTTACGTTTATTTAATCAACATAAAGAGTAACAGCATTACTTACATTCCTCGTTAAAACACAGAACTTTTCGTTCCCGCCGCTCATGCATAGATAAATTACAGTCGTTAATAATGACCTTCTTTAATCGGACAATACCAATGATGTACATGTGTTACGTCAATTATGAAAAAGACAAGTTATTATCTGCCCTTGTTATTACATTGTTCTCTCCCTTTCTGGGTACTCGATTCCTAGAAATAGGACTCGATTCCAGGTGTACCCGACCCGGATTCGAGTACCCAGTACCGGCCCCAGCCCTACAGAATACGATGAAACTTTAAACTAATGTTTTCTTAGCCAGAGTGTCTCTGACATTTATTCAGGTTTTTTACTCTCTTTATATGCTTGTTTTTGTGCCATTTCCACAGAGCCTGATAGTATTCCTGCCCACTGTCAGCTTGCCCCAGAAACAGGCATGTGCCGAGCTTACATGCCCAAGTGGTTCTTCAACCACACCACTAATCGCTGCGAGAAGTTTGTGTACGGTGGTTGTGGTGACAATCTCAACAAGTTCGACACAGTTGAAGAATGCTATAAAGAATGTAGGTTATCATGTCATATACCATTAGCATGAAATGTCCCACCTTTGTTGCTATTCACAACATTTTAATTATATGATGGGGCGGAGTTGACATGCCTGGTGCTGATATCGTATCCCACTGCTGTCAATGGGTGTCCGGTGGGATAAGTGATGTGGCTATTAACCTTGTAACACCTAGCATACAGCTTTGGTTATCTGGGATAATAATTTTCATTATATTGTATGTACTTAGCGCATGCCCACGTGATGTGGAATTCAGTGCTATATAAGGGGCATCATTATTATGTATTGTTTGTTACTCGTGTAACTTTAGGGTACTGTACATTCAATAGGTGCACTCACTCATCCAATGATAGATGATGACCAGATGGTGGACACATCAGTACCTACAAACACCCTGAACACAAGTGTCAGCATGTACAATCACTTTGTTCACACATGCCTCTGTTCACCCAGCAGAGAATGTGTATCAGGTCATATCTCAAAACAAACTTAAGTCTGAGTTTTGACTTAGGTTAGAGTTTCTACTCAAATTTGAGAACAAGCAGGAAAATGCATTTCCCAGAATGAACTTAAATCAATATTAAACTCAAACATAGTAGACAATTTGAGTTAGCTGGATAGATTCCTTAAGTTGATTAGGCTTTTATATTAAAAAAATGCTGTTGAGTTAAAATATGTGATGTGTTTCAGGTAACGAAGATGCTAATCCATGCAAGGTAAGTTAAACTTGGTTTGATTATGATTTGAAGCTCTAGAGAGAGTGATTTATATATATATATTTATAAAAGAAAGAATGTTATCTGAGCACTAGGTTATAGATTGGGGAAACTAACACTCATTCATGTTGATTTAGACAAATAGGAACACAGAATGATAAAAGAGAACATCAAATCTTGTGACATGAACATAAATGAAAGTCTGGATCAATACAATGTGTGATACGGACCAGAAACATGCAGTTTCTTTCACTTTCCACTATTTTTCAATCACAATAAATATGGCTTCATGAATGGAATATATTTCCTTCATTAACTTGTGTTAACATTTACTTGACAGATGAAGAAGTGTAATGAGCAAGAGCAGTGTAGTCTTGCCATTGATCACAGCTGTCAGACAGGCAAATGTGCTCACTGGCCCGAGTGCAGCTGTAAGTATCCAGGCAGTTTTCTTTGACTAACAACGTAACAAACAGTCACCTCTTGTTGGTGTCCTCCTCGTGGACTCTTACTGATAGAAATGTGTCCATTAGCACATTGGGTCTGCTGTCAGTATTAGACATAGTGAGTTGATGCATGCAGTCAGATGTCTGCAGCCAGTCTGGTGATGCATGCAGTCATGTGTGCAGCCAGTCTGGTGATGCATGCAGTCAGATGTCTGCAGCCAGTCTGGTGATGCATGCAGTCAGATGTCTGCAGCCAGTCTGGTGATGCATGCAGTGATGTTTCCAACTGGTCTGGTGATGCATGCAGTGATGAGTTCTACAAGCTTGGTGATGCATGCAGTGATGAGTTCTACAAGCTTGGTGATGCATGCAGTGATGGTTCTACAAGCTTGGTGATGCATGCAGTGATGAGTTCTACAAGCTTGGTGATGCATGCAGTGATGGTGCTACAAGCTTGGTGATGCATGCAGTGATGGGTGCTACAAGCTTGGTGATGCATGCAGTCATGAGTGCAACAAGCTCAGTGATGCATGCAGTTATGTGTGCAACAAGCTCAGTGATGCATGCAGTCATGTGTGCAACAAGCTCAGTGATGCATGCAGTCATGTGTGCAACAAGCTCAGTGATGCATGCAGTCATGTGAGCAGCTGGTATGGTGTTCAATGCAGGCATGTGTTTTTCTGGTTTGGTGATGCAGTTAATCATTACAAAGTCTCTTCCAATGCATACATGTTATGTGTAGTTCCAGGTAATGTTAAGAATGATTGTTTTTAAAGCTGAGCATCTCTTGTTCCACAGATAATGTCAGCAGCCCCCACATCACTGGTGTCCATGTCCCAACATGCACAGCCCAGAAGTTCACCACCATGCAGTGTCGACATGGCTACTGTTGGTGTGTCAGTCCTGAGGGGAATGCAATAAATGGCAGCCTTGCAAAGACATATGGTGTAATGTGTCAAGATGACGGTGAGCAAGACAAAAGTTTTCATTCGGAATCTGTATGAGTGAACCAGGAATCAACTGACCATTGTGTCCATACATCAGTGTAAGGGACGGGAGATCTGATGACCACAGTGTCCATACATCGGAGAGTGTCCATACATCAGTGTAAGGGGACGGGAGATCTGATGACCACAGTGTCCATACATCAGTGTAAGGGGACGGGAGATCTGATGACCACAGTGTCCATACATCAGTGTAAGGGACGGGAGATCTGATGACCACAGTGTCCATACATCAGTGTAAGGGACGGGAGATCTGATGACCACAGTGTCCATACATCAGTGTAAGGGGACGGGAGATCTGATGACCACAGTGTGATCTGATGACCACAGTGTCCATACATCAGTGTAAGGGGATCGGGAGATCTGATGACCACAGTGTCCATACATCAGTGTAAGGGGACGGGAGATCTGATGACCACAGTGTCCATACATCAGTGTAAGGGACGGGAGAGATGACCACAGTGACAGTGTAAGGGACGGGAGATCTGATGACCACAGTGTCCATACATCAGTGTAAGGGGACGGGAGATCTGATGACCACAGTGTCCATACATCAGTGTAAGGGGACAGGAGATCTGATGACCACAGTGTCCATACATCAGTGTAAGGGGATCGGGAGATCTGATGACCACAGTGTCCATACATCAGTGTAAGGGGACGGGAGATCTGATGACCACAGTGTCCATACATCAGTGTAAGGGGACAGGGAGATCTGATGACCACAGTGTCCATACATCAGTGTAAGGGGACGGGAGATCTGATGACCACAGTGTCCATACATCAGTGTAAGGAGGGGATCTGATGACCACAGGAGATATGACCACAGTGGGGACGGGAGATCTGATGACCACAGTGTCCATACATCAGTGTAAGGACGGGAGATCTGATGACCACAGTGTCCATACATCAGTGTAAAGGGACGGGAGATCTGATGACCACAGTGTCCATACATCAGTGTAAGGGACGGGAGATCTGATGACCACAGTGTCCATACATCAGTGTAAGGGACGGGAGATCTGATGACCACAGTGTCCATATGTCAGTGTAAGGGGACGGGAGATCTGATGACCACAGTGTCCATATGTCAGTGTAAGGGGACAGGAGATCTGATGACCACAGTGTCCATACATCAGTGTATGGGGACCGGAGATCTGATGACCACAGTGTCCATACATCAGTGTAAGGGGATGGGAGATCTGATGACCACTTTTGGTGCCCAGTGCGGAGGGCTAATAATGAAATGCACAGTGAATTTGTTCATGAATACATTGATTTTCATGACGTCATGTGTTCAGTATGTCATGACAAATATTGCCTTTCCTTGTGATTGTATTATATTTCATTACATTAAATATATCATGTCACTGTTTACAGGAAACTACAACATCTTCGAAGGCAAAGCAGGTAGGATACATTTACAAAACCTAGTTTTTGTCTTAACAAATGGAAAACAAAAACGTATATAATGTTTGCTTCTTTCAGCACTGTAGTTCTTCCTGTTGCACTAAGTGCAGTCTTGTTCTCAACCTGCAACATACATATTCTGTTGTCTACTGGTCTGTAGAAGGACCAACATCGTTTATGAGCATTGTGTCGTTCACTTCGCAACTGTCAATATATTGTGTGTTGCAGTGACCTGCAGTAATGGGACCCAACCCAACCTGAGATGCCTGGACACCTGCATGGGGAAGGTGTGTCCTGGCAAACCCAAATCCACTTGTGTGGTCGACCTGTGCTCGAATACCTGCAGCTACAAGTTCATGATGGGACCAGAAGAGGTTGAATGTGGCGGTAGGTTGCTCCCCCAGACATCTTCATCATCATCCTCTACATCTCACTCACACCCACTGATGACATCTTCATCGTCCTACTCATCCATCTCACTCAGGGATCTCAAAACTCCACACCCACTGATGACATCTTCATTGTCCTAACAAAGCATTTCACTCAAGAATTTCGAAACCTTCATTGTCCTCCTTAAGCATCTCACTCAGGGATCTTAAAACCTCACACCCACTGATGACATCTTCATTGTCCTAACAAAGCATCTCACTCAAGAATTTCGAAACCTTCATTGTCCTCCTTAAGCATCTCACTCAGGGATCTTAAAACCTCACACCCACTGATGACATCTTCATTGTCCTAACAAAGCATCTCACTCAAGAATTTCGAAACCTTCATTGTCCTCCTTAAGCATCTCACTCAGGGATCTCAAAACCCCACACCCACAGACATTTTTATTGTCCTAACAAAGCATCTCACTCAAGAATTTCGAAACCTTCATTGTCCTCCTCAAGCATCTCACTCAGGTATCTTAAAACCTCACACCCACAGACATCTTCATCGTCCTACTCATCCATCTCACTCAGGGTTTTTAATACCTCACAGTATATCACAATACCATTTGAGTTTGATCTATTACTCTGCTATGATACCTCCCTGTGTGTTAAGGTCATTATACCCCTATTATTATCCAAATCTACTTGATTCATGGTATGATTTAGCGAAGAATTTCTGATTTTTAAAAGGGAATGTATTTGGGGAGTTCTGAATGTAACACTATCATCTTGTCACCACAGTTACCTGACACACCCTTCTGTGGAGAGGTTCATCTTTACACAGATAGGCATTGTGCTGGTGTAGAACATCTGCCTTTGATGAGATTGAATTAAGGGTTTTCTGGCAGAGGCAGACAGCAGTCTACTTTTCAAATGTGCAAGTTTTTGTCCTAGAATTTTTTGTTAATGTCAATCAACTGCTTTTAAACAGCTGATCACTTACACTTCATTTGTTTCCTTGTAGAGGATGACTGTGCTGTCATGTATGCCGAGCCCAAACCCTCGTGCCAAGGTAAGTTTCAATTGTCACAGCACTAGATGAGCTTGTCAGGTGTATATGTTTATGTATAGTTACCAGACTGTCAGGTTAGAGACTCCAGGATTCCTTAATGTCCAAATTATCTTTCAAAATCCCATGCTGTCCGTCATATACACAACAGTCTGTTAACTTCAAATATACCTGGGCAGAGGCAGAACTTTTTTCAATTAGCCTCCATGAACTAAATTTGTGTTGGGTTAAAATAGAATTTTTAAACGAATTTATCTGAATTTGTTCATAACAAAGAAATGTGGTAAAAACATGAACTTTGAATGAATCCAATGTAATGATCACAAAGTCAGACACCTCAGTCATTAACATTTTTTGTTACTCTTTGATATATGATAGTGTATTAATAAATGAAGTACAATGAACGAAGAATGCTAACACCTAGCACTTAGCCTTCCTGTGGTTGTTTGGTTTGTTGTGTAATGCCGCACTCAGCAATATTCAAGCTATATGGCAGCTGTCTGTAAATAATCAAGTCTGGACGAAACAATCCAGTGCTTAACAGCATGAGCATTGATCGACGCAATTGGGATACGATGACGTGTCAACCATGCCAGCAAGCCTGACCACCCAATCCTGTTAACCGCCTTTTACGACAAGCATGGGTTTCTGAAGACCAATTCTAACCCGGATCTTCATGGGTCTAGCCTTCTTTTGAACATGTTCTAATGTCCTCTACGTATATCTCTCATCACATGGTCACATCTCACTATGTAAAATGGAAATGATATTTCTGCTTTGTAAATGTTTCCAGTGGAGCCTGACTGCCCCCGAAGGATATGCCCCAACGTGTGTGAGACCCAGACCTGCGGGAGTGACCCATGTGCCATGTGTAAAGTGGACCCATGCACGTGTCAAGCTGTCTTCACAGACATGATGACCAATAAGACCATCGCTGACTGTGCTTCAGGTGGGTGCATTTGTTGTTTCATGCCCGGCACCATGTCTCAGCGTTGGTAACTACTTCGTCCATGTTTTCAGAATGTCTGACTATGTTGACTTAAATGCTGCTATGACAATATATGACTATGATGATGTAAATACCATTATGACAATATATGACTGTGGGGACTTACCATCATGACAATGTATGACTGTGGTGTCTTAAATACCAGTATTACAAGACGTGACATAAATACCAGTATGACAATATGTGACTGTGGTGACATAAATACCAGTATGACAATATGTGACTGTGGTGTCTTTAATACCAGTATGACAATATGTGACTGTGGTGTCTTAAATATCAGTATGACAATAGGTCATTGTGGTGACATAAATACCAGCATGACAATATGTGACTGTGGTGGCATAAATACCAATATGACAATATGTGACTGTGGTGACATAAATACCAATATGACAATATGTGACTGTGGTGTCTTTAATACCAGTATGGCAATTTGTGACTCTGGTGTCTTAAATATCAGTATGACAATAGGTCACTGTGGTGACATAAATACCAGCATGACAATATGTGACTGTGGTGACATAAATACCAATATGACAATATGTGACTGTGGTGTCTTTAATACCAGTATGGCAATTTGTGACTCTGGTGTCTTAAATATCAGTATGACAATAGGTCACTGTGGTGACATAAATATCAGCATGACAATATGTGACTGTGGTGACATAAATACCAGGATGAATGTACAACCATGGTGTCTTAAATACTGCTATGACAATATGTGACTGGTGTGTCTTAAATACCAGTATGACAATATGTGACTGTAAGGGACTTAAATACATGTATTACAATATCGGACTGTGGTGACTACGATGTAGCTTTTGTATGACAGTGTGGATTGACATATGGGTATGACGAGGTCTGATCATGATGACATAGCTTTAGTGTAGTCAGCAGCTTGTAAAAGATGCTTCCATTGATGAACTCATGACTGTGTTGCAGTGAGCCACTCCCACTGTCAGATGACCTGGTGTACAAAGAAGATGGAGAAGCACAGAGAGATGCTGATGACTGGTACGACCACAATCAGCCTCCCCACATGTGGGACTGATGGCCGCTATGAGCCCAAACAATGTGAAGATGCCCAATGCTGGTGTGTGGATGGTGTTGGTCAGTGGCTCAAGAGATCAGACTTGTATGATGTTTGCGGTAAGTTGACAGTCAAGGCATAGTAATTGCTTGAACAGAACAGAAGGCATCTTTGATATAAAACTTGAAACGAGAAGGATAATAATGTATAATTGATGTGCTTGGGATTCAGCATCTAAATATCCTTATAAACATATTTTTCAGGTCGGAATGAGACAGTGAAGATTGTGATTGAAATGAAGTTTAACAATGACTTCAGTCTTGTTGCAAACAAGATTGAAGCATTCAAGAGGTGAGCAAATATTCAGAGTGAGGAAATACTTTGACCGTCTTACATTAACATGACTTGTCTTGCCTTGACTGTGAGAGACTACAGGCCTTCAAGAGTTTCAGACAATCCCCGGATATTAGTGTATTGTTTTGGGGGGTTGGGGTGGGGGTGGTGGAGGTTTGGTATTATCTAGGCCTTATATCAAAGGGTTGTTATTTATGTGATGAGACATGTCCCACACCCTTACACAGATTGCTGTTAGCCTCACGAGGAGTGAGGCAAAGCAGATGGTAGTTCCTCATGTTCAGAGAGTTATTCAACATTTGTTGACTCTTTTTTTTCAGCGCTCTCGTCATGTCCATCATAGAGGCCTCAAGCATAGGTGATGCTGCAAGTTACATCAAGGAAATTCAGGTAGGTGTAAAGACGTTCAGGTAAGGGTGTAAAGACATTCAGGTAAAGGTGTAATGTCGTATGATGTAAAGATGCATCTTGTATTGCCAGGTGTCTGGTGTATAATGTAAGATGTGTCTTGTGTTGCCAGGTGTATGAGGGAAGCATCATTGGAAAGTTCACCCTGGAGGACAATGAAGACATGGCTACCCCGTCCACTGAACTCCCTGTCATAGCAGACAGGATTGAGAAAGCGGTAAAGATCTTCCCCTAATAAATGTATTTTGACATGTTAAATATCATCAAACATTCCTAAAGTGAAGATGTTGGGCCAGTATTGGTGCTGATTTGAGAGTAAGGCGTGTATATCTGGGTGTTAGATATGGTGCTGATTTGAGAGTAAGGCGTGTATATCTGGGTGTTAGATATGGTGCTGATTTGAGAGTAAGGTGTGTATATCTGGGTGTTAGATATGGTGCTGATTTGAGAGTAAGGCGTGTATATCTGAGTGTTAGATATGGTGCTGATTTGAGAGTAAGGTGTGTATATCTGAGTGTTAGATATGGTGCAGATTTGAGAGTAAGGCGTGTATATCTGAGTGTTAGATATGGTGCTGATTTGAGAGTAAGGTGTGTATATCTGAGTGTTAGATATGGTGCTGATTTGAGAGTAAGGCGTGTATATCTGAGTGTTAGATATGGTGCTGATTTGAGAGTAAGGTGTGTATATCTGAGTGTTAGATATGGTGCTGATTTGAGAGTAAGGTGTGTATATTTGAGTGTTAGATATGGTGCTGATTTGAGAGTAAGGTGTGTATATCTGAGTGTTAGATATGGTGCTGATTTGAGAGTAAGGTGTGTATATTTGAGTGTTAGATATGGTGCTGATTTGAGAGTAAGGTGTGTATATCTGAGTGTTAGATATGGTGCTGATTTGAGAGTAAGGTGTGTATATCTGAGTGTTAGTATTGGTGCTGATTTGAGAGTAAGGTGTGTATATCTGAGTGTTAGATATGGTGCTGATTTGAGAGTAAGGTGTGTATATCTGAGTGTTAGATATGGTGCAGATTTGAGAGTAAGGTGTGTATATCTGAGTGTTAGATATGGTGCTGATTTGAGAGTAAGGTGTGTATATCTGAGTGTAAGATATGGTGCTAATTTGAGAGTAAGGTGTGTATATGTGAGTGTTAGATATGGTGCTGATTCTAGGGTGAGGTGTGTATATCTGAGTGTTAGATATGGTGCTGATTTGAGGGTAAGGTGTGTATATCTGAGTGTTAGATATGGTGCTGATTTGAGAGTAAGGTGTGTATATCTGAGTGTTAGATATGGTGCTGATTTGAGAGTAAGGTGTGTATATCTGAGTGTTAGATATGGTGCAGATTTGAGAGTAAGGTGTGTATATCTGAGTGTTAGATATGGTGCTGATTTGAGAGTAAGGTGTGTATATCTGAGTGTTTGATATGGTGCTGATTTGAGAGTAAGGTGTGTATATCTGAGTGTTAGATATGGTGCTGATTTGAGAGTAAGGTGTGTATATCTGAGTGTTAGATATGGTGCTGATTTGAGAGTAAGGTGTGTATATCTGAGTGTTAGATATGGTGCTGATTTGAGAGTAAGGTGTGTATATCTGAGTGTTTGATATGGTGCTGATTTGAGAGTAAGGTGTGTATATCTGAGTGTTAGATATGGTGCTGATTTGAGAGTAAGGTGTGTATATCTGAGTGTTAGATATGGTGCAGATTTGAGAGTAAGGTGTGTATATCTGAGTGTTAGATATGGTGCTGATTTGAGAGTAAGGTGTGTATATCTGAGTGTTAGATATGGTGCTGATTTGAGAGTAAGGTGTGTATATCTGAGTGTTAGATATGGTGCTGATTTGAGAGTAAGGTGTGTATATCTGAGTGTTTGATATGGTGCTGATTTGAGAGTAAAAGGTGTATATCTGAGTGTTAGATATGGTGCAGATTTGAGAGTAAAGGTGTATATCTGAGTGTTAGATATGGTGCTGATTTGAGAGTAAGGTGTGTATATCTGAGTGTTTGATATGGTGCTGATTTGAGAGTAAGGTGTGTATATCTGAGTGTTAGATATGGTGCAGATTTGAGAGTAAGGTGTGTATATCTGAGTGTTAGATATGGTGCTGATTTGAGAGTAAGGTGTGTATATGTGAGTGTTAGATATGGTGCTGATTTGAGAGTAAGGTTTGTATATGTGAGTGTTAGATATGTTTTGTGATTGGGAAATGCATCTTTATACAGACCAGCAGACTGTCAATCAAAGAGAAAATATGTATGTTGTTCATAATGAGCCTTTAAAGTGCTGCATGACTACAAACCCTAGAGTTAAGGATTTAGTACATTGGAGGGTTCTAAATGTTGCAGGTAAAGAGTGGGACTATGCAAGTGAAATTTGAAGATATGGTACTGGTGGCTGACTCAGGGTTATATAGCAGAACCGACCGATTTGAAGGGGATCCTCCAATAGATGTTACCACAACAACAATAATGCCCACATATGAACCGGAGCCTGAAGCAGAACCCTTGGAAGAGAAGTACATCATCATCATCTCCGTGGTGGCTGGCGTCGTGGGACTAATTGTCCTGTCGGTGCTTGTCTATGTAAGTGTTACTTCATATGTATGTGACTGTTACAGTGCTGCTTGATACACTCTATGACTATGTTACGCTATTGCTTGATACAGTATGTGACTATATTACAGTGCTGCTTGATACAGTATGTAACTATGTTACAGTGTTGCTTCATACACTCTGTGACTATGTTACAGTGCTGCTTGATACAGTATGTGACTATGTTACAGTGCTGCTTGATACAGTATGTGACTATGTTATAGTGTTTCTTGATACAGTATGTGACTATGTTATAGTGTTTCTTGATACAGTATGTGACTGTGTAACAGTGCTGCTTGATACAGTATGTGACTATGTTACAGTGCTGCTTGATACAGTATGTGACTATGTTACAGTGCTGCTGGATACAGTATGTGACTATGTTATAGTGTTTCTTGATACAGTATGTGACTGTGTTACAGTGATGCTTGATACAGTATGTGACTGTTACAGTGCTGCTTGATACAGTATGTGACTATGTTACAGTGCTGCTTGATACAGTATGTGACTATGTTATAGTGTTTCTTGATACAGTATGTGACTGTGTTACAGTGATGCTTGATACAGTATGTGACTGTTACAGTGCTGCTTGATACAGTATGTGACTATGTTACAGTGCTGCTTGATACAGTATGTGACTATGTTATAGTGTTTCTTGATACAGTATGTGACTGTGTTACAGTGATGCTTGATACAGTATGTGACTGTGTTACAGTACTGCTTGATACAGTATGTGACTATGTTGCAGTGATGCTTGATACAGTATGTGACTATGTTATAGTGTTTCTTGATACAGTATGTGACTGTTACAGTGCTGCTTGATACAGTATGTGACTGTGTTACAGTGCTGCATGATACAGTATGTGACTATGTTGCAGTGATGCTTGATACAGTATGTGACTGTGTAACAGTGCTGCTTGATACAGTATGTGACTGTGTAACAGTGCTGCTTGATACAGTATGTGACTATGTTACAGTGCTGCTTGATACAGTATGTGACTATGTTACAGTGCTGCTTGATACAGTATGTGACTATGTTACAGTGCTGCTTGATACAGTATGTGACTATGTTACAGTGCTGCTTGATACAGTATGTGACTATGTTATAGTGTTTCTTGATACAGTATGTGACTGTGTTACAGTGATGCTTGATACAGTATGTGACTGTGTTACAGTACTGCTTGATACAGTATGTGACTATGTTGCAGTGATGCTTGATACAGTATGTGACTGTGTAACAGTGCTGCTTGATACAGTATGTAACTATGTTACAGTGCTGCTTGATACAGTATGTGACTATGTTATAGTGTTTCTTGATACAGGATGTGACTGTGTTACAGTGCTGCTTGATACAGTATGTGACTATGTTACAGTGCTGCTTCATACAGTATGTGACTATGTTACAGTGATGCTTGATACAGCATGTAACTATGTTACAGTGTTGCTTCATACAGTATGTGACTGTGTTACAGTGAAGCTTGATACAGTATGTGACTGTGTTATAGTGCTGCTTCATACAGTATGTGACTATGTTATAGTGTTTCTTGATACATTATGTGACTGTGTTACAGTGATGCTTGATACAGTATGTGACTGTGTTACAGTGCTGCTTGATACAGTATGTGACTGTTGCAGTGATGCTTAAAACAGTATGTGACTGTGTAACAGTGCTGCTTGATACAGTATGTGACTATGTTACAGTGCTGCTTGATACAGTAGGTGACTATGTTACAGTGCTGCTTCATACAGTATGTGACTATGTTACAGTGATGCTTGATACAGTATGTAACTATGTTACAGTGTTGCTTCATACAGTATGTGACTGTGTTACAGTGCTGCTTGATACAGTATGTGACTGTGTTATAGTGCTGCTTGATACAGTATGTGACTATGTTATAGTGTTTCTTGATACAGTATGTGACTGTGTTACAGTGATGCTTGATACAGTATGTGACTGTTACAGTGCTGCTTGATACAGTATGTGACTATGTTGCAGTGATGCTTCATACAGTATGTGACTGTGTAACAGTGCTGCTTGATACAGTATGTGACTATGTTACAGTGCTGCTTGATACAGTATGTGACTATGTTACAGTGCTGCTTGATACAGTATGTGACTATGTTATAGTGTTTCTTGATACAGTATGTGACTGTTACAGTGATGCTTGATACAGTATGTGACTTTGTTACAGTGCTGCTTGATACAGTATGTGACTATGTTACAGTGCTGCTTGATACAGTATGTGACTGTAACAGTGCTGCTTGATACAGTGTGTGACTGTGTAACAGTGCTGCTTGATACAGTATGTGACTATGTTACAGTGCTGCTTGATACACTCTATGACTATGTTACAGTGCTGTTTCATACAGTATGTGACTGTGTTACAGTGCTGCTTGATACAGTGTGTGACTATGTTGCAGTGGTGCTTGATACAGTATGTGACTGTAACAGTGCTGCTTGATACAGTATGTGACTATGTTACAGTGCTGCTTGATACAGTATGTGACTATGTTACAGTGCTGCTTGATACAGTATGTGACTATGTTATAGTGTTTCTTGATACAGTATGTGACTGTGTTACAGTGATGCTTGATACAGTATGTGACTGTTACAGTACTGCTTGATACAGTATGTGACTATGTTGCAGTGATGCTTGATACAGTATGTGACTATGTTATAGTGTTTCTTGACACAGTATATGACTGTTACAGTGCTGCTTGATACAGTATGTGACTGTGTTACAGTGCTGCTTGATACAGTATGTGACTATGTTGCAGTGATGCATGATGCAGTATGTGACTGTGTAACAGTGCTGCTTGATACAGTATGTGACTGTGTAACAGTGCTGCTTGATACAGTATGTGACTATGTTACAGTGCTGCTTGATACAGTATGTGACTATGTTACAGTGCTGCTTCATACAGTATGTGACTATGTTACAGTGCTGCTTCATACAGTATGTGACTATGTTACAGTGCTGCTTGATACAGTATATGACTATGTTATAGTGTTTCTTGATACAGTATGTGACTGTTACAGTGATGCTTGATACAGTAGGTGACTGTGTTACAGTGCTGCTTGATACAGTATGTGACTGTGTTACAGTGCTGCTTGATACAGTATGTGACTATGTTACAGTGCTGCTTGATACAGTATGTGACTATGTTATAGTGTTTCTTGATACAGTATGTGACTGTGTTACAGTGATGCTTGATACAGTATGTGACTGTGTTACAGTACTGCTTCATACAGTATGTGACTATGTTACAGTGCTGCTTCATACAGTATGTGACTATGTTACAGTGCTGCTTCATACAGTATGTGACTATGTTACAGTGCTGCTTCATACAGTATGTGACTATGTTACAGTGCTGCTTGATACAGTATGTGACTATGTTACAGTGCTGCTTGATACAGTATGTGACTATGTTACAGTGCTGCTTCATACAGTATGTGACTATGTTACAGTGCTGCTTGATACAGTATATGACTATGTTATAGTGTTTCTTGATACAGTATGTGACTGTTACAGTGATGCTTGATACAGTAGGTGACTGTGTTACAGCGCTGCTTGATACAGTATGTGACTATGTTACAGTGCTGCTTGATACAGTATGTGACTATGTTACAGTGCTGCTTGATACAGTATGTGACTTTGTTATAGTGTTTCTTGATACAGTATGTGACTGTGTTACAGTGATGCTTGATACAGTATGTGACTGTGTTACAGTACTGCTTGATACAGTATGTGACTATGTTGCAGTGATGCTTGATACAGTATGTGACTGTGTAACAGTGCTGCTTGATACAGTATGTGACTATGTTACAGTGCTGCTTGATACAGTATGTGACTATGTTATAGTGTTTCTTGATACAGTATGTGACTGTGTTACAGTGCTGCTTCATACAGTATGTGACTATGTTACAGTGCTGCTTCATACAGTATGTGACTATGTTACAGTGATGCTTGATACAGTATGTAACTATGTTACAGTGTTGCTTCATACAGTATGTGACTGTGTTACAGTGAAGCTTGATACAGTATGTGACTGTGTTATAGTGCTGCTTGATACAGTATGTGACTATGTTATAGTGTTTTTTGATACAGTATGTGACTGTGTTACAGTGATGCTTGATACAGTATGTGACTGTGTTACAGTGCTGCTTGATACAGTATGTGACTGTTGCAGTGATGCTTAAAACAGTATGTGACTGTGTAACAGTGCTGCTTGATACAGTATGTGACTATGTTACAGTGCTGCTTGATACAGTATGTGACTATGTTACAGTGCTGCTTGATACAGTATGTGACTGTGTTACAGTGCTGCTTGATACAGTATGTGACTATGTTGCAGTGATGCTTGATACAGTATGTGACTGTGTAACAGTGCTGCTTGATACTGTATGTGACTGTTACAGTGCTGCTTGATACAGTATGTGACTATGTTACAGTGCTGCTTGATACAGTCTGTGACTATGTTATAGTGTTTCTTGATACAGTATGTGACTGTGTTACAGTGATGCTTGATACAGTATGTGACTGTGTGACAGTGATGCTTGATACAGTATGTGACTATGTTACAGTGCTGCTTGATACAGTATGTGACTATGTTATAGTGCTGCGTGATACACTCTATGACTATGTTACAGTGCTGCGTGATACACTCTATGACTATGTTACAGTGCTGCTTGATACAGTATGTGACTATGTTGCAGTGCTGCGTGATACACTCTATGACTATGTTACAGTGCTGCTTGATACAGTATGTGACTGTGTAACAGTGCTGCTTGATACAGTATGTGACTATGTTACAGTGCTGCGTGATACACTCTATGACTATGTTACAGTGTTGCTTGATATTATATGTAAATGTATGTTACAGTGCTGCTGTTGTCAGCGTTTCAAGAACAAGTCGGAGACAGATTCCTCGCGGCTCAAGTGACTACAGCATAGAGAAGGTATGTTACCTAGGTCTGCTGTATTGTCTTACAAGTGGTAACAGACAATCCAGTAGGTGATCTGTAGGACTGACCAGCTCCTGTGGGATTGTCTGATGTAGCCTGGTAACAGACAATCCAGTAGGTGATCTGTAGGATTGACCAGCTTCTGTGGGATTGTCTGATGTAGCCTGGTAACAGACAATCCAGTAGGTCATCTGTAGGATTGACCAGCTTCTGTGGGATTGTCTGAAGTAGACTGGCAACAGACAATCCAGTAGACAATTGTTCGTATCTTTTCATAAACTAACCCCCAAAACTGATCTTATGTACTCACATTTTTCCCCAGATAAACTGGTGATTTAGTTGATAAATAGTCAGTCATATAATCATGAAATGAATTTGGATGCAATGATCAGAAATTTCATTTGAAACTATGATTTTACTAGGAATAATATAACTGGCATTATATTCTTTTTCTTACATATATAAGGAATAATAACAATAAACATGGCACTCTGGTACAGTTTGACCCATCCTCTTTGAGATTTCATACAAGAATATGTTGATATGTTATAGTCAAACTTTTAAAGATTCAAAACATGGCATTTATGATATATGAATCCATTCTCTATCAACTAAACCTCATGGAAGTAATTTTCTCTCGGGGCCGTGGGGTAGCCTAGTGGTTAAAGCATTGGCTCGTCACGTCGAAGACCTGGGTTCGATTTCCTACACGGGTGCAATGTGTGAAGCCCATTTCCGGTGTCCCCCACCATGATATTGCTGGAATATTGCTAAAAGCAGCGTAAAACCATACTCACTCACTCATTTTCTCTCTCATAAATTCCGAGAGGTTTGGGGCAACTTTGTATTATTACCGAGTCACAGAGTTGGCTTGGGGTCAGCAGTTGGAGATGCATAAAGTTTAACATTTACTTTATTAAAGAAGCATCGAAGTCTCTTAAATGCAGGGTAGAGCAGAGAAAACGGTAGGGAGTGGAATTAGAATTGTTTTATTAAATATATGTTTGGACCTATGTGGGAGAGTTATCTTCATCAGCTGACAAGGTTGTAACCTTACTATCGTAGTTTTACATCTCATCACATTTCATCTTCTTTTCCAGAAACAAGACTTCCAGTCTCCAGCAGTCACCAACGCCACTTATGGAATGGTGTACCCAGGGACAGACCTGTCCTACAAGCAGGATGACGATTTCATCAAAGTCCGACTTTGAGTTAGCTACCTTTCAAGATGAGATCATCCAATTAAACTTGCGGGTGAACAGTTTGGTCCAATATGTCCCAGTTGTTAGGCTACTAAACTTCAGACTATGTTTTTATAGATAATTGAAGAGAAATTTTGAAATGTCAGATCTCATCTGAAAGGTTGAAGATGTTTGCTGTATAGTTTACATGTCTTTTTTATACCTGTGGCTGCATAATATTGTAAATAGTTGATCAGCATGTGCCTTTTCAAGAAAAGTCTCATATCTAGAGTTTGTTTTTCAATCTTGGATGATATATTTTTTAACTGTTCCTACTTTGAATTGTTTTCTCCTATACTCTGTACTCCCTGAAGTACATCACGATGATATTTTTGTTACGACACCCAGGATGTTGTCGAATCCACTCACATTTTGAATCTGACATGTAATCATTCCCATGTATTTATGGAGGATCTGAACTTTGTGATATTTTAAAAATTACATTTTATGTAATTTGTGAGCTGTCGCATTCTTAAGTTTAAATCCATCCACAAAAATTTTTAATGGTGTAATATATCATTAAGTATTGTTTATTCTTTACACTTTGACGAGCATGACAAACATTTATTTTTTCGTAATGATGTTTGTTTTGCAATCTCGTAGTTTTTTACCCAATTAAATCTGTAAATTTTGACAAATATCTGCAGTAGTAGTTTCGTTTTGTACTACAGCTTTTAAAATGTGATCTTGATAATGTTGTTATACTTTTGACAAAATGTTTCACATGCTTTGGTAGATTATTTTGAAATGTAATGCTATGTTTATGTTCCATTATAATCAGTGTGTAGAACACAATATATATTTTTACTACCTTAACACACAGTATCATTCTTTACGTGAGTTTATATGCTTGTTTTTCCTGTCTTGCTATCATTGCACTCATAGATATAATTACAAAATCAGTATACCAATTTCATTTTCACATGTGACAATGTGCTGATCTATTTTAAAAGATATGTAAACCTCTATGTACACATTTATCAATTGCAGTTAAATCGCAGAGAAATACTCATGTCTGTGTGCAGACCACTTTGGAAGCACTTTCATGCCTCACAACAATTAAGATAAATGCCTTTTGTAATAAGTGTTGCGGAATCAATTCTATGCTTTTATAAATCTGAATAAAGATCTGATAATTACTGACAGTGGATTGTTCTGCTTGCAGTTGTATCCATACAGTTCCCAGCAAACAGTAGAAGAACGCTTCCAGCTAGGGAAAACACATGGCCTATGCAGTATATTTTTTAAAACATCAAGATGACAACCTACATCAAAAGCAAGAAATATGTAATTTTTAGAGTAAAATTGATATTTTATACTTATCCTGACTCATGCTCTTTTTGCTTGTCTTCTTCTTCTTGCTAACATAGTGGAACACTTGTATCTCCCTAATTGAAGCTCCCTTCAATGTAAAATCACTAATTAGTACTCAGCACGAGTTACCTCCCTTCCACAAGCGCGTGAACGAGGGCGCCACCTCCACCCATGTGCCTCACTCTCTCCTCATATACTGAGCCCAACATTTGAATTTACAGGGAAATCCAAAGTGTTATGTGGGGAGGATGGGAGCTTACCTCATGAGTCAGGATAAGTATAAAATATCAATTTTACTCTAAAAATTACATATTTTCCTTATCCTGACTCATGCTCTTTTTGCTTGTAGCATCCCACGGAAAGGAGGTGGGAAATATATAATACTTTTGATTTTAATAATTAGTGATTTGAACTGTGATGATTGTAATAACCCTATGGGAACTTCATAAAGGTACTGAACTGATGAATTCCTGCTGCTAACTTATCAGCTGCCATATAAAGGTTATTACAATGTACTTATTATGATAAAGTATATATAACATTAATACAATGCTTAAGACTAATAGACTTAAGCTTGTTAATATGCTAGTATAAACTCCTTAGAGTTTGTTAGCTAAAAAACTTTAAGATATAAACATAGTACTAAGCTTAAGATATGATTAAACTTAAGCTAATTATATAATAGCAAAACTCTTTAGAGTTTGTTAGTTAATATACTTATATGATAAAGATATAATGCTGAGCTTTAGATATGAATAAGCTTTAGCTACATATATAATAGCAAAACTCTGTAGAGTTTGTTAGCTAATATATTTTTACAATATGAGTATAGTACTGTGCTTAAGATATAATTAACTTAAGCTACATATATAATAGCCAAAACTCTGTAGAGTTTATTAGCTTATAGATTAATAATGTAACCATAGTACTAAGCTTAAGATAAGATTAGACTTAAGCTAAATGTATATATAAAAAAAAAACTCCTTAGAGTTTATTAACTAATATACTTTTATGTTATAACCATAGTACTGAACTTAAGATATAATTAAACTTAAGCTATATATATAATAGCAAAACCCGTGGAGTTTTGTTAGCTAATACATTTTATAATGTAACCATACTGCTTAAGATATGATGAAACTTAAGCTAATTGTATAATAGCAAAAACCCTTTAGAGTTTGTTAGCTAAAATACTTATATGATATAAACCTAGTATTGAGTTTATGAAGGAAACCTTAAGCTACATATATAATAGCAAAACTCCAGAGAGTTTGTTAGCTAATATACTTATATGATATAAACATAGTATTGAGCTTAAGATTTGAAGGAAACTTAAGCTACATATATAATAGCAAAACTCCTCCAGAGTTTGTTAGCTAATGCAAGTTATAATGTAACCATAAAGCTTAAATTATGATGAAACTTAAGCCAAATATATAATAGCAAAAACTCTTTTAGAGTTTTGATAGCTAAAATACCTATATGATATAAACATAGTACTGGCATGCTTTAAGATATGAATAAGCTTAAGTTACATATAGCAAAAACTCTGTAGAGTTTGTTAGCTAATACATGTTATAATGTAAACCATATTGCTTAAGATATGATGAGACTTAAGCAAAACTCTTTTAAATAGCAAAAACTCTTTAGAGTTTGTTAGCTAATATACTTATATGATATAAACATAGTACTGAGCTTAAGATATGAATAAGCTTAAGCTACCTATATAATAGCCCAAACTCTGTAGAGTTTGTTAGCTTTATATATTTTTACAATCTGAGTATAGTACTATGCTTAAGATATACTTAAGTTAAGGTAAATATATAATAACCAACTCTGTAGATTTGTTAACTTATATATTGTATGATGTAATAATCATAGTACTGTGATGATAAAAAGAACTTAAGCAAATTATATATAGCATGTAGCTATTTAGTACTGTTATAAGATAAGTAGAAATCTGTAAGATTGACTTATCTTCTCCGAGGAACTGTCAACTGTTGTGCGAGGACCATGGGATCGAATTGGTGGATACCTGAGACGTCCTCGGTGATGATATCTCTCAGATAATGGTTGGCAACCACCATATCGGATCTCCAGAAAATAAACCCTCCATTATTTCAAATAACATTGTGTAGATCAATGCAGAAGTTAGCGCTCTAATATCATGAGTATTAAAAGCTCATGGAGGGTCGGATTGGGTCCATCCGTCTTGTATGCACGTAGTATGACAGTTCTGATCCAAACGGAGATATAGTACGTGAGATTTCATTCTGCGTAAGTTGATGATAGAGGAAATAATCTGTTGTATTATTCCCTTCTGTTTGGTTCGGTGGAGATAAATTTACAGTGCTCTTGCTGGCCATCGTGATAGAATCATCGTATCATGAAGTCCAAGTATGTCATCCAGGCGTATTCATAAACCTCACTTGTGAGGTGTTGGAGCACTATATTCAGATCCCCAAGTTGGAGGGTGAAACTTCCGTTTTAATTCTCCAATCAGAAAGTTTAAGTAGGTTTACTAACCATCTAGTTGTGTTAGTAGCTTGATTATGAAATTCAGCTGTAGTTCGAGACGCTGTGGATTTAGATCCACTTGTATCCCGTCGTCTCAGCTTATTCGCTGCGAAGTCCTTGACGATGTAGGTGCACAACCAGGTGTGTCTGTCCTCGTTGAAGTTTATGTAAAATTGCCTGACTGCCGTGCCCTCGTCCTAACTTGACAGGGGAGGTCTCTAACCTGAAGAAAACAGCCCGATCATGAAGGTTCAGATTAACTGGACTGTAAGGAGGCTTGCTCGTTCACTGATATATAGTTGTCACTTGTAACGTAAGTGTTGACCTGTGAACTAAGATCGACCTCTGCGTAGGTCGTTGTCCAACGCGGTCCAATCAGAACAAGGCATTTTGATTCTGTAGAATACCCGCGCTGTGATGTCACCGGTGTAGCAGGAAAAAACCTTGTATAAAATCTTGCCTTCGTTGATATTAGCATAATCGTCGGTCTTCACCGTAGCTTCCCGAAGTTACCCGAGTGACCACGTGTTTCGAGGGTTAAAGGTAAACGCGCGAAACCTCCGGCGCGAAATACCTCGCTCTGTAATATTAATGCTGGGTAGGTTATTTTCCTGGCTGTCGTGAAAGTAAGTTCAGTTTTGAATATAATTCCGACTTCCTTATATAAAGGTACAATAAACTTGCAAGTTGTCAGCTTGTAGACTGTATACATGAATGTATCGTCATAATTGTAGAATTAAAGCTGAACTTGTTGTACATATTTCTTCTCAGAAACTTTGACGATTATGAGTTATACTCGCTGTAACAAGGCTGCTGTTCAATTTCGATATTGAATTGTCTGCAGATCTGCGTAATGGTCACGCATGTAGATAATCGTATCGTAGTCCGGGATTGCATATTCTAGCAATCTATACGGAAAGGTTGATTTCTGTGAAGATCTATGCAACGTCGTTGATTAATTAATATAGCGACGTTCTGTGTTGTAAATAGCCTGTGCAATTGTCTTCGCGTAGGCTTATAGACGGCATATGGCATACAGTTGATAGACAACTTATGCGATGTCTTGAACGGACTGACGAGTAGCTATATATGACGAGTGGCTAATATATGGAGACCTTGGAGGAGAATTCCTCGGTGGACGCCGGAGATTTCGCGAAGCTCTCGAAGTATCCAATCTAGATTTCTGTGTGAGGTAGACTTGAGTTAACTTAGCCTTCGCGACCTTCGCGAAAGGTATTGAGTCAGAGCCCGATCAGTATATATATTATATATGAGCGCTTGCTTCGCGAACGACCTCTGTGTTCAACAGGAGTGAGTGAGTGAGTGTATTGTTTTACGCCGCACTCAGCAATATGTGGGGTCGGTGAAGCGCTACTCCTCCGTGACGTCCCTTGTAACTGGTGAGGCTGTAGCTCCTTCGCGGAGGTGGCCTGGGACTTCCTTAGCGAAGTGTCTAGAAACCGATCAATATATGAGCGTTAGCTTCATACAGGGTGTGGTTCTTGCTGGTTCTGCATAAGTAGAGCCGAGTAGATCATCCTATCATCTTCAGAAGTCGTGTCACGAAATCTGGTGATAAGAATCTCATTGATCGTTCTAGATCTATTAATGCCAATAACATACGCCTCTGGCGTTTGAACTGTTATGGCTTTATGGTAGGCTGTGTCCACATACTGTGGCACCGCAGCAATCGAGTCGATTGGAGGTAAGGTGATGGCGTCTGCCTCGTCTTCCTTTATCAGGTATGTCTGCGCCGAGTTGCCACTCTTGGAAGGTGAAGAGAGATCTAGGTTGTTTACCATCCAATATCGTATCTCAGCGTCTGAGAAAATGATGCCTCCATCATTTTCTATCCCAGCATCACTGATGAGAGGTTGATGCTCTTCTGATGGTGGACTGTGTATTTCTATCTCTATGTCGGGTGACGCTCGGGGAGACCTGACTGTAGACTTGTGTGCAGACTTGTGTGGTGATGTACGAGGAGATCGGCGCGGTTAACGGCGCGGAGATCGTGTTGGTGAACTGCGTCTATGGGTTGACCTTCTCGGAGACCTGTGAGGAGAATGTTGATAGCTTCGCGAAGCTCTCGTGTAGTCAGGTGTCCTTCGCAAAGGCCTTCGCGAAGGCCTTCGCGAAGCTTCCTCTGCGTCCGGTCCTGGGGAACGGCGATTTGACCTTCGCGAAGGCTTTCGTGAGGTCTGACGGTCTGAGTCCGCATCTAGGGATGAAGCCGAGGAAGGTGATGATCTATCCCGCCTTCGCGAAGGCCTTCGCGAAGGCTGTACATCTGGGTCCTTCGTGGAGGTGGTCTGCGACTTCCTTCGCGAAGGTGGCTTCGTCGTGGCTGCTACGCTGATGGGGGTGCCTCTGGGGTGTCGTCTGCGTTGGAACCTTCGCGAAGGCTCGGGCCTTGGGCTGGCTGCTTCCCAGTCTGTGGTGGCCCTCCATCATGATCATGATTTGCCGCAACAGTTCATCTGGGATGGTCTGCGACGAATTAGTCGGTGCCCTCTCTGCGATGTTAGCGGCGGGACCCTCAGGGAAGTCGTCTGACGTCAGTGTAGAGACATCAGGCTGCATGGCGATCTCTGCTGATGTCACTGTAGATGTCTCCGGTCGCTTCTTGTGGCGTACGTCGGGGATGATGATCAGCTGATCATCGTAGAGGCCCAGTTCAGCGGCTGGAACAATCTCGGTTGAGAAAGTCCTAGTAGACTTCGTTGATTTCCCCTCAGAGGTCGACGCTGCCCTGGGGGTGCGAAGTCTGCGTTGAGTGTTGGTAGCGACGGGACCCTCAGGAAGATCATAGAATATCATCGTTGGTACATCAGGCTGCATGTTGATCTGCGCTGACATCACTGTTGCCGACATCGGTCATTCTTTTGATGTACATCAGGTATGATGATCGGCTGATCATCATACAGGCCCAAATCTGCGACGGGAACAATCTCGGCTGCGCGTTGAGATGCAGTAGAAAAACTCTAGTCTTCGGCTGCGGCGATGGGATGTCTGGGGAAGCAGGACGCTTCTTGGAGGCGGCGGACTACGTCCCACGCCTCTCCACCACTCTAGCGGAACACCAGACGGGAGCGGGGTCGACCAACAGCAGTAGACTGGCGAGGGGTTCAGGTGTATCAGTCATGGCTAGACTCTGCATACGCGACCTATCTGCTGCGCGTCTCAAACGCAAAGTAATTATTTATTAAAGGCAGAAATGGATAAATTAGTACCGCAACTGCAACGTGAATAAAATGAACATGGCGCAGTACAACTAGGGCATATTAAATGCGGATCAGCAGCAGAATAAAAAACGTAATCTGCAACAGAACAGAATTTTTATCAACGTAATCCACTGAAACAAACACGGCGTCCCGTGAATAAACAGTAGAAACATGACTAAATATCAATATATAATTGTTGAAGGATACTAGCTAAACCTCTATAGATGTCTATACGAGGTAACTAACTAAATATAATCAAAGGATATAGTGTGTCGGGAGACACAGGCGCTCTCACGTCCAGCTCACTGGGCGAAGAAGGAGAGAGTGAGGCACATGGGTGGAGGTGGCGCCCTCGTTCCCGCGCTTGTGGAAGGGAGGTAACTCGTGCTGAGTACTAATTAGTGATTTTACATTGAAGGGAGCTTCAATTAGGGAGATACAAGTGTTCCACTATGTTCGCAAGAAGAAGAAGACAAGCAAAAAGAGCATGAGTCAGGATAAGGAAAAATATATGTACTTCCCCTTTAATGATGTTGACTTTCCATCTCTGCCACATGTACATAAGTTTTTGCTCAATTCCAATAATAATGAGATATGGGTTTTGATGCAAGTGACCTTGACCCTTAGCTTCAACCAATCACAGGCAAACACAGCCATGTTCTGTTTATGTTTGTCGAAATGCCTTTAATGATCTACAGTTATAACAAACTAAAATTAGTGCTCCTGTTAGGTTTGTAATAACTGTAGTTTACTGTCCACACAATTTTGCCGTACAGTTCACACACATTATCCTTCAGAGTGGTACTATCAGAAATATTGTCCAAGGCAATTTATTCAATTTTCTGAAAAGACAAGTGATAACAGCACCAACAACTGGACATCCTGGCCAGCCGGTCAGCCAACGGGTTGCTTCAACAAGTGGACTACAAAATACGACAAAATATCAGTTCTTACTCTTAAAGGCTTTATTGCAGAAAAATGTCAACAATTGTTTTGGTCCCTTAAATACAGGTGGATCTAACATTAACTCCAGCCTGATGCTATTCAACACTGACATACCTATACCATGTGTAACTGGGTTTACAGGATGTCATAATAAACAGTGGACTGCTTGAAATATCTGGAAAAAAATGAACACAGAAATGAGAAAGACTGACTGACTGAGTTTGGTTTTATGCCGCTTTTAGCAATATTCCAGCAACATCATGGCAGGGGACACCAGAAATGGGCTTCACACAATGTACCCATGTGGGGATTCGAACCTGGGTCTTCGGCATGACGAGCCAACGCTTTAACCACTAAGCTACCCCACAGCCCCGAAATGAGTAAGAAACACATTCGACTATTTTAAATTGTTGTCATGCAAAAATCCCATTGTAACTGGAAATGTAGAATTGAGCAAGGAGAACTGAGATGTCTGCACAATGACATATGAATTCTAGAACACAAATTCATTTACTCAAGCTGCAGGCATTTGCCCTTAATGTCCCGAACTATTTACTACAAAGTGTGCTCCATGGAAATAAACCCTGTTCTAGTCACTAGAAAAGCATTTCTCCTGAAGCATAAAAAGATATAGATTGAGAAATTTGTTCAAGGACATCACATGGCTGAAGCAGTAATTATCACATAACCTTTTAGGAAATAAAAACAAATAACCACTTCTTTTCAGATATTATTTGACAAAGTCGTCTTCTCTTGTTTGTTTGTTCACGGGAGCGATACCCCCTTACCCCTGAAAAAAGGTTTGACAAAAAGTGTAACCCATAGATAAGCCGACCCCTTCTACAAAATTCGGCTTATCTACGGTAATAAACGGTAATTCTAATGGTGGCGCCATCCTGCTAACCTAGCCAATATCAAATCAAGGCATTTTCAGAAGGGAGGGTAATACAGTAACATGCAAAACACAACAGTCCATATCACCTTTAGCTTTGACCGATAAGTTAGAGTAATTACATGTCAAATGTTGCGGAAGCCTACAAATTTTGAAAGTAAGTGAGTGAATGAGTGAGTTTAGTTTTACGCCGCACTCTGCAATATTCCAGCTATATGGCAGCGGAATTTGAAAGTAAGGAAAACTTATACTGTCAAGGCATCTTTCTGTATTAGGAAAATGCTGTTTTGCCGTTTTAACCCAAATCACACTTCCATCATTTACATAGCAGAGGAATGTTTTCTTCACGTTTTTTGCAATCCCTCGGACTACAGACACATCCATACTTGGCCTGCAGAGATTTTGATTACTGAATCTTACACCATCAAACAGTCCAATCTTTGTTAAAGTGGAATGCACAGAGAAGGGTTGTGTCCACATATAATCCAAGAAGTGGGTGTCACAGGTATGTGGAAGGCTGAGAAAGTCTTGTATGTACACCCACACTTCTGCGTATTAGCCTTTACAGGTCAAGAGGCCACAGCATCAAAATACAAGCCATCACCACTGTAGGGATATTTACAACTGCACCAAGGAAGTTAGACTTAAACATTAATTTCTATAAAAAAAATATATAACAGACTGGGGTCCTTAGATTGTCCGCTTCTCTAGACTTGCCTCTTTAAAGGATGAAATTACTGTACATCCATGGGCTCAGCATTCGGTACAGCCTTGGAGCAAGGCTACAAGGATAAGTATCACTGAATTACAGCCCACTTTCGGCCAATATCAACTGATTTATTTGGGGCGCCGACATGTTCAGGCACTGTCACCTTGCAAGGTTGTTTTCCCCAGTCTGTGAATTGTAAACTTGCTAAGTTGTATGCAATGCAAGTGTGTTGCACTTGCTGGATAACAAGAATATTGATTCATATTTGGGGCTGTTCTTGGCAACAGTTGTGCCCTAATGTGGGATCAGTTCCTGGTCCAGCTGTCTTTTAGAGACGACACCAGAAGTTGGGTACAGCACGAGATTCACCATATTTCGGTGACCAGACCTGCTTGCAAGGTAGCCTCCATGCTAGATCGATTCCAACTGGGACCATTATATGTGTAGACAAAGATGAACTGAGCTTGCCTTCAGAATGAATGTATGCATAACTACAATGCCTGCTGGAACACCACATTGATCAAGCCACTATGCCCTTATCATGTAAACCAGCCTGCTGGGAAACCACATTGATCAAGCCACTATGCAGATATCGTGTAAACCAACCTGCCAGGACATCACATTGGTCAAGCCACTATGCAGATATCGTGTAAACCAACCTGTGGGCATCACATTGGTCAAGCCACTATGCAGTTATCATGTAAACCAACCTGCTGGGACATCACATTGGTCAAGCCACTATGCAGATATCGTGTAAACCAACCTGTGGGCATCACATTGGTCAAGCCACTATGCAGATATCGTGTAAACCAACCTGCTGGGACATCACATTGGTCAAGCCACTATGCAGTTATCATGTAAACCAACCTGCTGGGACATCACATTGGTCAAGCCACTATGCAGATATCGTGTAAACCAACCTGTGGGCATCACATTGGTCAAGCCACTATGCAGATATCGTGTAAACCAACCTGCTGGGACATCACATTGGTCAAGCCACTATGCAGATATCGTGTAAACCAACCTGTGGGCATCACATTGGTCAAGCCACTATGCATTTATCATGTAAACCAACCTGCTGGGACATCACATTGGTCAAGCCACTATGCAGATATCGTGTAAACCAACCTGCTGGGACATCACATTGGTCAAGCCACTATGCAGATATCGTGTAAACCAACCTGCTGGGACATCACATTGATCAAGCCACTATGCAGATATCGTGAAAACCAACCTGTGGGCATCACATTGGTCAAGCCACTATGCAGATATCATGTAAACCAACCTGCTGGGACATCACATTGATCAAGCCACTATGCAGTTATCATGTAAACCAACCTGCTGGGAAACCACATTGATCAAGCCACTATGCAGTTATCATGTAAACCAACCTGTGGGACATCACATTGATCAAGCCACTATGCAGTTATCATGTAAACATGCTAAAACCAATAATAAAAACACAGATGGGTAAAATATACAGAATGGCACATCACCAACACATGACTGCATCAATCACATGTAGATAGGACTAGAGAAGGAACAGGCTTGAAGACATAGGCATAAAATCTGAGCACCATGATCTGAGCATTAACAGAAAACTGCCATTCTGTAACAGGTCATGTAATGTGGCTAAGGGGTTCATGAATATAAAGCAACATTGTTAGTCAGGGTGTGGACCTGAAGCTACATCGGAGTCACAACTATTTTAAGTCAGTGTTGATATATGAGTGCAAGGATCGCCTTGCCACTAACATCGCTTTGTGGAACTGGGTCTCTACTACAGTGTTCACCTTACAACTACCCCAGTTACAACAGTTGTAGCACTAGTTGTAGAGCTACTCGGTGAGGGGACTACTTGCCTCAATGCCAGTACAAGCCTTGGTTTCCAACACACATTTGTCATCTGAAACCTCGGATGCAGTTAAATGCTTAAGTTAACTTTAAAGCAAACCTACTGTAGTTGATAACCTAGTTGTGGTGGTGTGTGGTCCTGTGCACTGAGCTCAGGTCACGAATCAGTTGAAGCTTAGCAACGTCAAGCTCGGAGAGTCCTTGGATGGGTACCTGGTTGGGTGACTGTGTTGGGAAGCCTGACTCCTGAGAGTTTCTAGGACTTCAGTCCTGCCCCACAATGTGATACATGTGGTCTCACCTTAGGCAAGTGAGTTTGTTCAAAATTTCCTCTGTTTACCCAGCAGAAAATGGGTACCCGGTTGGATAAAGTCATGTGACTATAACCCTCTAGCGCCTTACAGGCAGCTTGGGTTATCCGGGGTTATAATAATCAGATTCTGATTACAGCATCCAGTGAGCAACTAGTCAGGTGGATCCTTGCGCTGTATAAATGAACTATTAGTATTATCATTATCATACTATGTTAAAACTCCTTCTGATACCAAGACAAAGGTGTGGACTAGTTGTAGCACCAGCTGTATCAACAAGCTGTGTTTGCCTACCTGATGATGAGTATATTGTATAGCAAAAGCTTAATGGTAGATAATAATTTGTAAAAAAAATTCTGTAATTTGTGACACTATTTAGGACAGCCTTAAGCCATTCCTTACAAGGTAAAACTTTATACATCAAACAGTTATAAATTATCTATGAAAAACGACAACATACAAGGCATGTACAACATTGTCATGCGTGACATGACACAAAATGAAAGACAAAGCATTCACAATATCATCACAAACAATCACATATCTACAGCATATAACAAAAATCACAACTACAATGACGGACAGGGATGCTATTTAGGTCAGTATTTCATTTATTCTATACTAAACAATTGCATTAAACTTAAAACTTAGACAAGGAGTTCCAGTCATTTCCCACCTACCATTTCTCCACCCAGACAATACCGGGGGTGCTTGTATGACAACTTCCCATCATAGATCCTTGATCCCTTTCTACACTGACATGAAATACTGTTTTTAACACACGAAACATGAGAACCTACAAAACGGAAGCTGTAAATGGTGAAATTGTCATCTCATTGTCAGGTTGAGAAATACTTACTTACAATACAAATACACAACAGCTGCTCATGCTTCATGTAATATAGCAAAATAGTTACCACCTGCAAGCAAGGCCACAAGTCAGGATTTGGGGAATTTAGTAGTTAAGGTATTTACGATTCCATCAATGTAAAAGGTATGTCATAAATATGTTAATACAATATGGAAAAATTTCCTTAAACTGAAGTTTTCTTGCTTTCTTTCTAAAAACACTTTAACCACTAGGCTACCCCAACGCCCCACTATGTGCTGGAACTAAGATGGGTAGGCGTAGTGTAGTCTCCAGCTGCCTCTATAACAACAGTTCTCCACAGAGGGTACCATGTAACACAGCCAGTGTGCTAAATAACCACTGGCCCGTGGCTAGTAAAAATCCAGTCGGACCATTAAATCTCCACAGTCACTGGCCTGACTGGCTAGTGAATTTTCATGTGGTCATTTTGTAAATATATCACTCTCTCTGACTTGGTAAGGTTTTATACACTATAACATCATGCAAGATTATGACCTGATAAAAATGTTCATATTAGCAGCTTAATGATGAAACCCATGTCATGCTGACAATATCTTATTTTCATCTATTTCTGTAATCTTTTGTTTGGTTTCTACATTCAAATTTCGGTCTAGTGAATCATCTTGTTTGTTAGTAACTTTCAGGCATAGCTGGCTTGACTGGGTAGCAAAATTTGGAAACTATTTCGCACACTCAACACAGCTAAGAAAAACACAGACAGAACTTTCACTTGAACAGTGACGAAATCTATCACAATTTGAAACAAACATTGGAAAAAAAAGTAACAATATTACATCAAAATGGCTATCACATCGGCAAGTGTGTAAATATAAAACAATGGCACAAAGTAGTTTACAAGGCTCACGAACACCATGATGTAGAAAACACAACTCTGCTGATACACTATGATATTAAATATACCTGCACCACACACAGAGGCTGATGTCTTAACCCTGTACACAGTACCTAGCTGCTGATGTAGTACATAAAAGACTGACTGTGAAAGTAAATATTTTTTCCCGCAAGCTGTAATCTTATCACCACCCTGGTAGGAGTGAGTGAGTGAGTGAGTTTAGTTTTACGTCGCTTTTAGCAATATTCCATAAATATCACGGCGGGGGACACCAGAAATGGGCTTCACATATTGTACCCATGTAGGGAATCGAACCCGGGTCTTCGGCGTGACGAGACCGAACGCTTTAACCACTAGGTTACCCCACCACCCCTCAACCTGGTAGGACAAGGTACTACTAAAAACACTACCTTACTTTCTGACAAAATGGCAAAAATACATTTCAACTAAATCATGTTGATATACAGCATAAAATTATCATAGTAAACAAAATTTACTGTCTATATAGGTTTATGCAAAGAGTCAAGAAAGTGACATTCTTCACATTTGTACATGTTGAAGGGAGTGAGTTAACAGTTTACTATCGACATGCAATACCATGTAATACTGTAGAATAGATTCCATGTGTAATTCAACATCACAAATTGCACTTGGTCATCCCCTGGTCAAGAAGCACCAGATGTCTCCCAAAAGTTGTACATGCCCAAACTTACACTAATTAAAACAACAAAGAGATTGTCCCTGCTGATGTATTGGTACAGCCTAAGAGAAGGGATAACAATTTGTACACATTGTTACATATCCAAAAGGGAATCTTCCCTACAACCCAAGAGAAAGCCTAGTGGTTGAAGCCTTTGCTTGTCACACTGAAGGCCAAAGTTTGATTCCTCACACGGGTACAATGTGTGAAGCCCATTTCTGGGTCCCCCACCATGTATTGGTACAGCCCAGAGAAAGACTTTTACCTGCTGATGTATTGGTACAGCCCCAGAGAAGGGATTTTCCCTACTGATGTATTGGTACAGCCCCAGAGAAAGACTTTTACCTACTGATGTATTGGTACAGCCCAGAGAAAGACTTTTACCTACTGATGTATTGGTACAGCCCAGAGAAGGAATATTACCTACTGATGTATTGGTACAGCCCAGAGAAAGACTTTTACCTACTGATGTATTGGTACAGCCCCAGAGAAGGGATTTTACCTACTGATGTATTGGTACAGCCCCAGAGAAGGGATTTCCCCTACTGATGTATGATTTTCCCTACTGATGTAATTGGTACAGCCCAGAGAAGGGATTTTACCTACTGATGTATTGGTACAGCCCAGAGAAGGAATTTTACCCACTGATGTATTGGTACAGCCCCAGAGAAGGAATTTTACCTACTGATGTAATGGTACAGCCCAGAGAAGACTTTTCCCTACTGATGTATTGGTACAGCCCAGAGAAGGAGACTATTACCTACTGATGTATTGGTACAGCCCAGAGAAAGACATTTCCCCTACTGATGTATTGGTACAGCCCAGAGAAGGGATTTCCCCTACTGATGTATTGGTACAGCCCAGAGAAGGAATTTACCTACTGATGTATTGGTACAGCCCAGAGAAAGACTTTTACCTACTGATGTATTGGTACAGCCCAGAGAAGGAATATTACCTACTGATGTATTGGTACAGCCCAGAGAAGGAATATTACCTACTGATGTATTGGTACAGCCCAGAGAAGGAATTTTACCTACTGATGTATTGGTACAGCCCCAGAGAAGGAATTTTACCTACTGATGTATTGGTACAGCCCCAGAGAAGGAATTTTACCTACTGATGTATTGGTACAGCCCCAGAGAAGGAATTTACCTACTGATGTATTGGTACAGCCCAGAGAAGGAATTTTACCTACTGATGTATTGGTACAGCCCAGAGAAGGAATTTTACCTACTGATGTAATGGTACAGCCCAGAGAAGGAATTTACCTACTGATGTATTGGTACAGCCCAGAGAAGGAATTTACCTACTGATGTATTGGTACAGCCCCAGAGAAGGAATTTCCCCTACTGATGTATTGGTACAGCCCAAGAGAAGGATTTCCCCTACTGATGTAATGGTACAGCCCCAGAGAAGGAATTTCCCCTACTGATGTATTGGTACAGCCCAGAGAAGGAATTTTCCCTACTGATGTATTGGTACAGCCCAGAGAAGGAATTTTACCTACTGATGTAATGGTACAGCCCAGAGAAGGGATTTCCCCTACTGATGTATTGGTACAGCCCCAGAGAAGGGATTTTCCCTACTGATGTATTGGTACAGCCCAGAGAAGATTTCCCCACTGATGTAATGGTACAGCCCAGAGAAGGAATTTTACCTACTGATGTATTGGTACAGCCCAGAGAAGGAATTTTACCCACTGATGTATTGGTTACAGCCCAAGAGAAGGAATTTTACCTACTGATGTATTGGTACAGCCCAGAGAAGAATTTTACCTACTGATGTAATGGTACAGCCCAGAGAAGGAATTTTACCTACTGATGTATTGGTACAGCCCAGAGAAGGAATTTTACCTACTGATGTAATGGTACAGCCCAGAGAAGGAATTTTACCTACTGATGTATTGGTACAGCCCAGAGAAGGAATTTTACCTACTGATGTATTGGTACAGCCCAGAGAAGGAATTTTACCTACTGATGTATTGGTACAGCCCAGAGAAGGAATTTTACCTACTGATGTAATGGTACAGCCCAGAGAAGGAATTTTACCTACTGATGTATTGGTACAGCCCAGAGAAGGAATTTTACCCACTGATGTAATGGTACAGCCCAGAGAAGGAATTTTACCTACTGATATAATAGAACAACCATGAAATGGGATTTTGCTGACTGATGTAATGGAACAGCCCAAGAGATGGGATTTCCCCTACTGATGTAATGGAACAGCCCAAGAGATGGGATTTTGCTGACTGATGTATTGGTACAGCCCAGAGAAGGAATTTTACCCTACTGATGTAATGGAACAGCCCAAGAGATGGGATTTTGCTGACTGATGTAATGGAACAGCCCAAGAGATGGGATTTCCCCTACTGATGTAATGGAACAGCCCAAGAGATGGGATTCAAGCAGGGAAGGTAACTTACATGAAAAGACATTCAGAGGTCGGAACAGTGTTGTGACATTGGATATGTGTCTTATATATATCTAGTAAAAACAAACCATGGTTACGATTCTAAGATTTAGAAAAATACAACAAAAACATTAATCACTGAAGTAACAAATCAATAGTGAGGGTTTTGGCATGTTGAGGTTTTGGGAGGATACCCCGAAGACAGAACACCTTATGACAATGGGTTGAGATCAGCCCCTTCACCATCTCCCGACACCTTTGGCGAACGCACACACGCACGCACGCCACGCACGCACACGCACGCGACGCACACACGCACACACACACACACACTCATATATCAAAAGCATAACATTTTATAACCAATATTATCATAAATGTAATACAATATACAATATCACATCATGGAAAAAAGCCATCAGTACTTGTAAATATGTTAAAAGTTTCTACACATGAGAGGAATATACTAGCAAGTATGTGATCTGGAACCGTGAGTTGTACTGTGGTCCTTGGCGTGCTGCCAGACTAGGTCTAGACAAGGTACATACAATGTGTGCAACCTTGTTCAGTGTGTAACACAGTCATTTATTTACTGCCATGTCAATATACAGGGTAACCTGTCGTGTCAAGTGGTGGGGATGAAACGATACAGCAATGACACAATACACATATTTACATCAAATCACAATGAACTTTTTGACCATAAATATTACAATGTTAATGTTCAACATTTCAAAGAGAATAGCTACAGTCTGTTTGAGTCAGAAACGGACCGATGAATTGCAAATTTTATCATTGTACAAAATTGCCACATAAATGTAAATAGTACACATGTTGATCATTTACTAATACCCAACAGCTTTCTTATATTTGAAAATTTTCCGGACTCCACCTAAAAAGTTCTTTAAGTAACTATCATTAAAATTTTGACACAGTTCACTATTTGTTACGAGGGAGGAGTGCAGAAAAAAGGGACAGCCAGGTGTTAGAGAAGCACGTGCACAAGTGCCCACCAAGTTTTTTATTCATTAGCCTGTGCTGTGCCGTCTCCATCCTTTCTCGCACACCTGGCTGTCCCTTTCTCTGCACTCGCATAAAATGAGGGATGGAAAATGTCATTAAAGTAAATGAGTAGTAAATAGTTAAAAAACTGTATCATCTTGAATTGATATAGTGAGTGAGTTTAGTTTTATGCCGCACTCAGCAATATGCCAGCTATATGGCGGTGGTCTGTAAATAATCGAGTCTGGACCAGACAATCCAGTGATCAACAGCATGAGCATCGATCTGCGCAATTTGGTGAATTGATATAGAAACAAAAGTATCATGTATTGTGCTGTTGCATGAAATCCCTCTGGTGTATTTGTTTCACCCCTAACCACCAGGCAATACATGAAGCGCCGAGTACCTGACCAGCCAGACTGTCATTCCTCACAAAGGTGATTCAGACGAGAAGAGTTGAAATGACGTGACCATGTTCATACGAGGTTGGTACTATTGACTGTACATAATGTGCATCTAAAATACAATGACAGAGCAAGAATATTTTTCAATTTAAAAACAATTATACAATCCATGTGGTATTTTATATGGTGTTAATCTCCTACATGTAGGCACATTGAGGATTTCCTGATAAGAAAAAGAACTGCATCCATACTGAATATTGAAAACTTCCTGCACAATAAAGAGAGTTTGTATAAATGCATGAAAACACATGTGATCAAGGTTTGCATAATACATGCATATGTGTTCTCGTGGCTAAAATTGTAAAATATCAAGCAAATATAACCTTTGCTGTGTCCAAATGTAGCAAATGCCGAAATTCTCACAGGATTTGTTTCTAACTAAAGTCAATCATATATCATATGAAGTTGGCTTTCTACTTCTCTATATCGGATATATCTGGCATGGTGAAAGCTGTCTCCAGTATTGGTACCAATGTGTCGAGACTGGCCATGGAGTATTCACGGCGTCTAAGTCCCCACGCATCAAAGTCAAGGTTATTGGTTGATACACTTCGCTGGCTGTCCCTCAAGTCACATGATCGGTTGAGACTACCTGTGCTTCGAGCAGGGCGTAGTGACGGCATGACCCGCTGTGGTAAACGTGACCTTGATGATTCTCCTCTTGGGCCTGGAGAGGGAGACAAACTTAGCCTACTTCTCGGCTGCATCATTCTGGGGCTGTAGCTTGACATTTGTTGGAGCCTTGATGATGTCGGTGGGGGTCGGGATGGGGTGGCCTGTTTAGGGGGTGGTGATTCACGTGACATCTGTTGGAGCCTTGACGATGTCGGTTGGGGTCGGGATGGGGTGGCCTGTTTAGGGGGTGGTGATTCCCGTGACATCGGTTGGAGCCTTGATGATGTCGGTGGGGGTCGGGATGGGGTGGCCTGTTTACTGGGTGGTGATTCACGTGACATCTGTTGGAGTCTTGACGATGTCGGTAGGAGTTGGGATGGGATGGCCTGTTTAGCAGGTGGTGATTCACGTGACATCTGTTGGAGCCTTGACGATGTCGGTGGGGGTCGGGATGGGGTGGCTTGTTTAGGCGGTTGGTGTTCATGTGACCTTGAACTATAATGAGCAGACTGTGGTTTGGAGTCATTGTCTCTCTTCCCAGACATTTTTGGAGGTGACCTTTGTGCTCTTGGCATACTGTCCTTGGCTGACTGTGGCCGTGAACCAGTTGATCCGAAAGGTGAGCTGGGTCGAAGTGGTGATCTCCTTGATGGATCAGATGACCTTCCTAGTGATGGTTGGGCTCGACCTGGTCTGTCTGGTGTCTTTCTTACTTGAGTTGATTTCCTAGACTGGGAGTTGTCCGAGGTTTGATCATTCCTAGCTGACCTGCTGCTGTTTGGCCTGCTTCTTGTTTTGTGACCATCTCTGTTTAACTGATCAGAAACAATGGAATGCAGTGAAAACATAGTGTAATGTCAGTGTAGGAAAGATAACCCGTCCCAACGTCCGAGACGGGTACATTTTGTGGAGGACGGGTTAAACAAATATCTAGTCCATCCTCATGTCGGGTCAATTTTAGCAAACCAATGACATATATATAATGATTATAAACTTTTTGAATATTTACTGCCGAAGGTGTTTTATCTATATTTGGAGGACAGGCTAGATTTTGGCAGGACTGGTAAAAAATTTGACCTGCCAGTCCTGTGGACAGGCTAGATTTTCTACATCTTTCCTACACTGGTAATGTACGGATCTTTGGTACATTTCAGTCAGCAAGCCAGTGTTTGTGAGATTCATAATAATGTACATGTTCTATTCAGTACAGAATACTGTGAACTTCTATAATATGTTCCAAATAATCTGTTTCGATTGGCCAAGTTATAGTTCGTGTTATGTCACCTTAAATCTGCAAAGGCCTATTTTGGGTGATTCAAATATCTTGAACTGTGTATTTGGTGGTATTTTGAGTGATTCAAATATCTTGAACTGTGTGTATTTGGTGGTATTTTGAGTGATTCAAATATCTTGAACTGTGTATTTGGTGGTATTTTGGGTGATTCAAATATCTTGAACTGTGTATTTGGTGGTATTTTGAGTGAATCAGATATCATGAACTGTGTATTTGGTGGTATTTTGAGTGATTCAAATATCTTGAACTTTGTATTTGGTGGTATTTTGAGTGATTCAAATATCTTGAACTGTGTATTTGGTGGTATTTTGAGTGATTCAAATATCTTGAACTGTGTATTTGGTGGTATTTTGAGTGATTCAGATATCATGAACTGTGTATTTGGTGGTATTTTGAGTGATTCAAATATCTTGAACTGTGTATTTGGTATTTTGAGTGATTCAAATACCTTGAACTGTGTATTTGGGGGTATTTTGGGTGATTCAAATATCTTGAACTGTGTATTTGGTGGTATTTTGGGTGATTCAAATACCTTGAACTGTGTATTTGGTGGTATTTTGGGTGATTCAAATATCCTGAACTGTGTATTTGGTGTCATTTTGAGTGATTCAAATATCTTGAACTGTGTATTTGGTGGTATTTTGAGTGATTAAAATATCTTGAACTATGTATTTGGTGAGGTATTTTGGGTGATTCAAATACCTTGAACTGTGTATTTGGTGGTATTTTGGGTGATTCAAATATCTTGAACTGTGTATTTGGTGGTATTTTGGGTGATTCAAATATCCTGAACTGTGTATTTGGTGTCATTTTGAGTGATTCAAATATCTTGAACTGTGTATTTGGTGGTATTTTGAGTGATTAAAATATCTTGAACTATGTATTTGGTGGTATTTTGGGTGATTCAAATATGTTGAACTGTGTATTTGGTGGTATTTTGGGTAATTCAAATATCTTGAACTTTGTATTTGGTGGTATTTTGGGTGATTCAAATATCTTGAACTGTGTATTTGGTGGTATTTTGAGTGATTCAAATATCTTGAACTTTGTATTTGGTGGTATTTTGAGTGATTCAAATATCTTGAACTATGTATTTGGTGGTATTTTGGGTGATTCAAATATGTTGAACTGTGTATTTGGTGGTATTTTGGGTAATTCAAATATCTTGAACTATGTATTTGGTGGTATTTTGGGTGATTCAAATATCTTGAACTGTGTATTTGGTGGTATTTTGAGTGATTCAAATATCTTGAACTTTGTATTTGGTGGTATTTTGAGTGATTCAAATATCTTGAACTGTGTATTTGGTGGTATTTTGAGTGATTCAAATATGTTGAACTGTGTATTTGGTGGTATTTTGAGTGATTCAAATATCTTGAACTGTGTATTTGGTGGTATTTTGAGTGATTAGTAATGTTGTAAGTCTACAGAATGTAACAAATTATTTTGAAACACAAATCTTGCACAACTGCTGATTGTGAGAAACCCACCTTCTTGTTAGAGAGCAGTGGTGGTTGTGTCATGGCTGTTAGATCCTGCTCTATACAAACATATGAGGCACCTATAACACAAGATTAAACATACAGTGTACCATGAGAAAACACTGCAGCATATCAGTATCATGTATAAACAACAAATTCGAATGAAAGTTTGGATACAACAAAATCTGATTCACTGCTGGCCATCCATGATCTCAAATAACTGGAAAGCAAATAATATGAAGGCTGTCCCATGCAAGAAGGAAGAAAACTTTGTCCACAAACATTAATTGCTGTTAGATGACACTGGTTGTGACTAGATCAGGCACATCATATTGCTGCCAGCTGACAGTTGGTTGTGACTAGATCAGGCACATCATATTGCTGCCAGCTGAGAGTCGGTTGTGACCTAATCAGGCACATCATATTGCTGCCAGCTGACAGTTGGTTGTGACTAGAACAGGCACATCATATTGCTGCCAGCTGACAGATGGTTGTGACTAGATCAGGCACATCATATTGCTGCCAGCTGACAGATGGTTGTGACTAGATCAGGCACATCATATTGCTGCCAGCTGACAGTTGGTTGTGACTAGATCAGGCACATCATATTGCTGCCAGCTGACAGTTGGTTGTGACAAGATCAGGCACATCATATTGCTGCCAGCTGACAGTTGGTTGTGACTAGATCAGGCACATCATATTGCTGCCAGCTGACAGTTGGTTGTGACTAGATCAGGCACATCATATTGCTGCCAGCTGAGAGTCGGTTGTGACCTAATCAGGCACATCATATTGCTGCCAGCTGACAGTTGGTTGTGACTAGAACAGGCACATCATATTGCTGCCAGCTGACAGATGGTTGTGACTAGATCAGGCACATCATATTGCTGCCAGCTGACAGTTGGTTGTGACTAGATCAGGCACATCATATTGCTGCCAGCTGACAGTTGGTTGTGACTAGATCAGGCACATCATATTTGTGCTGCTAGCTGACAGATGGTTGTGACTAGATCAGGCACATCATATTGCTGCAAGCTGACAGTTGGTTGTGACTAGATCAGGCACATCATATGCTGCTAGGTGACAGTTGGTTGTCACCAGATCAGGCACATCATATGCTGCTAACTGACAGTTGGTTGTCACCTGATCAGGCACATCATATGCTGCTAGCTGACAGTTGGTTGTCATCTGATCAGGCACATCATATGCTGTTAGCTGACAGATGGTTGTCATCTGATCAGGCACATCATATGCTGCTAGCTGACAGTTGGTTGTCATCTGATCAGGCACATCATATGCTGTTAGCTGACAGTTGGTTGTCATCTGATCAGGCACATCATATGCTGCTAGCTGACAGTTGGTTGTCACCTGATCAGGCACATCATATGCTGCTAGCTGACAGTTGGTTGTCACCAGATCAGGCACATCACATGCTGCTAGCTGACAGTTGGTTGTCATCTGATCAGGCACATCATATGCTGCTAGCTGACAGTTGGTTGTCACCTGGTCAGGCACATCATATGCTGTTAGCTGACAGTTGGTTGTGACCTAGTCAGGCACATCATATGCTGTTAGCTGACAGTTGGTTGTCACCTGATCAGGCACATCATATGCTGCTAGCTGACAGTTGGTTGTCACCTGATCAGGCACATCATATGCTGTTAGCTGACAGTTGGTTGTGACCTGGTCAGGCACATCATATGCTGTTAGCTGACAGTTGGTTGTCACCTGATCAGGCACATCATATGCTGTTAGCTGACAGTTGGTTGTGACCTAGTCAGGCACATCATATGCTGTTAGCTGACAGTTGGTTGTGACCTGGTCAGGCACATCATATGCTGTTAGCTGACAGTTGGTTGTGACCTAGTCAGGCACATCATATGCTGTTAGCTGACAGTTGGTTGTGACCTGGTCAGGCACATCATATGCTGTTAGCTGACAGTTGGTTGTGACCTAGTCAGGCACATCATATGCTGTTAGCTGATGGTTGTGACCTGGTCAGGGACATCATATGCTGTTAGCTGACAGTTGGTTGTGACCTGGTCAGGCACATCATATGCTGTTAGCTGACAGTTGGTTGTGACCTAGTCAGGCACATCATATGCTGTTAGCTGACAGTTGGTTGTGACCTGGTCAGGGACATCATATGCTGTTAGCTGACAGTTGGTTGTGACCTGGTCAGGCACATCATATGCTGTTAGCTGACAGTTGGTTGTGACCTGGTCAGGCACATCATATGCTGTTAGCTGATGGTTGTGACCTGGTCAGGCACATCATATGCTGTTAGCTGACGGTTGTGACCTGGTCAGGCACATCATATGCTGCTAGCTGAGAGTTGGTTGTGACCTGGTCAGGCACATCATATGCTGTTAGCTGATGGTTGTGACCTGGTCAGGCACATCATATGCTGTTAGCTGATGGTTGGTTGTCACCTGGTCAGGCACATCATTTGCTGATAGCTGAGATCCAGTCTCGTAAACTGCTACATGATCAAATGGTTTTCATATCAGGAAGCCACTTATCCAGCCCTCTGTTCCTCACTCACCTTTCACACAGAAAACTATCTAGTCACAACTGGAATCTTTTTGGGAATAAAAACATATGATTGCCAGAAAGTGTGCAACATACTTTTGAGAATCCTTTCCCTGATGTCAGCTGGCAGGTTCCTCCAGTCTGGGGACAGCGTCACCTGGTGGATGTAGTGCTTCATGTACGTCTCACTGTACGAGATGAGCGTACTCAGCAAGGCCTCCATGTCCTGCACACACAACAGTAGACTACAGAGGTAGCTCCACACTGGCAGCACCCACTTCATTATTACTTTGCTCTTGTATTCTCTACAAACCAGCACTATTCATAAATTCTCATTTTTTTTCATGTACACATGCATTTGTGACAAGAGTTCATACAGGGTGGGGGGCGGTGGGGTAGCCTAATGGTTAAAGCGTTGGCTCGTCATGCCAAAGACCCCGGTTCGAATCCCCACATGGGCACAATGTGTGAAGCCCATTTCTGGTGTCCCCTGCCATGATGTTGCTGGAATATTGCTAAAAGCGGCGTAAAACCAAACTCAGTCAGTCATACTGGGTGGCCTTGACCTTCAAGGTCAGCAAATTGTTTTTCACAGATTTCCTCATGTGTATATGTGGTAACTTAGGTATGGAGTCTTTAACAATTGTCATAGCCATTAAGTTGAGGGGGAAAGAATTTGCTAAAATGAAAGGTAGGCTTGAGCATATGTGCTAGTCAGTATAGGAAGAACAGACATGGGTGTTGGGACAATTGTCATTGGACTGAAGAACAGTTCACGGAATGTTAGAAACACTTTTAACGCAGATAATTACCAGATGCACGTGGTCTTAGTGGATGTTATATAATAGATGTGTTTTGGGACACATGTTCAGTTTGTTATAGATGTTTATGTTCTTGGACAATGTGTTATGCACCTGAACACACTACGCTTCGTGGTTAGGACATCTGCAAGAGATTTTCATGCATGTTTCTGTTAGATAAACATGTGATCCTACAGTAGTTGTTGGGAGTTGAGTGAGAGTGAGTGAGTGATTATGGTTTCACGCTGCTTTTAGCAATATTCCAGCAATATCACGGTGGGGGACACCAGAAATGGGCTTCACACATTGTGCCCATGTGGGGATTCGAACCCGGGTCTTCGGTGTGACGAGCCAACGCTTTAACCACTAGGCTGCCCCACCGCCCTTGTTGGGAGTTGAGTGCTTAGTTAGTTAGCTGGTTAGAATCGAATGAACATCTGTTTTTGAGATGTCAGAGATGTAGACATTTGTTAGATAATTCGGTCATAATCAGCCCCTAGTAAGATATTGCAGATTTCGTGCAGTGTCTTGCATTCATTAGCATGTATATAAATCGAAAATTGTGGGAAAATAAAAAGTTAATTAAAAATTCTGATTTTGTTTTCATTCCACTGCAAAACAGTCATGCTGCATATTTAACAGGCTAGCTATTCTCGAACATATTGGCTACGATCAAAGTTAAGAATTCTTAGGGCTACGAACGTTTAGAGAATAAGTGCCCAGTTTAGTCAGTCTTGTACTTAATTTGTGTTACGGTATGATACCACGTCTACCTGACAGGGCAACAGGATCACTATAACAACAACAGCATCATCAGTACAGTGAGTGAGTGAGTGAGTGAGTGAGTGTGTGAGTTAATATTTAACGTCACATCGGCAATATTGCAGCCATATCGTGAGGAAAACAAGCCATACAATAAAAAGTAGAAACATTTTGAAGATTAAAACCCGTCGACGATGGACAGTAAAAAGACTAGAAAATCACAGTTATAAATATAAAACTAGCGCAAAGTTAAAATATTCCAATTAAAGAAGACAATACAATATAAAATACGGGCTATAGATCGCCAACAACCGAAGGTAGATCACCATACTAAGGCCCATTCATCAGTACAGTACAGTACAGTACAGTACACAGTGATGAGGAACAGGGACGACCTGTAATCAGCAGTACACACCTCTCCCCATGGACACTCGTGCTCTATAGAGTGTTGGTGAAAGCGGAGCAGGGCGCAGTAGGCTTCACACGCTTTCGGTGGCGGCAAGGCATCAATCACGTTGCTGAAAATGTCCTCCAACACACTCACGCTCCAGGCAGCATTCTGACGCAAGAAAATGTTTTATTTAACACAATCAACATTTTTTAAAATGCATATGATTATTTTCTTTGAAACTTAAGGGAGCTACCATATGGAACCAATGTCTAGGTATGCAGCGGGGAGGTGGGGTAGCCTAGTGGTTAAAGCGTTCACTAGTCACACCGAAGACCCGGTGAGTGAGTGAGTGAGTTAAGTTTTACGCCGCACTCAGCAATATTCCAGCTATATGGCGGCGGTAAATAATCGAGTCTGGACCAGACAGTTCAGTAATCAACAGCATGAGCATCGATTTGCGTAATTGTGAACCGATGATATGTGTCAACCACGCCAGCGAGCCTGATCACCTGATCCCGTTAGTCACCTCTTACAACAAGATCGCCTCCGTGGTGTAGTGGTTAGAGCGTCCGCCCGGAGAGCGGAAGGTCGCAGGTTCGATCCCCGGCCGCGTGTTACCAAAAGACGTTAAAATATGGTACTTGTTGGTCCCTGCCTGGCGCTCGGCATTAATGGGTACAACAAGTACTGGTCGGCTCGGAGTCAGTATAATGTGTCTGAGTGGGGTATTCATGCTTCAATGTGGCATGGTATTTCAGTGGGTTAGCACTATAAAACCAGCTTCAGTCTGGGCTAGTACAAGCAGCCGCATATACACATAAACACACATGGAAGTCGTCATATGAGCGAATTATTCTCAAGCATGACATTAAACCCAATTTCACGTCACCTCTTACGACAAGCATGGGTTACTGAAGGTTCATTCTAACCCTGCACCTTCACGGGTGCTGAAGATCCAGGTTTGATTTCCCACATGGGTACAATGTGTGAAGCCCATTTCTGGAGTTCCTTGACGTGATATTGCTGGAATTTTGCTAAAAGCAGCGTAAAACCATACTCACTCACTAGGTATGCAGCAATGAGATGATGAACATGTGTACCTGGTCATAATGTCAGCTCACTCCTGGACGGTATCACACTAAACAGTCATACCAGGGACACTCTACAACAGGGATAGGTCACTCGCTTGCTTTCTTTACCATTTGTACTAATTAGCGTGTGCCTCATCATGCTCCAACGCACACAGTGACTTGGTTCGTTCCCAGCACAACTTCGGCTGCGTTTAACAGTACTTCAGCCATTTTTTTGTATCAGTCAGAATTTTATAACGTATGAATGAATGAATGAATGAATGAATGAATGAATGAATGAATGAATGAATGAATGAATGAATAAGAGCAATGGCATGGACATTGACAGAATGTTAACTGACACTGTCACACACCTCAAAAACAGAAACTATCACAAAGTGTTGTAAACATCTTTCCAGTTTTGTCAAATACTAACATCAACAAGAAAGAAAGAAGTTTTAGAGTGAGTGAGTGAGTTAATAATTAACGTCACATCGGCAACATTTCAGCCATATTGTGACGAGAACATGTTTGACATTGAAATGGAATATGTGTATATTACAAAAAAACAGTCATCAAGGGACAGTAACACAACTAGCATATCACAATTACAGTTAAAACTAGTGTGGAAAGTTAAAAGTAATAGAACTATGTAGATAATACAATATAAAAACAGGCTATAGATCGCCAACAACTGAAGGTAGATCACCATACTAGGGATAAAGAAGTTTTAGAACCATAACACTCAAGCATCACAAGCATCAATGGCGGATCAGAACAGATCGGCGATATGTCATATTTTTCACTCACATCAAATACACCCTAACAATTTTCTCTAAAATTATAAAACTATCACTATTACTTGCAAACACCTTTCAGCTAAAGGTATATTTCCCTTCTAAAAATTACACGAATAAATGAAAGAAGTGTTAAGCGATATAATTTAGTCTTTCTTCGCTGTGTACTGAGAATTGAAGCCAGTGAGCTACAACATGCCGACTTGAAACTTTACTACAAATCTACTGTACTAATACTGACACTATAGTACTGTCGGAAATAGAAAAAAACTGTTTTTAGGCTGTTACTCTATATCCCTAAAATTTACACAATTGCAAATAGCATATGTCGAAATAGTTTCGGCATAAAAGTTATTATATTTTACGTCAGCTATCGTTTATAATGAATCTATGTCTAATTTCAAATTGGGCATTTAAAAAGTGTCCCTTGTAATACAATATCGTCGCACATTAATTTGCATAAAGCCATGGTCTGTTCCAAATAAGTCTTTTGGGACTTTGGGCATTGCTCATTTCTGCACTAATTTCCCCTCAGTAAAGTCCCTTTTCTCCGTTTCCTATCTCTCTACCACTGAGACTGTAGTTAGGCTGAACTTAGATTAACAGATATTTCACACTTTCACATATCAACTATATAAATCGTAGAGATAAATGAGAAAATACAGTTCTATTTCCTAAAATGAATCGACAGTACTATTATAACAATTATTTGACTTAAAATGAATTGACAGAATAGGTAACTTATCTTCTATATGTAGGTTTTCAGTTGTCACAACACTCAGCGTATGTAATCAGCTGTTGAACATAAACCGGTCTCAATCTTAAAAACTAAGTTTCCACCATATTGGCTTCTCTCCGGGCAGAAGCTCTAATCACTACATCACAGAAGCGGTCCACATGTGACATAATTTGAAATAAATATTTTATCCATCATCTGGGATAGGTACCTTCCCGGAAGACAGGAACCTCTGAGATCGCACCACTGTCACAAAGTGTTGACTTGTGAAGTCAATGGCACAGTCCATCAGTTTCGAGGTGAGCTCCAGCACAGGTTCTGCCCACTTCACTCTGGGCAGCTTGCTGGTGAGTTTGTGGCACTCGAGGATTGTGTCTATCACAGTTTGATCTGACTGCAAGAAAAATGTCAGGAGCTAAGTATTTTGCATACATCTACACATGATAATGTATCGTAAACACACACATACATCTACACATGATAATGTATCGTAAACACACACATACATCTACACATGATAATGTATCGTAAACACACACATACATCTACACATGATAATGTATCGTAAACATACACATTCATCTACACATGATAATGTATCGTAAACACACACATTCATCTACACATGATAATGTATCGTAAACACACGCGGTTCTATCATGATGTGAGTACACCTACCTGCTGTTCTATCATGATGTGAGTACACCTACCAGCTGTTCTATCATGAAGTCACTACACCTACCAGCTGTTCTAACATGAAGTCGCTACACCTACCAGCTGTTCTATCATGAAGTCACTACACCTACCTGCTGTTCTATCATGAAGTCACTACACCTACCAGCTGTTCTAACATGAAGTCACTACACCTACCAGCTGTTCTATCATGAAGTGAGTACACCTACCAGCTGTTCTATCATGAAGTCACTAAACCTACCTGCTGTTCTATCATGAAGTCACTACACCTACCAGCTGTTCTATCATGAAGTGAGTACACCTACCAGCTGTTCTATCATGAAGTCACTACACCTACCAGCTGTTCTATAATGTCACTACCCTTACCAGCTGTTCTATCATGGAGTGAGTACACCTACCAGCTGCTCTATCATGAAGTGAGTACACCTACCAGCTGTTCTATCATGAAGTGAGTACACCTACCAGCTGTTCTATCATGAAGTGAGTACACCTACCAGCTGTTCTATCATGAAGTGAGTACACCTACCAGCTGTTCTATCATGAAGTCACTGCACATCTCCAGTACTGGATCAGGCATTCCCGCAAACTGCTTGGTAGCTACAATCTTGGTGAAGAACTTGTTCATCCACTTGAAGGTGCGATCTTTCACTTCCTCCAGTCTGTAGGTGACAGACAAAGTCAGGGCGTGGGCTGCCGTGGCTGCACAAGCTGGACATGGCTGAAGGAACAAGCCAGTCAACTCTCAACATGCTAACTCAGAGAAACCCTTCTGTCCTGTCCTAAGTCAATGTTACACTATAGGAGGTAGGAATGCTATGAGGAAAGTTACGAGATCTTAGGCTTGCGAGAGCTTTGTGAAACGGGGTCCTGGACCTATCGCTATAGGATCAAATAAGAATCCAACCTGAGAAGTCCTTTCAAAATCATCGTGAAATAAAAACATATACCATTCTTCTTGTGTGTATTCATTATGCATGGTGAAATTCCGGGCTGAAGAACATGTACAACAATGAGATTCTCAATTTAAACTTCCTTTAAACTCATGACTATACCCTATGGCATCGGTATGTATAAAATTGACATTTATTACAAATGATTTAATTCCAGTGATGCCTGCAAAAACAAAATACAGCCAAGTATCAAGTCTCAATGTTTGGTGACAAAGACAAATCCACTGTGTTAGTGGTGTTCCGATTAATTGAAATAATCAAACATTGGTCGCAGTGACCAAACGACCAAGCAATCGATCACATTTTCTCATAATGGAACATAAATGATTTTGGTACTACTGTTTTAGTCTTTGAAATACTTCACAATGGAACATATCTTGGAAGTTGTCAGGGCCTGAAAACGTGTTTAATCTCACTTCACTAACTGAAAAGTCATGACTGAATATTTCTCCAGGAAGTTTATGTTCATGATATATTAGTCATCACTTTAAAGTAATAAGTTGCATCATGTTATACGTATCTACAATAACAACCTGAATAGGAAAATCTGAAAAATGACGCTAACCAATTGTTTTCGATGATTGTTCCTTGGTAATGAAGCAATCATCAGTTGTGACATTTCAACCAATTCCCAACACTACACTGTGTAATATCAGTAACAACTGTCAAACAAGGCAAAAAACTTAAGCATCTACATTTTTTCCAAGAAACACTTCAGCTTGCATATTTCATTTAGTTAGTCTCTCAAGCCCATCGATATAATTGCGGGATCGATCGATTGACTGATTGTTCTATCAATCGCTCCAGCACTAATGATTATTATCATTATTGATGGAAGCAGGCGTGTTAAGTTTCAGCATCATCCATTCTGGTGAGACTCAGTGGACAAAGGACAACAATGATGTCTGACAGCAGAGAGGAAATACAACAAGCCACACACATCATTTAGGACAACAAACTTGCTTGGTGTGCCCCGGCAATAGGGGTGAAACGGTGCGCTCTTACCACGGTACGGTAAGTATTGTGGTACAAAGCCTTTCAATTTGGTTCGTTTCAGTTCGGTATACGACATATGATCATATTCCAGAAAAATGACAAAAATGCAAAGATAATGATAAAATGAGTCGACTTCTAGACAGTTTAGAAAAGGTTTAAAAAGGTTAATAAAATGACGGTACAAAAAACGAAAATACAGAATTTTTGAATTGCATTACGGTATACCGAATCAAAAGCAAAATACAGCGGTTCTACTAATACCGCGGTATACCGTTTCGCCCCTAACCAACAAAGGTGGGTTCTTTGTATTTCACAGGCTGACCTGCTGTTTCTAAACCTGACTGGTACAAACACAACACCCACCTTATGGTAGAAGTGACAGCTGTCCTTCTTCACATGGTAGCACACAACATCCTTGAGTCCGTCCAGGCCGTACATGTCAGCCACCTGGATGAGTTCTGTCAGCTCACACGGCTCAATGATGTCAATGACACCTCCATATAAGTACAGGAGGGCCTGCTCCACAGCAAGGGGCGACACACTGGAGCACAAACACACGAGCTGATCACACAGGAAATATTTAAAATAATTACACTGAGCATTTTGAACATCCCACATTTCTGTTCAAGAAATCTCAAGATATATGACATCAGAAAAACAGGACACAAATTCAACCAATCTCAAATTTACAGACATTTAGAGTTAGTGAGTGATCTGGTTTTATGCCGCTTTTAGCAATATTCCAGCAACATCACGGCGGTGGACACCAGAAATAGGCTTCACACATTGTACCCATCTGGGGAATCGAACCTGGGTCTTCAGCGTGACGAGTGAACGCTTTAACCACTAGGCTACCCCACTGCCCGAGAAATTTACAGAAAGTATTCTGGAAAAGTATATGTGGAAAAATCTATTAGCCTTTATTCCTCCATGCCACATACAGTAACAGAAATACATATACAGCTTACCCCTCAAGAATCACTTTATTGGCACCACTCTCTGACCATAGTCCCCCGAACATGGCGTCGAAGTACCTGCTCCCGGGCAGCCAGCAAGTATCTACAGCAATACATAACAGATCACTCTCAGTCTACCTGCATACTGCATGCCGAATAATGTACCTGATATAAATGTCTTATTTATCTCTTTACAAAACTACTTAACTAAAGATGAAATTAGAAAATTATAATACTTCTTACACATGTTTTGTGAGTTAACTCCACTGTTATGAACCGTGAAGGTCCGGGTTAGCATTGGTCTTCAGTAACCCATGCTTGTCATATGACTATGAGGCCACTAACGGGATCGGGTGGCCAGGCACGCTGACTTGGTAGACACATGTCATCGGTTCCCAATTGCATAGATCGCTGTTCATGCTGTTGATCCCTGGATTGTCTGGTCCAGACTCGATTATTTACAGACCTGCCATATAGCTTGCATATTGCTAAGTGTGGCGTAAAACTAAACTCACTCACTCCAATGTTATGCGTTAAACCATCAAGCAGCATGACTAATAACTGGAGCATGTAGTCAGTACTCTGTGAAAACTGATTGCTCCTGATACTATACTCTTTACTGGATAGACACACCAGTTGATGCTTACTGGTGTAAGCAAAGTCGGGGAATCTACTGAAACTTGTTTCCAAATTTAAACCTATTTTTTTTTGTTCATTAAATTTTCATAATCATAACTTTGCATTCAAATTAACACAAATACACTGGTCAATCTACACTGACCCTCTTGCAAACAATCATTCAAAAAGTAAAAGGCCAAGCAGAACATTTGGCCCCTTGTCTAGGTCCCCTCCAAACTTCACTGTCTCTCATCACCTTGTCCATTCTTGCTTGTGTGTCATACTATTTCAGGACACTCATGAGATAATTACCCGTGAAGATCCGGGTTAGAATTAATCTTCAGTAACCCATGCTTGTTGTCAGAGGTGATTTAGGGGAGCGGATGGTCAATCTCGCGTAGATCGATGCTCATACTGTTGATCACTGGATTATCTGGTCCAGACTCGACTATTTACAGACCACCGCCATATAGCTGGAATATTGCTGAGTGTGGCGTTAAACAACAAAACAACCAAACCATGAGATAATTTGTGCATTATCCTCACTTCGATTCAGAAATACAAGAATTGTGACACTTGTATAAATTTTCAGAATGACAGACATACTCGAATAGTAACATCAAGATATCATACTAGTGTATCCTTACTTGTGTGCCTTGAACTCCTGGCCCGCCACAACCAGTGTGGTGTCACAGCTGATCTCCTGTAGAAACATCCTGAGTAGGTCCGTCCCCAGCTTACTGCATGTCTCATGAGGCAGGGTCTGATTGTGGGGCATCTCCGACAGCTGGTCACTAGGGGACTCATCTAACACTGGAGAATCAGTCTCAGCTGCCATTCCATTGGCTGAGTCCTCCAGCTTGGAGTTCTCATGTTCCAGGTCAGTGTCAGCTGCCATTCCATTGGTTGAGTCCTCCAGCTTGGAGTTCTCATGTTCCAGGTCAGTGTCAGCTGCCATTCCATTGGTTGAGTCCTCCAGCTTGCTGTTCTCATGTTCCAGGTCATTGTCAGCTGCTGGTACTCCACATTTAGAGTCACTGTCACTGAGGTTAGCACTGTCGCTGGAACTGACAGTTGGCAAAGCTTGCTTCAAAGGCACTTCAGCTGGGAGGATCTCCTCATCCAGAATGGTAGCCTGAATAAAATGTAATTTTCTGACTAAAATTGATATTTTATACTTATCCTGAGTCATGTTAATTATGCTTGTCTCCTTCCTCTTGCGAATGATAGTGGAACACTTGAAATCCCTTGAAGTTACCTTTTCAAAAAAGCGGACGTAAAATCACTCACCAAAGAGTAGCATCCCTTTCCTCCCTTTGGCGCCGAAATGGTCACATGATCGGCCATATTTCTCACTCTCTCCGTATGTGAGCCTGACACCCGGATTTACAGGGAAATCCAAAGTGCCATAAGAGGGGAGGTTGGGAGGGCTAACATCATGAGTCAGGATAAGTATAAAATATCAATTTTAGTCAGAAATTACATATTTTTGCTTATCCTGACTCATGCAATTATGCTTGCAGAATCCGTCCGGAACGGTGGTGGGTCAAGCCACGTTCTGGATTCACTGGTTGTAGATTTACGTCCTGTATTACCCCCCTTGGGAACTTATGACGGCACTGTTGAAGATTCTTCTCTCTCTCTGATGAGTCTGGGGGGACCACAACTTGTCAGATTTCTTCTGAAACGTCTCCTGACATTTTTGTGTGGATTTAGATATACGAATATTCCATTAATTATCTATTGCAACTCCATCTCTTGATGCGCACATCAAGTGGAGATGCATCCCTTCTTCATGTACGAGTATGTCCTATACAAGTACAGGGTCTATTACTCATGCTAGTCTGTCCTAGACGTGTGCATGGATTTTAACCAGTTTCACAAGTCACGTGATAAAAAGGGTGAGATTTTCTCAGCGCCTTTGTGGGACCGTTAGTTGTTGTGCTACAGCAAGTGGCCCAATTTGGTGAATGCCTGAGACGTCTTCGGTGGCAATGTCTCTGAGGTAGTGGTTGGCAAACACCGTGTTCGATCTCTAAAAGCAGCCCTCCATTATAGTTGTAATCGAGCAGTTTCTATGCAGAGCAAGTGTTGACGCCAGGGCTCTGACTCCAAGTGGATTGGAGGCTCGTGGAGGCTCAAGTCCAGCTGCTTTATAGGCCCTTAGTATAACGGCTCTCATCCAGATTGATATCGTTGTCTGAGAGACTTCCGTGGATGTCTCAGTGGATAAGGGGATGAATAGGCGCTTGAATTTTCGTCTCCTTATTTTGTCCTTTGTAGGTAGACTTTTAGTGCTCTGACAGGGCATAAGGATAGATCCTGTGTATCCTGTGGCCCAAGGACTGTAGAGAGTGCTGGCATGTGGAACTGTCTGTCAGGCTGACCAGGCAGTTGGTTCTTGGCAATAAAATCCCATCTCAGTCCTAGATGTACGTTGTCATGATGTGATGATTCAAATCATCTTCGTTCGAAGTCCAGAGAATGTATTTCTGACATCCGTGCTGCTGTTGCTAGGGCGATCAGAAACAGAGTTTTCTGAGTCGGTAGTTCAAAGGATGTCCATTCTAGAGGCTTGTAGGCATCACTGGTGAGATGTTGTAGAACTATGTTGAGATCCCAGGCAGGAGCCTTGAATTTCATTTGTTGGTCTTCCAACTTGAACAAGCGTAGTAGTGCCAGTATCTCTGGTACTTTGGTCAGCTTGACCCCCGTCTTCATGGTGATAACTGTGCTGAGAGCAGCCAGGTATGTTGAGAGTGTTGAACCTTTTAAGTGTCTCATCTGTCGCAGATGACACAGGTATTCCGCCATTTGAGGATGGGTTGCTTTTACTGCTATGACATTCTTTGCTCCTGGAATGTGGCCTGCCTTCATGTAGATGTTCAGGTCGTCGACGATGCTGAACAGGAGAAAGCTGAGTTGTAGCAGCCTTATTGATGTTGTTGATTCTTGTTGATGTAGAATGCCACTGTGGAGTTGTCCGTGTGGACCATGAGTCTTGCGTTCTTTAGAGCGCTGGACCAGTGTTGTAAAGCGTTGATCACTGCTTTCATCACTAACAAGTTGATGTGCAGACTCTGATCCTGACTCGACCACTTCCCTGCTGCCACTTCATTGTCGAGGTGGGCCCCCCATCCTTGTAGCGATGCATCTACGTAGAGATGAGTGTTGCAAACCGGCTCTGGCAAAAAGGTTCCTCGACATTCGGCAAACATTCGACTTTCGAGTCCACCATAAGAGGTATGGTTTCAGGCTGTCCGGTAGTATCAGCGGATCCAGACTGTCGAGATGGGCATTCACAAATATTTGTAGTGGGCGCAGCTGTAGTCTCCCTCTGCGAATCATGTCTTGAGCTGAGGTGAGTAGACCAAGCATGCTTTGCCAAGCACGTAGTGTCAACGGAGAGAGCATTGCTTGAGATATCATACGTTGTATCTTGATTCAACGATCCTCTGGGACGACTGTGTGATTCTGTGGTGTGATGAGCCATATTCCCAGCAATTGAAGATCCTGTTTTGGTTCCAACTCCGACTAAGAGATTACTAGCCATCTACTGCAATCATGACCTACATTGTACGTATGTGGATGGAGGAGCCCTTGCCATGTCCGACATGGAAGCGGAGAGATGATCGATTCTGGAATCATGGCTTGAAGCTTGTCTCATCAATCTTCCGGTAATATGTAATTAAGATGTTGTCATCAGAATCCGAACATTGTGCAGCGATGATGCATAATACGTCGTCTCTAGGTCAGCAAAAATCTATGATGTACTGGGACTGCCATCGATGTGAAGTCTATTTATAGTCGATCGGCTGCCGCGAGCAGAAACCGTCTCGCACTTGTCGCTGCAAGTCCCCAGAAAACCAATATTAAATCTGCTGACAGGTAAAGTTCTCTATGACCCGTCAAGATAGTCGAACCACGCTGTACCCTGCTAACTGGACTGTAAATGGAGCCTTTCCCACGTTGAAAAAGTTGTTTACAACTGTAGACGACTTCCTGGCACGTGACTGTGACGTCACCGGTGTTGCAGGAAAATGATCCTTGTAGAATCTTGTGCAGTCGTTGACTTCTTCGTCAACATTCGGGCCTGTGCCAGAGTTACACGAGTGAACACGTGTCTTGATGGCTAAGAGGAAGCGCGTGAAAACTTCGCCGCGTCGTATCGATGTAAGCAGACTGTTCCCTGTCTGTTGTGACTGTATTCTTCAACTTTATAATCTTTACTGCAGTCATCATCTTATACAGATGTTCTGTAAAGTTGACCGTAACCGATGTCTCGCTGAGGAAATGCGACAATACTGTTAACTGTCCCCTTTGATATCTTGTAAGCCCAAGTGATGAAATTTCATCTTCAGTGTTTGATCAGATGTTATCTGACATCGTTCCTTCAGGTGTGTCTCTTCCTTCAGCGACTCGTTGATCCAACATAGCCAAAATCTAGTTGTAGTGTCCAGTTGTGATATCTTCTTGTCTTGAATATCTATTAAGGGATTCACTGATGATCTTGTAATCTCAAACCCTGATGTAACATGAAGGGCTCCGTATGATGAAGGGGAAATCTGCTATCATTGAACGGCAGGACATGCTGACTCTGATTAAAATCCTCCCAGTGAGTGCCTGCGCGCAGGTTGATGAAGGTCCAAGTTGGAAGATCCGTATCTGTGCAGTCTGTAGAATCCTGGAGAATGACTGGATCTACTTCTGTGTTAGAATCCTTCTTGCTGAAACAGCGTGGAGGCTCCATCGTTGACTGCTACCGCTAAGCTGGTGTTCGTTGAATCCTCCAGGCTTTTAACTGCTGATACTTCTGACGGTAAAGATCTTCGCGAATGTAACCGTTCGTGCAGGCCTTCATCCGAGAGAGCTTATATAGCTAATATTCCTTCGCGCAGGTCGACTGTCATCGGAGGGGTCTGCTATGCTGAGCTGACGTTAGTAGAGTTCTCCAGACTTCTAACTTCAGATAGTGAAGTTAGACATTTCCGTATCTGAAGATCCATAATGATGTGAGTCTCTGTATGTAGATCTGCATGTAGAGCTGCGTGCAGGTAAACGGTCCTGGTGTGACCGTGTATTCCTCCTGGAGTCTTGAGATATATTTCTAAGCCTTCACGAAGGCTGACTGACGTAATCTCCCCTCTCTCTATGGGATGATCTGTATGAAGAGCTTCGTGCAGGCGTGCGATCCCGATGCGATCTTGAATCCTTCCTGGAGGTTGAGATATTTCTCTAGGCCTTCGCGAAGGTGGATTCCTGGACGTAGCTTCACCTCTGTAGGAGTGCCTTCGCACAGGTTCTCAGTGGGCGTCAGAGTCTGAAGGAGATGATGACCTATATCTGCGACGTCTGTAGGGTTCGGGAGAACGCCTCGATTCCTTCCTGCGTGGAGACTTCTTAGCAGCACTCATTGGGGCGTCTACTTCAGATGGGGAAGATCGTCGTGTCCGTGAGCCTTCGCGCAGGCTTCCTTCTTCATCAAGATGTAGTTGGGAGACTGTAGAGCCTTCACACAGGCTAGTAGACATTGTAGCGGTCTTCATAGCAGCCTTCTCTTGAGCGAAGCGACGTTCCATCATCGACATCATCTGGTCTGTAAACTGTTGCATGAACAGTCCCGGGTTGAAGTTCTTCGTTGTCTGAAGAGACTGCTGCAGGGATGATGCATCTGATACTGAAGAGACGTCATCTAAGGCTCGCTGCCCTCGTGAAGAGTTGACGCTGCTGCTATCTCTGGTACCCGATGTCTGCGTTGATAGAAGGTCTTCTGTCAATGTCTGCGCTGATACTAATGGCGATGTAGCTGTAGAAGCAGGCTTCGTCTTCTTACTGACGATGGTGACTTCAGCTATGAGGATGGGTGGATCATCATAAACATCTGCTTCTTCCGGATGAACAATCTCAGCTGAGAAAGACCTCGTCTTCTGTGTAGAGCTGATCTTAGACTTCGCTGAAGTCTTCATGGTAGTAGCCTTCTTCTTCTGCGAAGATGATGATTTAGCCTTCTTCATCTGCGATGAGGTCAGCTCAGTAGACAATGATCTCTTATGGCCTCCGGTGTTCACCCCTGGTACATCGACCTGCTCCTGAGAAACTTTCAGCAATTAACTAGAATTATTAATATCTGCAGCAGTAGTTAACACACGGTTATCAGCGCAATCACTCGATTTAGACATGACTTGTGAATACCTACGTACCCAGTCCTTAGCACGTCTATGGATGGAAAAAAGGTAATTAGTAAATTCAACAGAGGTTAAATTTACACAAAACCTACAGCGAGAGCTGAAAGATCATGAAACAGTGCAATTAGGACATAATAAATGAGGGTCAGCAGCAGATACTTGGTACTCACAACGAATATAAGTTTAATGAAATGTAAACATGAAGAAAACACATGTCAAACAACGGAAATATAAATCAAATTTCCAACCGTAAAGTAAAATATATTCCTAAAAACTGTATACAACAATAATTTTGATGTAAGGTCCAAAATTATAAAAGGATATGTGCCGGATAGGGTCCCAGGTGCTCTCACAACCGCACTCAAGGGCAAAGAAGGAGAGAGTGACAAATATGGCCGATCATGTGACCATTTGGGCGCCAAAGGGAGGAAAGGGACGCTACTCTTGGGTGAGTGATTTTACGTCCGCTTTTTTTAAAAGGGAACTTAAAGGGATTTCAAGTGTTCCACTATCATTCGCAAGAGGAAGGAGACAAGCATAATTAGCATGAGTCAGGATAAGTAAAAATAACAGTGGTTATATTCAGACCTTTGACCTTACTGGAGAATAATTCAGTTAATTAATGAATACCTGACAACAATTGTTTCAATTATGTTGTACTTTCTCCAAAGATAATTGATAACATCTTGAGATGACCTTGAACAGTGTCATCATAACAAACTTCTCTCGGACATATTTCAATCAATGAACCTGTGATAACGTTATAAAGTACTCCACATAGTAACTCAATAGAATCTGTATACGGCAATAGGAAGATAAATATTCTAAATATATATGTGAACCAAGCCAAGCCGAAGACCCGAGTTCGAAAATTTTAAAGTTTGACAGCAAATATCTCAACAACTAATTGTTTCAACACTTCCAAATCTCTTGTACAGATGCACAATCGAATTCCCAACAATTTTGCCTGGATGGGTCAAGTCGCTAAAAAGTACCGTTTGGCAGTTATTTTTGTTTTCAGTTTTTGGCCATGTTTTTCAGCAGTTTTCTGAGTAGTTCGCTCCCAAAATGTGCAAATTCTGTACAAAAAGTGCCAGTATGGTAGATAAAGGCTTGGTGAAGGCCAAGAACAACTGAGATACAGCTTTTTAAAGAGGGAACTGTTTCTTCTCCCGAACTTCTTAAAAAGAAACATGACTCCAGCGACCCCGACTGTATTTGGAAGATCCGCTCACCTGTCAAAAACGTGTTCTGGCTCCGTTTTGACGATGATTTCTAGCCCTCAGATACAATAGATAGAACTAAAGCCAAGGAGCCCTCATCGTTGCCTGCAACTATATTTCTCAAATGTTTCTATTTTCAACCATTCCAACCATTTCTATTGTGAACCAGACACAGTATGAACATGATTTTACCTGTTTGTGTTTACTGCCTGACAATGTGAGCTGCTCCTCCAGGATATCCCCCACATCACCATTGTGACCCTCCTCTAGAATCACCTCCTTGATGCTCACTGGCTCCACGTCCCCATTCTCTGGCAACAGGACAAACACTGATCAGCTGGAAGACCTTACTGATCCATTCTCCTACTCTGAGTTTCATTCAGCCACCATTTGTCACATCTTGCAGAGTCCAATCAAGATACTGTACATCTGTACTGTGTATGTTTTCTCGCAGTCTAAGTAAACTTAAGCTCAGTATTATTCGTTACACTGCTATACTGAGAGTCACAAAACCTAGTAGAAGGTCGCGTCAGCTAACCTTTGAGTGACCTATGACCGTCCAATCAAACGAGAGACACCCGAACAGATTTTACCAATCAGACGACGACTATCAACAAACGAAAATCCGCATAAAACACAGATATTTGACATGCAGTATATACGCTTAGGGGTTTCTAATAACATGGTTACTATTTGATTATATTTTCGTAAGATGACATCCTTGAATACTGACAAACACGCTATTTTCAGTGACTGTTTACTCATTGCGTGTATCACTCGGAAGCGATCGAGTGGAAAATAGCATTCGGAATCTTCGAGATTTTTAGGTAAAGGTGCAAACGGTATGTGAGAATGTTAACTTTCGCAATTTGGTAAGCTGTGTTCTGATTAGTCAGTCCAAAAGGTTAGCTGACGCGACCTTCTACAAGGTATTGTTAGACTCAGTATAGCAGTGTAACGAATACTAGTAATACTGAGCCTAAGTTTACCTAGACTGGTTTTCTCCATCTGCTTCGAGTCACACAGTATGCACATCTAAATAAACATCTATGATAGAATGGTTAACTTTCACTTTCAAAACATCCTAAAACGTAGCTCCTGAAAGGCATTTACTGATTTAGAAGTTGGACGAACATGAATACATGACATGTTTTATGGACAACTTCTTTTTATTCTTTATACGACGTTTCAGAGCTAATTCTTGCTCCTTCATCAACGTGTAACACAATTTCCATTGTATAGTTATCATTTGTTTCTCTGGTTGTACTGCTCCACGTATTGTTATCAAAGACCTGCTGAGATCAAGCAATACACCTGGACAAAAAACGTTGATGTATAGATATTTATTACCTACGAGGGCGAACATATCAGGGTAAATATGTTTCATACGATGCCCTAGGGCAAAATATCACTTTGTCATGGTGACGTGACGTCATGAACAAGGCTATGACGTCACATTTCTTCTGTGACGTTGAGTTCTACTTGCAACGACGGTGGGTAGCCAGCCTGTGTTTGAAAGTAGATTTGGGTTTAATTTCCTCAATTTGACGACTTCGGTAATAAACAGAATATTATATTCAAGCCCATATCGTACTATGTTTACGACACTCGTGCCTAAATATCGGTATATCCCTCGCTCTTGCAGGGGACATTTAGGCACTCCAACATTTAGGCACTCGTGTCGTAAACATAGTATGACATGGGCTATCATATAATATCCTCTATGTATTGTCATACACCTCACTGTTGCCGTTGTGGTAGAATATAGATCTATAAAACTATGCAAACAATATACAGGAGCAGACAAAATAGGTCAGCTTGTTCTGATAACAGAAGACTGGTCGTTTACGCTAAGAGGGACACAATGTTGGAGTGTGTTACTGAATGGGCATTATCAAGGGGAGGAAACTATTCAGATAAATCTACACAATTACCTCCCTTGAACTTCCAAGCTTTCATAAATGTAATGCTGCAATACAAACAACCCTAAGTGACTCATTTTGGGACCCAAAACAGACAAAAGACCTTTTCTGTTTTAAGAAACATTTCTTTTGCCCTGCCCATGATTATCAAAAGATCAATACCTACAATAGTGTAAATTACAAAATCTATAGAAATAACAGAAACCTGAAAACACTTTTTAGGCCACACCAATTTTATTTCTTGTTTTGCAGATCCGCAGGTCATATTTTTTCAAGAATAAGAAAAAAAATATTTTCATATATGTTTTATATACAGAACCGTTACCTAAATTTGTGGATAACCTTGATTCATGGATCGCGAAAATTATCATGCTATCTCGTAAATTAAGTCTCGTATGACGTCACGAAGCAGTACTTTTGATGTACATAGAATGCCACTCCTCGCTGACAAAAAAGTTCCAAATCTCTGCATTAGACGCAAGCACACTAAATCTAATTGTCCAGCACTGAGATAAATAGCCCCAGATCACTAATACTACCATTACCAAATTATATTTTTACAAAATGTCAAGTAAAAAAGACACCGTTAGCTCAAACTTTCTCACTTCTCGTTGCCTATTTTTCTTGGTGTCAATACCTACTGCAGTGGGATGTCGTACATAGTGGTATAAAGTAACCGACTAAGTAATCCACGAAACAAGGTGGCATCCCATTTTGTGGGCACACGAATTGGTGTTGATTGCAAATGGCATCCGTAAACAAACATTTCATTCACGAGGGGAATATTAGGCATTTTCAATTAGCTGAATCAATGAATAACATAATCAGTAAGTATACAAAATGAAATCATGCAATTAAAATCTGAATTTGGCCGCACTTCCCTTATAACCACGGATCAAGGTTACGCGAGTGTATATATATTTTAAATTTTAACCCGACCATCGGGCAGGTGATTTTGAGAATCTGGCAGTCCGTGTTGAAAATAACCCATACCGGCGGTGGCGGGCGGGAGGTCAGGTAGGTATTTCTAACGCTGCTATCAACACGTACAATTGAGGGCGGTAAACAACAGGACCACTTTACCAGTATGTAAAAGTCAGACTTGTGAGATGGCTACGCAACTTGTCCTGTCAGAATGCCAAGAGAAGCTATACGAAAACATATGCAACTATTCCCAAGTCAGTTCTCAACACATCTTTCCCTTGAGAACCATTCTACTCCACAAGACGGACCCTACTAGAAGAGTAAGATGGTACATAAGTTGTCCATTCTCACCTATCCCGTTGTTGTGTTGAGTGTCGCCATTTAGCTGGAGTAGGTCGTCCCTGTAGTTGTGCATGTATAGCACATTCTCCACGTAGTACACCTCCCTGTAACACCAGACAGTGACCTTAGTGTCACCAGGACTACATATCTCAGGAAGAGTGAGTGAGTGAGTGAGTGAGTGAGTGAGTGAGTGAGTGAGTGAGTGAGTGAGTGAGTGAGTGAGTGAGTGAGTGAGTGAGTGAGTGAGTGAGTGAGTGAGTGAGTGAGTGAGTGAGTGAGAATTTACGCTGCTGTTAGCAACATTCCGGCAATATCACGACGGAAAACACCAGAAATGGGCTTCACACATTGTACCCAAGTGGGGAATCAAACCCGGGTCTTCAGCGTGAAGAGCGGACGCTTTAACCACCAGGCTACCTCACCGCCCCCTCTCAGGTACAGAGTGATTATGTATGTGTGCATCACAATATTCCACAGTACTGGAACAGTACTAAATAGCCAACTGGAATGAAATGTTATTGAAATTTATGAAATAAATACCATTATAAACTGATGTGCAGATAGAACCCATGAGAGCTGATCAGCCTCATCACCTTAGTTGTAATCTCACAATACTCATACCTGAATGCAAAACATTCAAAAGACGAAACATGCAACTTTATGCTATACTCTTATTATCACAAACATGCAAGTACAAAAAGCAGCAATTTTCATCTGATTGGATATCACTGACATATTTGTGTTATGTGAGACATACTCTCAAACCCTATGGTTCTCGCACCAAATAACAGCATATAAGTAGAAACTATTGAATTTTTTGAGTGATAACTAAGTTATAAATTGATATGGAAAACACAAGAAGAAGAAAATATGTGCACTTATGATAATATACTGAGGGAAAACAAAGAAGGGATCACATGAAGGCACAAGTGTTCCCTTGTTTTTTCCCAGGTTTCTTCACAAGCTATATGATACAATGAGTTGAGTTGGGCTTTACGTCACATTGGCACTATTCCAGCCATATAGTGACGAGAACAAGTCTGCATTATTATATGATACAAAGCTTGTGAAGAAACCTGGACAAAAATAAGGGAACACTTGTGCCTTCATGTGATCCCTTATTTGTTTCCCTCAGTATATTTACCTGGCATAATGTCAATTGTTATGAACATATTTTTACTGCAGTATAAACAGAGGTAACTTGCATTGCCATGTATGTATGGGCAGTGGTAAGGGAGATAACTCTAAAACTCTAGGGAGTGTAGTTCTATGCCGCTTTTAGCAATATTCCAGCAATATCACGGAAGTGGACACCAGGAATGGACTTCACACATGGTACTCATGTGGGGAATCTAACCTGGGTTTTCAGCGTGATGAGTGATTGTGTTAACCACTAGGCTACCCCCATTGCTCCTATACAGCAATAAAATAAATATGTGTTTTGACGGTAGCAGCAACTTGCATGTGTCTTTTGGGAAGGATGGATGATGTATTCAGTTAGGTTGTACTGGTATTTTATTTCAACAAGATTTATGACCATCCGGGTCCAACTAACATTTCACCTGTCAAATACCAGTAATTACAGGTAGACAGAAACCCAGATGAGCAGATAGTGAACTTTCACCTGACCAGTACTGCTGGCCTTCACGGCGGTGGGGTGGCCTAGTGGGTAAAATATTCGCTCATCACACTGACCACCAGGGTTTGATTCCCCACATGGGCACAATATGTGAAGCCCATTACCGGTGTCCCCTGTCGTGATATCGCTGAAATATTGTTAAAAGCAGCGTAAAACCAAACTCACTCACACACACTCCCTTCACCTACCTGACCAGGGTATCCAGGTCGGTGTTACTCAGGTTGTTCAACGACACTATAGTTTCTGCATCATTTTGCAGTTCTGGGAAAATCGAGCCAACCCTGAAATAAAGATGGTGGTAACACTACTTACTCAACAGATATCTCCCCAACGACTCATGAACATCTCTACCTTACAATCCAGCCCATCCTATACACCGACCTCAACAAACTGGTGATCTCACAGGCCACACAACACGCTGCTCCCAGTAATGGATTGGTCCCATAGAGATACTGTTGCCAATAACTTATACTCTGACCAACTCACAAATAAAAACACTGTCTTAACTGCACTCAAAATAGAGAAGTTAGTGAAAGTTATGCAGTTTATCAGCTTATCATTTCTCGTAAAAACTTAGCATTTTCTTAAAATGAATGTTATCAGGTGAGTAAAATTGTGGTTTCTTACCTGACATAACTTTTGTCATTCTGATGTGATCTTGACCTAGTTTTTCATAACCTTTAGTTTAGCTCAGTATTCATTCAGTGTGAACACTCATTGCATTTGGATGTAAATAAGTAAAATTTTATTCAAAATGCTTCACTTTGGTGACATGATCTTGGCATTTTTTCGATGACCTTGTACTAAAACAAAAGTTAATCAGTGGTGGTGGTGTGTGGCCCGGTGTATAGACCTCAGGTTACAGTCAGGTGAAGTTAAGTAACGTTGGACGCAGACAGTCCTTGGATGGGTGGACCACCTCCATGGTGTAGTGGTTAGAGCGTCCGCCCGGAGTGCAGAAGGTCGCGGGTTCGATCCCCGACCGCGTCATACGAAAAGACGTTAAAATATGGTACTTGTTGGTCCCTGCCTGGCGCTCGGCATTAGTGGGTACAACAAGGACTGGTCGGCTCGGAGTCAGTATAATGTGTCTGAGTGGGGTATTCATGATTAACTGCGGCATGGTATCTCAGTGGGCTAGCATTATAAAACCAGCTTCAGGCTGGGCTAGTACAAGCAGCCGCACATACACATACACACGCATGCACGTCGTCATATGAGCGAAACATTCTCAAGCACGACGTTAAACCCAATTTCACCTCACCTCACCTTGGATGGGTGAACGTGTTTGGCAGCTTGACTCCTCAGAGTTTCTAGGACTTCAGTCCTGCCCCACAATGAAGCACATGTGATACATGTGGTCTCACCTTCGGCAAGTGAGTTTGTTCAAAATTGCATCTATTCACCTAGCAGAAAATGGGTACCCGGTAGGATATGTCACGTAACCACTAACCTTCTAGCCTCACCGGCAGCTTGGGTTATCCGGGATAATAATAATCAGATTGTTTGGGCGCTTCGAGCATGCATTGTGCATGGAGAATGCGCATGATAAATGGTCTATTAATTATTTAATTACTGATGTAAAGATGTACTGTATTTTCCATATACTGCACAGTAATCCTACAGGTTGTCTAACTGCCAGACACTTTCATAGTGGGTATGATGTTACCATGGCTAAAACCCACCTTGTTAGGAAGATTCCCTTATGTGCTTGGATGTGCTTGCTGCCATTGGTCACTGTCAGGTCTGTGTGGATCTCTTCACTTAACATGCTGAAAGTACATCTGTAGTAATATACATGATAATATATCTACAGTTACAGGATCACGTGTCTCCTGTTCAGTAATCAGTAGTAATATACATATACATACAACAATTACAGCATCAAGCACCTGGAACTTGGTTAAATTCAAGCGATTTTCATATCTGTGCAAATCCTGGAGTTATTCAAGTATTGACTTACATGATTGAGGGCTGTGTACAAGTGACTACCTGAGAGTGGGTCACTCATTCGAGCGTGACTGCCTGATCACAGACAGGGATGTTCTGCATGTCACACAAAAAAGTGTCTAAAAACTGTTATTTATGAAAATAATTTAACAAAATTTGCTTAAAGTAAAATGAATTAAATATTACATCATGTTGGCACCTCCATTGTTCATCCATGCACGATCATCATGAAAATTTACCATAAAACATCGTCCCGCAGTTGTTGTGCTAATTTGGCCTTGACACGATCTTTTTTCTTTGATACATTTATCTAGAAATGCAGCACTCTGATACCCAGTGACCGTCCTTGAAGCCTGTTCCTTGGGGCGGGCCATGGTGAAGCTGATTGTGGGAGAGCTGATTTCTTCTCATAGGTTGTCCTCATCACCCCTACAAATAAGAAGACATGGTCATCAATATTCCCTGCTACACTGTTCTGTTCCTATTTGGTTCCTATGTTTCAACTCCATCAAGGCATTCATGTCCTGAAAACACATACCAAATTTGCTTTCCCTATCTATAACGGTTTCTGAGAAAATATGTCCCCATTGGGGATACCGTGCACTAAGTCAAGAAACGCATGACAAAGGCCATAACTTTGTAACAAACTGTAACACGGTTTTCGTTTTTTCAACTCCATCAAGGCATTCATGTCCTGAAAACACATACTAAATTTGGTTTCCCTATCTGTAATGGTTTTTGAGAAAATCTGTCCCCTGCATCTCAGACAGACGGACGGAGATCAAATCCATATCACCCTCCCACTTCGTGGCGTGGGATAGTAACAGAAGAGTCTAAAGTTATGTCAAAATGCCAACACAACCATAACACAATGAAGGTCATTAAATCTGACCACACGGTCCATTTAGTTGTGTCTTACAACCTGAGTATGCTGCTGGTGATCAGTTTGAACCTGGAATCTACACTGGGTTCAATGTGAAAATATTAGAACATATAATGCATTTTCCTTGTGAAGTTGAAATGTGGAGGCGTAACAGAATTCATTAGGAATTTCAAACTCAAAAGTATTATCAGATGCAACCATGGCAAATAAATTGCTATAGTTTCTAATAGCAAATATTCGCATGTTACATTAACATGATAAAAACCATAGCTACAATTTGTAAAGATTACTGACTAACTACACAGCTGGGCTAGCTTTATAGAAAAGCTACTTGCACAATATATATACTGGAAAAAATAAGTTAGGGATATTTGATATTTTATCAGTGTGTCAATGAATAAATAGATCATTATTCATAATTTCAAAATTTACATATATCCCTAACTATTTTTGTCCAGTATATTAATAATCCCTGGCATATGGCTGGGAGGCTCTGAGCATGGTTAAACACTGGACTGGATTTCCCCACCACATCTAGCTATTTTTAACTAAAATGGAAAAATAAATAATGTCGACCAACATAATCATTAGGTTGTATAAAATTATATATAATTTCCAATGATGGAGATCATGTATACACGATATTAAATTGTTGTATATATTTAATGTTATATTCCTAATTCTCACGACTCTGTAACATGTGCGTGTGTAGGACAGGTTTCTGAGGTTTGTTGACGCAATAATTGATACCTACGCAGTCCTGGCGCCTCTAGTGCGTATTACGATGCACTTAGTAAAGCCAGCAAGCGCACCTTGCACATGCCGTGCACAACATGCTATGTGATACAACAGTACAGAACCATATACTGTAATCCATTCCGGATACGCCCTAACCCTAAACTGAATGAATCAATTTTATAAACGCCTTACCTTTCTTTCCAAACAAGTCACCAGATTTTCCTCGCATTTATTTTGTTTTCAGTCATGACGGAATATAATCGATGGGAGGCAACTCTTGGTGTATGTATACTGCAGACCACAACATAAAACAGATTTCATTTTCCAGCGTGAGGCTGCCAGCACTTTTGGTACGCGCGACACGGGGTCGATGGGGAACTAGTAGACTAATGCTTAGTCTCTGAATACCCTATTTATAATTTTGATAGTAACAAACAAGCCCATTTAAATTGAAAAGGAGCCCCATGGAGACCAGAGATCCCTGAACCTGAGGAAATCTAGACTTGCTTGATTTAGGGCTTTGGCACTGCAGAGAGGCTTAGCAGTAGGGAAAATAATGTGGTTCAGGGACTGTGAGACAGACTAGGGAACTAGTCAAATGGGCCGAAGGACAAAAGGGCCGAAAAGTGCCAAGTCAAAAGGGCCGATGGAAAAAGTCAAAAGGGCCGAGGTGAAAGTCAAATGGGCCGTGACAAAAAGTCAAAAGGGCCTTATTCCTAGGCATATTGACCGAACAGAAAAAAAGTTTAGAAATGCTTTTACGAGGCTAACGTATTGTGTTTTAAATGTAGAACTAAATAAAATTTGGAATCGCACCATAGCGTGATATTCGTTTAAGTAACATGGAAATAAATAAGATTATTCCAAAGTCAGAAAACCCTCTTACCGATGTACACATCGGTAGTAATGATGTTAACGATATACTCTTGTCTGTAGGCATTACTTAGGCACCTGCTCCGGGCGGTAGAAGCAATAAAGTTCTGAAAATGACCTCAATCCAAATAACAGACCCTCTAACAAACTTGTTCAACTTATCATTTTCCCAACATCTGGATAGAAGCGTTAGTTATTCCAGCCTTATAGAGTCTCCCTGGTTATTCACATTCGCTAGAAAGGTAGTTTGCGTGAATGCTCTAATTAGGCCTCACTCTTACTAGTTCTTCAGCCAACTTCTTGGAAAAATGTATTTTCTAAGTTGTATTCAATTATTTTAAAGATAACATCTTACTTTCAGACTTACACTCGTGATTTATGCTAGGAGATTCCACAACAATCAGCTTACGTTCTAGTGCGATTTTACAGCAAAAGACATGGATTAGGATAAAGAAATAAGAGTTATATTTTTGGATGTGAGTATAAGTGTCGATAAAGTTTAGTACAACGGATTAATTCATGAACTTTAGCGTTGTGGCATCGACGGCAATTTATCAAAATGATTTAAAAGCTATCTAAACAATAGAACACAAACAGTAGTAATGTTTCAGCTCGTTAGGGTATCCCAGGGTTCATTCCTGGATCCCTTATTGTTAATAATATACGTTGATTATACAACGCATGGAATAAACAGTAAGAAGTCAATATAAGATATATGAAGTAACAAACGTCCAGCCCCTATATAAGTAAAAGACGATATAATAAAAACAACAGCAACTTTGTTCTATTAAACGACCAACAAGTTCACGCCTGAATACCTTAGTGATTGTATTCCACCTACAGTGACCGATACCAATCAGTATAACCTTAGAAACCAATCTACCACCCAAACTTTACACTGCAGATCAAACCATTATGAAATTTATTTACCTGATAATATCAAAACTATGGAACGGATCTCAAAACAAATGTATTTGTTCCGACTGTTTTTCCAGCTCTTATAAAGAACGATTAAGATGGAAACCAAACCTTGTATATATGTTTCAATATAAAATACAAATTCGTAAATTATACCCCCTTAATTGTACATTCCAGACTACGACATGGCTATAGCGTCTTTAAAATAGACTTGGTGTTTTCCAATATAAACTTCCATTATTCAACACAATTCATATCAAACAAAACTATACAAAACGTCCTTTAAACAAACTTACGATACATGCTTTTTCCACTGAAAAAAATCGCAACACACGATTTGTAAAATTGATATGACACACATGCTCGTGTAATCATCCAATCATCTCTCTAAATGGAAAATGATTTATGGCGAAAAACCCTACCTCTGCTACAATCTGCATTCGTCGCTGAATGCACATTTTTGCTCCACCATCTAATACTTGTTCTCCTTAACACTGTTTTGGCATCCTATGCGGGCAAAGAGTATAAAGTGTCTGTAGGACATGTTAAACTTTTTATTTATAATTTAAAAAAACCCCAAAACCCATAGAAACCAACATTTGTTAAACTGGTGTTTTAGTCATTCGCAAGTTCCGAAGAGTTATTTTAGTCATTCGCAAGTTCCGAAGAGTTATTTTAGTCATTCGCAAGTTCCGAAGAGTTATTTTAGTCATTCGCAAGTTCCGAAGAGTTATTTTAGTCATTCGCAAGTTCCGAAGAGTTATTTTAGTCATTCGCAAGAACCGAAGAGTATTCCCATCACTTAACTGTGCATAGTCCGGTTCTTACAAGGTGTTTACAGTAACATGTTCTCCGTTTGTCTAGCATCAGCTATGTCATATCACTGGAAATAGTTGTATCAAATAGAACAGACAATAGGACTTTTAAAACAACCCATCGTTTGTGCAACTGAACCAATATTGATAAGGGTACGTTTATTTTATCAATATAAGACGTCCATGTTTACCCTATAATTCCGCAGTCATCACCTTACTGCTCAGTGTATATGACTAAGTACGTATAATCAAATCTTTGAATTGCATTTAAAAGTGGAATGCATAAGGAAAGATTTATGGATGTCAACTAATTTATTGTGAATAACACGCCGCCATCAGGCGATGAAGGAGAAAGCATACACTCCGAAACATCGTGTTATTCACAATAAAGAAGTTGACATCTATAAATCTTGCTTTTCTTACGTATAATCAGTCTGGAGTAAGTAACTGACATGATGTTCGCATTGTTTTAAACTCTCGTGCCATTTAATGATCAGTACCATTATGTGTTTGTGACCCGTGGCTTGATATTGCCGGTGATTGGAAAAAAAGTAACAGGAACAAAAGAAACGGAAAAAAGTAACAGATGTTGCTAGGAAAAGAAGTAACAGGAAAAAAAGAAACACTTTTTCAGTGTTTTTTTATTTATTTATTAACAAAGTATAACAAAACAATTACAAGCACATTTTTACATCCATAAGCAATGTTCTCAGTTCTCAGTTCTAACTAAATGTTCTTATTGAGTCTAATGTTCTAACGTTCTGACCAACCCTACCAGACAGGAATTCGGAGATGGACAGGCTGCCGGCTGCTTAGTGTGAACACAAGGTCTTGAATCTACGCTGGAGTGACTCCATATTCTTCTGATACCATTCTTCTACCTCCTTGTTTTGGGCATAATCCCAAGGGCAGCTTGTTGTTTCATAGTTTTTGTGAGACTTTGGTCTTTTTGGAACCATTGTATGGTCTTCCACACGGAAGGATGCTGTTAGCCTACCAGGTTATGATGAATAGTTTACTTAACAAAGTTATTTATACTATCAAGTAAGCTGAATAGGTGATAAGTTGCTCATTAAAAACAAGTAACAACAACAACAACTTAAATAAGATGATCAAAGCTCAAAGCTAATTAAGTGTTTATAAGTATTTATATAAAAATTGTTACTTTTGTCCCGTTACTTTTTATCCTGTTCGTTTTTTTCCTGTTACTTTTTTCCTACATTCGATATTGCCATACGCAGAGCTGGTACTCTCTCACAAGAGCATGCAGGGTGCTGAACACCTAGTCTTCATGGTTCCTGTTTACTGGGACCAATCTAGATATTCAAAATATAGGTGTTGCATTTGTTGTGAGGAGTTCGCTTAGTGTTATATCTCCGAGATATTTAAAACCAGTGCTGATTGTCGGTAAAATATTTTACTGATTAATTGAAATACAACTAACCACAGAGTATATATACTTGGAAGCAACAGAGCATTCAGATTAATATTAATTTACATAGGCGGCGTGTCGTTGTCTCCGAAGTGACGTCACTGACGTCTACGGGACGTTAGCGTTGACGGGTTTGCCTCTAATCTACAGAGATACTTGTCTTCCTTGGGGCCTGATCTAGACCCCGTGATGTCCGCACCCAGAGCCATCTGTTGAAAGTAATCTTGAACCGATTACGTAGACAGGCACGTTTATATTTTGACGTAACATTGTTGAACTGGAATGCTCCGACCACCCACGTGGCCATGTTCTCGGACCTAGGGGCAGGTGATCGGCACCTGGGTCCAAACATATTTAGTTTGCGGAAGTATTGCGTTTTAAACCCAATGTGTCCTAGTATTATATGTATATGATCTCTGGAAGTGAACATCGACCTTTTTGGCTGTTTATGACAATAGCCAATATGCTCTTAGCGTGCCATGTCTGCGCTCCGGCTTATGCACATCGTGGTGACACGCTCGCATTTTACAAACAAAATTGCTCATGTCATTTTATTTATACACATTTCCCAGTTCTATAATCTGATAATGGATCTCAAGGGTTGTATGACAACAGCGATTAGGTTTTTAATGTCCTGTTCTGCCAGCCAGATATCCTGTCTGATGCAAGGGAATTTAATTATATAGAACCCCTGTTTGATGTATCGCATCACTGACAGGATGTAATCGTGGTGGTGCGCTTATACCATATAACTCAAAATATATTTTGACCATGCAGGTCACACTGTTACCTCACATTTACATAAAAACGTTTACATGAATGAGTTTATTTGAGATGTATACAGAGCATGTCATACATTTCAAGTGGCCTGGGTAGAGACAAAGTGGAACATCCATCTGGTTATTGGCCTACGGTAGGGTAAAGTGGGACATCCATCTGGACGGCTTGGGTAGGGTAAAGTGGGACATCCAATCTGGACGGCCTGGGTAGGGTAAAGTGGGACATCCATCTGGACGGCCTGGGTAGGGTAAAGTGGGACATCCATCTGGACGGCCTGGGTAGGGTAAAGTGGGACATCCATCTGGACGGCCTGGGTAGGGTAAAGTGGGACATCCATCTGGACGGCCTGGGTAGGGGTAAACTGGGACATCCATCTGGACGGCCTGGGTAGGGTAAAGTGGGACATCCATCTGGATGGCCTGGGTAGGGTAAAGTGGGACATCCATCTGGATGGCCTGGGTAGGGTAAAGTGGGACATCCATCTGGACGGCCTGGGTAGGGTAAAGTGGGACATCCATCTGGATGGCCTGGGTAGGGTAAAGTAGGACATCCATCTGGATGGCCTGGGTAGGGTAAAGTGGGACATCCATCTGGACGGCCTGGGTAGGGTAAAGTGGGACATCCATCTGGACGGCCTGGGTAGGGTAAAGTGGGACATCCATCTGGACGGCCTGGGTAGGGTAAAGTGGGACATCCATCTGGATGGCCTGGGTAGGGTAAAGTGGGACATCCATCTGGACGGCCTTGGTAGGAGTAAAGGGGACATCCATCTGGATCGCCTGGGTAGGGTAAAGTGGGACATCCATCTGGACGGCCTTGGTAGGGTAAAGTGGGACATCCATCTGGATCGCCTGGGTAGGGTAAAAGTAGGACATCCATCTGGATGGCCTGGGTAGGGTAAAGTGGGACATCCATCTGGACGGCCTGGGTAGGGGTAAACTAGGACATCCATCTGGATCGCCTGGGTAGGGGTAAAGTAGGACATCCATCTGGATGGCCTGGGTAGGGTAAAAGTAGGACATCCATCTGAACGGCCTGGGTAGGGTAAACTAGGACATCCATCTGTACGGCCTGGGTAGGGTAAAGTGGGACATCCATCTGGACGGCCTGGGTAGGGTAAAGTGGGACATCCATCTGGATGGCCTGGGTAGGGTAAAGTGGGACATCCATCTGGACGGCCTGGGTAGGGTAAAGTGGGACATCCATCTGGACGGCCTGAGATGCATATTTATTTTTCAGATGATTCTCTGGCGATGCTGTCACGACTCACGATGAAAGCAAGGAATTCCACAGCTATTAAAAGCGTGCCAAGATTGTTGGACCGAATCTGTAATTTGAGGTTGATTTTGTTGATGGCCATGTACTGCTGGTTGGTATAGTAATGGGAAGTTATTCACCAAGTCTGCCCAGAGTTGGTCATTTGTGGAGAAACTTTCTGAGAAACCATTGCATCATGTGCAAAAGAACAGTAATCCAACTGACCCCTTCGCCTGGATGAAGTCGGGTGGTCTTAAATGTAAAACTGCACAAAAGCTTTTTTGTTTGCTGGCCAGGACCAGTCACTTCCCACTCGCAATCGCCAAAATGTGATTCTTAAATTATCAATATGAAATGTCGACTTTGCAATGAATTTACAGAGACTGTCCAACACCATGTCAGTGTATGCCCTTCCTTGGCACAAACAGTATATCATAAAAAAGACATGATGGCATGGTTCGTTGCTTTTACTACCGTCTTCGCCATGCCTGTGGCTTTGACTCCGAGTTCCATCCATGATACGACCCCGAACATGCCCAGATCGTCATGGAAATTGATGCTTTTAAACTTCTTTGGAATACACCCATATACAGCCTCAGAAGAATTCCTGCCAACATACATCTTGTCCTTTTTGATACATTGCTCGTCTTCTTTCAATGTGGGGGCGGTGGGGTAGCCTAGTGGTTAAAGCGTTTGCTCATCAGACTAAAGACACGGGTTCGATTCCCCACATGGGTACAATGTGTGAAACCCATTTCTGGTCTCCCTCGCTGTGATATTGCTGGAATATTGCTAAAAGCGGCATAAAGCCATACTCACTCACTCACTCTTTCAATGTGAGATGTAATGTGAGATGGGATGGAAGCAAGAGTTCTCAGACAACCAGGCCTGTCAAGGTCACCTGAAAATGTTTTCTCCTTCCCACAAGAATTCTTCAGTTGTGAGTTTTACTTTTTCATGTATAAGTGTTTGTGTCACCAAGCATCTTCCCATGAAGATCCAGGTTAGAATTGATCTTCAGTAACTCATGCTTGTCGTAACAGATAACTAACGGGATCGGGTGGTCAGGCTCGCTGACTTGGTTGACACATTGTATTCCAATTGCGTAGATCGATGTTCATGGTGTTGATCACTGGATTGTCTGGTCCAGACTCGATTATTTGCAGACTGCTGCCATATAGCTGGAATATTGCTGAGTACCGCATAAAACTTCATAACCAATCCAGGGAAAACAACATGTTTACCATAGAAAGTGAGTACATTTATTCAGATATACATTTTCAGTTACAAGTGAAAACACATCTGATTCACCGAACGCCTCCTCCCAGATGACCTTCAGCTGTAAACTCTTTCACTACAACCGTTCAGAAGCAGGATCTTGTACATAAGTTAAATCTAAAACCACGATAAATGTAACAAACATTACAGATTCTGCTGGAGAACCTGCTCCTCTGTGACAGAACATTCCATTTCCAAATGTTATACATTTCATATGTAGAGAATACTACACGAGGTCTCATTACATACGAATTACACGAAACGAGTGTCCTTCCAATGGTATCTGACCGATCGAAGGTCACGAGTTTCGTATAATTCGTATGTAATGAGACCGAGTGTGGTATTTTATTTATTACCCACGTCTTACATGCATTAAATTGACCAAATGTAGTTGGATTTGAAATCTTATTTTAGCAGCTTCCAAGACTCAAAACAAAAGGTTTTTTCGCACATGGGCAGTGTATGAATTAATTTGAAAGGTCACTGACAAGGAGGGTCAGTTAAGTAAAGACGTTGCTAGCCCGTATCATACTCCACTGGCCCTGCAAAATATCAGTATCAAAATGCACATCGGTCAAAGTTGGTGTGATGTTTGGTAACTGAAGATGTTTGGTAAGTTATTATTGCCCCGTGGAAACAATATACATCAAACAAACACAATAACTAAGATTTCTTTATTCCTTCAATATTAGATCCTAAGATTTTCAGCTAGCCAGTCGGGATGGCTTTAAAATATATTACTGGCCCGATTCATTATCAGCTAGCATCTGGCCAGCGGGCCAGTATTTCGAACGCTGCACATGGGTGGAGGGTATCAGTATGTGTCACAACGTATCAATTTGTCACAACTGGCCCTGCAAACTATCAGTATCAAAATGCACATCGGTCAGAGTTGGTGTATGTTTGTTGAAGATGTTTGTTCGTATTATCAGGAACCAATATACATCACAAACACAATAACTAAGATTTCTTTATTCCTTCAAATTAATCCTAAGATTTTCAGCTAGCCAGTCGGGATGGCTTTTATATTACTCCTGATTCATTATTTTTGCATTGGCCATCTGCTTGCTCTCTTTCTCTTGCGAACGATAGTGGAAACACTTGAATCCCTTTTTGAAAGGGGGAAAGGGGAAAGGGGAAAGACCACAGCTTGTCAGATTTGTTCAAAACATCTCGTGACTACAGGTGTGGTTCTTTTCTGTAGCTCCATCTTTTGATGCTGGCACCAAGTGCAGCATTGATCCTTCCTCCATGTACGAATAAGTCCTTACGAGTACTGGATCTAATCACTCATGCTAGCCAGTTCTAGACGTGCGCATGGACTTAAGCTCTTACTCTTACGAGTGTGGGCTTTCTCAAGTCACGTGATAAAGGGTGAGACTTATCTCAGCGCCTTTGTGGAACAATTATTGTGCTACAACAAGCGGACCAAACTGGTGAATGCCTAGGACGTCCTCGTTGGCGATGTCTCTGAGGTAGTGGTTGGCAAACGCGGTGTCCAACTTCCAAAAGCAGCCCTCCATGATAGTAGCGATGGAGCAGTTTCCATGTAGAGCGAGTGTAGACGCCAAGGCTCTAACTTCATGTGGATTGGAAGCTCGTGGAGGCTCTAGTCCGGCTGCTTTGTAGGCTCTTAGGATGACGGCTCTCATCCAGATTGATATTGTCGTACGTGAGACTTCAGTCTGCGTCTCCGTAGATATAGGGATGAAAAGGCGCTTGAATTTTCATCTCCTGGTCTTTGACCTTTGTAGATATACTTTCAATGCTCTGACCGGGCATAAGGATAGGTCTTGTTTATCCTGTGGGCCCATGACTGTAGATAATGCTGGGATGTGGAACTGTCTATCAGGTTTACCAGGCAGTTGATTCTTCGCTATGAAGTCCCATCTCAGTCCTAAGTGTACTGTGTCACGATGACTTGATTCGAAGCGTGATCGTTCAAAGTCCAGAGCATGTATTTCTGACATCAGTGCCGCTGTTGCCAAGGCGATGATGAATAGTGTCTTATGAGTTAGCAACTCGAAGGATGTCCTGTCTAAAGGTTCGTAGGCGTCGCTGGTGAGATGCTGCAAGACTACGTTGAGATCCCAAGCAGGAGCCTTGAATTTACGCTGTTGATCTTCCAACTTGAAGGAGCGTAGTAGTGCCAGCATCTCTGGGACTTTATTTAGCTTGATTCCCGTTTTCATGGTGATAACCGTGCTAAGGGCTGCCAAGTAGGTGGACAGCATTGAGCCTTTCAGATGTCTCGTCTGAGGTAGATGACATAGATATTCCGCCACTTGAGGATGAGTAGCTTTCATCGCTGTGAAGCCTTTCCTCGTTGCATATAGCTCACATTTCCGCCATTTGTCATCATATAATGTGCGAGTGGACCTGCGTAGAGCTAGTGTGACCAAAATCAGTTGTAGGCTCTTTGTCTGGCTGATTTTCTGTAGCACTTGTGGTAGTAAAGTTGGGGGTGGAAACGCATAGGCGTTGAGTCCCTCCCAAGAGATTAAGCAGGGCGTCTGTTGCCCAGGCCTGTGGATTGGGAATCGGTGAGACGAATGTTGGTAGTTGTTTGTTGAACTTGGTCGCAAACAAGTCTATCGTCGGTGACGTTATTCCCTGTATGATGCATCGTAACGCCTCTGGATGTAACATCCATTCAGTCGGGGTTGGTCGAGATAGAGCGTCTGCTATGACATTCTTGGCTCCTGGAATGTGACATGCTTTTATGTGGATGTTCAGGTCGTCGACCATGTTGAACAGATGGAAGCAGAGTTCGAGCAGATTGCGAGATCTTGTTGAGCCTTGTCTGTTTATGTAGAACGCTACTGTTGAGTTGTCCGTGTACTGTGGGTTGGACCAGTGGGTTAAGGCGTTGATTACTGCTTTCATCTCTAGCATGTTCCTTTCTTGACTCGACCATTTGCCTGCTGCCACTTCATTGTTGAGGTGTGCGCCCCATCCTTGTAGCGATGCATCTGCATAGAGGTGCTTGTTGCAAACCGGCTCTCGTAACTAGGTTCCTCCGCAAACATTCGACTTCCGAGTCCACCATAGTAGGTATGGTTTCAAATCGTCCGTCGGCCCGAAGGGTTGGAGGTTGTTGAGATGTGCGTTCACAAACATCTGCAGTGGTCGTAGTTCTAGTCGGCCTCTGCGAGTCATGTCTTGAGCTGAGGTGAGGAGATCTAGTAGACTTTGCCATTCTCGTAGTGGTAATGGAAAGAGTGTCGCTTGAGATATCATCTGTTGTAGATCCAACGATCTTGAGGGACAACTATGCGATTCATGGATGTGATGAGCCGTATTCCTAGGAATTGGAGATCCTGTTGGGGTTCCAAGTCCGATTTGAGGAAGTTTACCAGCCATCCAAGTTGAGTGAAGAGTCTGATCGTGAAGTCTAGTTGTAGTCTGAGTTGACTGGGATCTAGATGGGCCTGTATACCGTCGTCCAGGTAAAAAGCACTGCGTAGACCTTGACGATGTAGGTATG